ATTTAGCTCTGTGATCCATTTGGAGTTAATATTTTTCATGTATTGTTGGGATAAAGATCTAAGGTCAGTTTTTTTTTTTGCATATGGATATTCAGTTATTTCAACACTATTTGTTGAAAAGAATTTTCTCCCCAACAAATTGCTTTTGCACCTTTGTATAACATTAGTTGTCCATAGCCCTAAATGGTTTGGCTCAGTGGATAGAGTGTCAGCCTGCAGACTGAAATGTTCCAGGTTCGATTCTGGTCAAGGGCATGTACCTTGGTTGTGGGCACATCCCTAGTAGTGGGCGTGTAGGAGGCAGCTGATCAATGTTCCTCTCTCATCGATGTTTCTGGCTCTCTATCTCTCTCCCTTCCTCTCTGTAAAAAAATCAATAAAATATATTTTAAAAAATTAGTTGTCCATTAATGTGAGATTTTATTCCTGCACTCCCTTGCCCTAGTCAAGGGTCAAAGCAGGTGTTAGGACACCACATTCAAGCACTTAAAGAGAAGGTTGTGTCCACCAGTGGAAAAGAGCCTGGAGCGCAGTAGGTGCATCATGGAGTGTGCCAGGCCGTGGACGGCTCCTGCCACAGCTATTCCTCCTCCTGCTGCTGTTACTGTTAATTATGTCTCCGAGCTATACTTTCTGCCCTGTCCCGGTGTTTAAGGGAGGTCATGCTGGGACAGATCACCCCAGAGAAGAGTCAGAAGGAGGGGAAATCAGCCTTGTGACCCACAGCCTGGAGAGGGGACAGGAGGGGAAGGGCGATCTAACCCTTTTGTAATCAGGTGTGTGTACTTTACAAGCATTCTATTATCTTCTTGGAGCTTTGCCATGTCCTTGTGACACCAGACTTTCGTTCTCTTTAGTGGAGGAACTAGAAATCAGGTTGAGCTCTTTGTTGCATAGCACCTGGGCCTGGTGCATAGTAGGCGTTCAATACATGCTTTTGCAAATTTATTATTGCAGGAAGTGACCCCCATCTCCCTAGTGTGCGAGCTGCTTAAGCAGACTGTGCTGTGTCTTATTCTGTGGGGTGTCAGGTCGGGGCTTAGGATTTCTGGGTCTGTGCCAACGTAATGGAGGGGTACAAGATGGGTGTGAGGAGACTTGTGGTGTGTGCTTTTGTGTTGAGGTTGAAACATCTATCTGACCACATTCCATGCTGGTGTTGGTTTATCTTTTCCAGGTCAGGGGCTTGCTGACTCTGATTTGTTTGGTACCTGAAGGAAAAAACTGAGGCAGGTGTTCTAGATGAGGGAGGATGCTTGTGTGACTAAGGGTGTCCTTTGTCACTAAGGGCATTCTGGTTCCATGAGCCATCACTATCCAGGGGAACTGAACTTGTGCACTGAGACCCAAGAGTTGGTGGCAGTGGGATGGGGGTGAGAATAGGGGCTCACCTCCCCATTCAAAGACCTGTACCATCATTGTTGGCATCAGAACATTCACCTTCCCCAAATGTCACCTGTGCCATTTACATAAGAACTAGTTCTGTGCCCCTGCTCTTATCAACTTGGTTTGGAGTTTATTGTTGTGAGAGCTATATAAATGAGCTGTATTTTCCAATCTTCAGTAGTTAAAATTCAGGTAAACACAACAAGAAAAAAACAGCAACAAAAAGCTTTTAAGTTGGCTATGGCGGGGTAAGGGGCTTAGAATCTGCTTCCCTGAAGAAGCAGCAGAGGGTGGCTTGGGCTTAGAAGCCTGCCATTGGCACGTGGACCTGCGGCTCCCTGGGCTGAGGTTCGTCAGGTCTTGATGTTTGGGTGTCGTTCCCCCTCGGGGGTTTGAGAGGGCCTGGAGCTCTGCATGTGTCTCTGAGGTCCCACTTAGTTCCATGCGTGTGGCAGGGGACCTTTCATAGTTTCTCTGGGAATTGTTGAGAATATCATCACTTCTGATTCAAATAACCTGGCTCTGTCAGCTCCTGCCAGCTTTGCTCCCCCTGGGCTTTGTTGAACTTTCACATCAGCCCTGCCATGTGTGCAGGCATATACAGAACTTTTCTTGGCCCTTTGGAATTGTGTTCTCTGAAGGCCTGCAAGCCTGGCAGTTGAAGAAAGCCCAAGTTAGTGTTGGTCTGGTCAGATGGCCAAGGGCCTTTTACCCTGCCACGAAAGTGGCTGCTGTGCTGCCCAGGATAAAAGGGGTGTGTGCGCTTTCTTCCTCTTAGTGGGGTGGCCTTTACTGTGTTTACAACTCACCGTGTTGAAGTAGTAGTCCCCTGAAGCCCCCTGGTGCCCCTTCACAATCTTCTTCCTCCCTGGGAAACCCCTTTCTGATCTCATAGAGCTGGAGGTGGGTTTGGCCTTTTTTTAAACTTGATATAAACAGAACGGACACTCTCCCTCCACATTTGACGATGAGAGGCCCTGGTACACACAGTTCATGGGCAGTAGCTGCTTTCCTCTCATTGCTACGTGATCTTCCAGTTGATGCTCCTGTGTGTTTGTTCATTCATGTGGAGGAGTGCTAGGGAAATTCCTGGTTTTGTCTCTTATGCAGAATGCTGCCATGGCCCTAGCCAGTTTGGCTCAGTGGATAGAGCATCGGCCTGCGGACTGAAGGGTCCCAGGTTCGATTCTGGCCAAGGGCATATTCTCAGGTTGCAGGCTGGATTCCCAGTAGGGGTTTGCAGGAGGCAGCCAATCAATGATTCTCTCTCATTGAGATAGTTCTCTCTGTCCCTCTCCCTTCCTCTCTGGTGGAGGCTGTTTCTAGAAAAGAGTATAAGCTGGGGAGTATCCTCCCTCCGTAAAGGTGGCTGCAACAAACTATGGAAACCCAAGAGAAGCAAAATCTTTGCTTAGTGCTCCTTCTTGATGGAGGCGGAGAGCTTCTGAAATCGTCCTGCTGTGTTAAATAGGCCAGTGTTTTTCAACCTTTTTTGGGCAAAGGCACACTTGTTTCATGAAAAAAATCACGAGGCACACCACCATTAGAAAATGTTAAAAAATGTAACTCTGTGCCTATATTGACTATATATAAAGTAATTCTCTTGAATAGGAATCAAATAAACACAAAGAAAGTATTTTATAATTACTTTATTATGAAATATTAAGTAAACAAAATAGTGAAAAATTATAAAATTCTTGTCTGCACCTATGGCACACCAGGCAACACTAGTGTGCCGCGGAACAGCGGTTGAAAAACGCTGAAATAGGCTTTCCCACTGCGGGAGGCTGGGAAGCAAATGATTATCAGGAGTCTTTTCACCTGTCCATGGCTCCTTGTATCCTTAGGGCATCCCGAGCTGTCCCATGACTCTCTCAGTCTTCAGCCAGTGTACTTCTCTGAGGCCTCACCTGTTACAGAGGGGGACACAGGGGCTCAGGGAGGTTACGTGTGCTGAGTCACTGGCCTGCATGTGGCAAGCAGAGAAGTGCTGTTCTGTGCACATGTGTGACCTCCATGAACAGGGAGATTAGAGGTGGGTGGGACTCCCTTTGAGTCAGTCTCTTCTCTTACTGTTTGGGAACAGGCTGTGGGGCTGCTCCTGGCAGAGTGTTCTCGAGGGCCTAAAGATGCTTCCTGAGATTGGTACTCTGGAGACTGATGTTCTGATCTCCTGGTGATCAGGCCTGAAGTTGGAACCAGAAACAGCTGTCTTGTCACCGAATGAGAAATTTCAGCTGGTGGAATCAATAAGCGATTCCTAGCCTTTAAGATCCCTTTCCATTGGAGTGGGGATGATGAATGGAACAACTGAATGAAATCCATACCAATGTCCCAGGTCCCAGGGCCAGTTGTGTTTCTTAGGAGGGGGACATGGACCCTGTCTTTATTAATGTCATCATTTATTTGGCAGAGATCATTATGATTTATAATAATAAAAAAATATATATATATTTTTTGGCCCGGCCATTGTGGCTCAGTGGTTGAGCATTGACCCATGAACCAGGAGGTCACAGTTGGATTCTGGGTCAGGGCACATGCCTGGGTTGCAGGGGCATGCAGGAGGCAGCCTGTCTATGATTCTCATTATTGATGTTTTTCTCTTTCCTTCTCCCTTCCGCTCTCTGAAATCAATAAAAACATTGACAACCTGGTTGGACCTTGAAGGTGCCAGGAGGAGGTTATAGCAGGAAATTCAGGGCCAGGGACCTGTCTCTCACGTGAAAGGCCTTGTAGAGACTGTCTGGCTTCGTGCTGGCTCCGTGTTTGATTCTGCCTTTTCCTGAGCCTCCCCTCCGATGAGTTCCAGTCTCAGGACTCACGGGGGGAGTCAGATGTGAATAAATAATAACTTAGACTCAGAGCTTGGATTTGGGGTTAGTCTGGGATTAGGGAACATCTATTAGTCTGCTGGGGCTATCATAACAAAGCACCACAAACCGGGTGGCTTAAAAAAGCTGAATTTATTCTTACAGTTATAGAGGTCAGAAGTCCAAAATCAAGGCATCGACAGGATTGGTTCCTTCTGAAGGCTGTAGGGGAGGATCCTTCCTTGCTTCTTCCAGATTCTGGTGGTTCTAGGCATTCCTTGGCTTGTGACTATGCCACTCCAATCTCCAGTCTCCGCCTCCATCTTCATACTTCCTCCTTCCCTCTGTGTGTGTCTGTGTCCAAATCTCTCTCTTTCTCTTGTGAAGTCTGTCACTGGATTTAGGGCTCCCATCTAGTCTGATGGGGGCCCTATTAACTTGTTTACATTTGCAAAGACCCTATTTTTGACTGTCACATACACAGGTGCTAGGGGTCTGGACTGAAACATTCCTCTGAGGGACACAACTCAACCCCCTGGGGAAGGAAGCGATGTTGGTGTTGGTACTGGATGAGTCCCTGAGCTGGAGGAGAGTTCCTGGAGGGAGAAGGGTGTTGGGTAGATGCAGAGGTGGAGCAGGCTGGGAGGAAGGGCTGTGGCCTATGTCTGGAGCCAGAGTGGGAAGGACGCCCATGATAGCTTCTCTCCGAATAGAGCTTTTCTTAGAGCTCTTCAGCCATCAGACCTCTCACTGGATTCTTTCGAGCCTTAACCTAAAGTTGTTTATGTTTTTGTTTTAAACCAGGAAACTATTTTGCTACACATTTTTTCATGGGAGGTGAGAAGTTTGACACCCCCCACCCTGAAGGTTATCTCTTTGGAGAAAACATGGATCTGAACTTCCTGGGCAATCGCCCAGTCCAGGTGGGTCTCGGCAGGGCTGGGCATGTGGGTGGGGAGGGGGAGGTCCCTGCCTTCAGCCATCTGTGTCCCAGCTGCAAGGATGAGTGAGTAGTGAGTCACCCCCAACCAGGCAGAGCTGCCAGCTGGTTGTGTGCACATGGCGTGTGCATGGGGCGTGTCCTGGCAATATTCCCTTAGAGGCAGGGGAACCAAGGGTGGGACACTGAGGACAGAGCAGCCGCTGTGGAGCCTGGTGCATCCATGCTATGAAGTTATGAAAGTTAGGGTTTTGATCCCTTGAATGGCTTTATTCGAAAAGAAAAAGAACAGTGGAGTAGAGGGCAAGAGATATGATCCAAAGAAGAAATGTAAACGGCTGGTGAATAATTTTTACAAGTTCTCCTTCACTAGTCACGAGAGAAGCGCACGTGTACTCATTGCGTTCCATTCATCCAGTGTACATTTGGCACTTATTGTGTCCCTGGGATCCTGCCAGGGGCTGGGGACAGAGGACAGATCTTGGCCCATTCCCTGGGGGGGGATGCTGACCATAAAGAAGAGAGCAGTTGCCCTGGCCAGTTTGGGTCAGTGGATGGAGCTGTGGCCTGTGGACTGAAGGGTTCCGGTTTCAATTCCAATCAAGGACACCTGCCTCAGTTACAGGCTCGATCCCTGGCCCTGGTCGAGGGCATGTGGGAGGCAACCAATCAATGTGTCTCTCTCACATTGATGTTTCTCTCTGTGTGTTTCTTCCCTTTCCTTCCACTCTGTAAAAATCAATGGAAAAATATCCTCGGGTGAGGATTAACAACAACAAAAAAGAGAACAGTTGACATGAGAGAGGAGGGCGGGAGAGGGCTTTTGAGGGGGACACTGAGCGGGTTCAATCCCCAGTGTAAGGGGCCAGGCGGAGGCCCTCTCTTTCAGGAGACACTGGACTCCACCCCCTGAGGTGGGTGAGTTCTGGGGCCTCCCTGACCTGGGAGTTGGCCTGTGGACTGAAGGGTCCCTGCGAGGAAGTTCCTCTGGGCCAAGGTTCTCCAGGCTGCTTTGACCACGGAGCAGCTGGTGACATGAAACCTTGAATGGATCCTTGGATCAAGGAAGGGTCAGGGTTAGGACCCAGAATGCTGGCCTCTGCCACCTTCCCAAGCCCACGAGAGTGAGAACAGAACCTCACCTTCCACATCTCTGAAGCCTCAGCTGTGACCCAAGGTCTGGCTCAACAGGCCTTCTGTGAATTTGTGTGTTGTTTTAACTTTTACATAAGACCACCATAGATTCACCTACTCTTGTAGGAAATAGCACGGAGATTCCATACACGTACCTTTATCCAGTTTTCCCTGGTGATAGTGTCCTATATTGATAAAACCTCAGTGCGCTTTCATAAGCAGGAAACTGATATTGATGCATCTCCATTTTCCAGATGCCACCAGTTTTACAGCAGTGTGTGTGTGTGTGTGTGTGTGTGTGTGTGTCCCTACTGGGATCTTCATTGACCATTGAGCTTGAATAGAAAGCCTAGTAATGAGGTCTGAGAGCCCCAACCTCAATCGCTCCCCCAGGATCCCTCAGGCCAGGTTACTTTCATTGAGAGTACTTGGAATAAGGGCACCATGGCCACATGGCCAGACTCCTTCAGGATTTTCTGGTCCTGGCTCTCCTTTGCCAGCCATGCTGCCTGCAGTTTACTTTGATGTCAATGAGACTGATGTCATCTAGTGGTTGGCATGAGAGCTCTGGAACACCTGGTGTGTGCTTGCATTATCCCTGTTTTCTATCCCCTGCCATACTGGGGAGTTATTGGGATTGCTTTCTGTTTTTCCCTCCTAGTTTCCTTATGTCACCCCCGCTCCCCATGAGCCAGTGAAGACACTGAGGAGCCTAGTGAACATCCGAAAAGACTCGCTTCGGCTTGTAAGGTAACCCTTGACCTTGCCACATTCTTCAAACTAGGGGTTCACAACCAGGTGACTGTGCCCCATGACGTTGGACTGTCTGGAGACATTTTTGGTTGTCACAGCTAGAGAGGGTGGTGGTATTCCTGATATCTGGTGGGCAGAGACCAGGGAGGTTATGAATACCCCACAGGGCACAAGATGCCCCCACAGCCAAGAATGGAACAGTTCTGACTGTCAGGGTTGATAAACCGCATTAAACCAAAAGACTTGAGGCTTCTGGGGCCATCTCCAACCCAAGAGAACTTGTCTCCCTTCCCGTGACAAGAGAAGGAGAACCCTGCATTCGTGGGCCTTATTGTCCAAATGGAGTGGGCATCCAGAAAGGTGAGATGCAGCCAGGCAGCCAACTCAGGGCCCTTTGGGGTATGGCGTGCGCTGTGCAGGCTGGCCATGTTCCTGCAGGCATGCCCCCTGACCTACTGCCTGTCCCTCTGCTGCCTGGAAGGTATAAAGATGGTGCCAACAGCCCCACCGAGGACAGCGAGAAGCCCCAAGTCCTCTACAGCCTGGAGTTCACCTTCGATGCTGATGCCCGGGTGGCCATCACCATCTACTGCCAGGCGGTGGAGGAGTTTCTCAACGGGATGGCTGTGTGAGTCCCTGTGGCACATGGTGGGCCCCGGCAGCTCTGCATCTGTCTGAATGAATGTATTTGAACTTTTAGAGGTCTTATTTGAAATAGGGTCTTTTGGACCCCAAAAGTTTGAAATCTGCAACTTCAGCACAACCACAGCTGGCCGCCACCAGTCTGTGGTAGTGCCATACCCAGAGGGGACGGGCAGAATGCACCCGTTTGTCCTGTGGGAGAAAACCACGTGGCAGCCAGACTTGATCTGGGGATGGAGTGGTGGTTGAGAGTTCTGGCTTTGAGTCTTTTTGCACATGAGCAACCGCAGTGCCAGTTTCTCAGGCCAGATGTGCCAAGGTCCTTGAGAGAATCCTTTGTCCTAGAGACAGAGAGCAGCCCAAGGGACAGCAGGTATGGGGTGGGGCACAGGGAGGCAGTGGAGGTTGTGTATTGGATTCTTGAATGGGGAGGAGATGCCAAGTTTATCAGAATTGAAAACATGTACTCTTTGACCCAGCCATTCCTTTCCTGGGAATTTATGTTGGGGATATGCTAACAGGTGTGGCTAAGATGTATGCAGAAGCGGGTCCTAGAAGCCTTGTTTGGAAAAGCAAGATACTGGAGACAACCTGGTGCTCACCAATAGGGGCCTGATTGCATCAGTTAGAGTAAAACTGCAGTAGAACTGATGCAGTGTTCAGAGAATACGGCACCTCCATATAGGGTGGCTATAGGACAGCTCGGGCGCATGAGTATTGAAGGAGCAGAGTGTTGGTGGGCTGCTGTTGGAATATTAAAGAAGAGACACCCATGCATGACTAGGCCTCAGCTCTTCCAGGCGTGGTGCCTGGGTTGTGGATGGGCAGGGAAGCAGGTGGCTGGGAGCAAATACAAGGGTGTGGGGCTTGGGAGGGCACATGGCACTGCCAGGCGGTGGAGGAGTTTCTCAATGGATGAGGCAGTGTACATTTTTGTGCCATGTTTGTTCAAAAAAGTCAACAAACCGTAAAAAGCAAGTGGAAGGGCATAGCCATATCTGGAAAGGTAGCCATGTTATCTGGCAGGTGTGGGCTCTGGAAGTTTAATAACCAGGCTGGACAGAGCTGTGGTGAGCAGAGTGAGACCTTGGAGGCCCTCGGGGTGTGAGGGCCATGTGGCCACATAGACTGGCTTTCTGCCCCACCAGAGAAGGGCTGGGACTTAGAGGGTGGGACCTGTAAGTCAAATTTCTACTAGGTCCCCAAAAGACCAGTGCCTGCCAGTACCTGCCTCAGGTCCTGTGATGGTGGGGATCGCCCCAAGGACGGCGGCAGCAGGGCATTGGCTCCTGGCAGTCTCACCTTCCTTTTTCTCCTTTAGGTACAGCCCCAAAAGCCCTGCCCTGCAGTCTGAGACTGTCCACTATAAGAGGGGGGTGAGCCAGCAGTTCTCTCTGCCCTCCTTCAAGATCAACTTCTCAGAATGGAAGGATGAAGAGGTAACCTCCTGGCTTCTTGCCTGAATTCTCTCCCTTTTGTCAGGGCAAGCACAGTGTGGCCTGTTTGTTAAGATTTCTAACATTGGTAAGCATCGGGAGTAGCTGTGGACCAAGGTGTGTGTGCTCATTTGGGCATGTGAAGTGCAGCTCAGTCAGTGTTGACTGGACTGAATGATCGAGGCAAGACAGCCAGCCACAGCAGAGGCTCCAGTACCCAGCTTTGGTGTGGTTGTCAGGCCCACAAGACTGCAGCGTGGCAGAATCCCTTCCGCCTAATGGTTCCACAGTTAGGGACAGTAATTTACAGGATGTGATGGGTGTGCAATGCTGCTCTGTCTATAATAGTAAAAATTGGAAACAATGTACACATCCATCACAAGGGAATTGCTTAGTTTACTGGTGTTATGGGAGCCACCACCTATATAAAAAAGCCTAAATGACGGTATGGTGGAATGACCAGACTACTGGTTACTATGATGCGCACTGACCACCAGGGGGCAGACGCTCAATGCAGGAGCTGACCCCTGGTGGTCAGTGTGCTCCCACAGGGGGAGCGCCACTCAACCAGAAGCCAGACTCACGAGGCAGCGCTAAGGAGCAGTGAGCAGGCCGGCAGAAAGGCCTGAGGGGTCCCAGATTGCGAGATGGATGTCTGCCTGCTGACTTAGGCCTGATCCTCATGGGAGCGGGCCTAAGCCAGCAGGCAGACATCCCCCAAGAAGTCCCAGACTGCGAGAGGGTGCAGGCTGGGCTGAGGGACCCCCCTCTTTCCTGCCTCCAGTGCACGAATTTCATGCACCAGGCCTCTAGTATACTTAATGGGGGCTTCCTGGCTCATGTCTATTATGGGATGCCATGCAGTCTTAAAGCACATGAGATATCTGTATATTCTGTACATACTCACGTGGGAAGCCTGTTCTGGGCTTGAAGAAGACCAAGTTGCAAACAAATGCAGTATGATCTCATGTATGTGGCATCCACAAAAATGCACAAAAATATTTCTGCAGGTATAATGTACGTGTATATAATTCTTGAGGAAAAACCAGAAAAGAAGCTCATCAAACTGAAGGTTATTTCTGCAGAGGGTTGTGGTGTATGGAATACACACATTGATATGTATACCAGGCCTGTGTCTGTGGGGTCTGCATTCATGGATTCAACATGAATGGAAAATATATTTTTTAAATATTATGTTGTTGGTAATGTGTACTATGTAGTTAGGCCTATGATGGGATGGTTATGTCTGTACTGAACATGTACAGACTTTTTTTTCTTGTTTTATTCCCTAAACGATACGGGATAACAACTATATAGCATTTACATTATATTAGGTACTGTAAGTAATCTAGAGATGATTAAAAGTATAGGAAAAGATGCATGTAGTTTATATGCAAATACTACTCTATTTTATTGAAAGGACTTGAGCACCTGAGGAATTTGGTATCTGAGGGGGGTTCTGGACCCCAGCCCTCATACTGAGAACAGACTGTATAGTGTGAGTGTTGACACTGTACACACTTCTGTACTATTTTTGTTTCATTGTTTTTGTTTTGTTTTGTTTTTTACAAATTTATTAAGGTATAATTTATATACCAAAAAATTCACCCATAGTTTTATTTAGAGATTTTGATAAATTTATGATCACAGCTATTAACAATCCAGTTTTAGAATCCAGTTTCCATCCTTCTTATAGGATCCCTCCTGCCCATTTACAGTTAACCTCTGTTCCTACCCCAGACCCTGGCAAACACTCATCTACTTTCTGTCTCTTTAGATTTGCCTCTTCTGGAAATTTCATATAAATAAAATCATATATTAATTGACCTTTTGTATCTTTTACTTAGCATCATTGTCTTTTGGCTGTTGGCTACTTTACATAATGGTACTATTTTGTATATAAATTTTAGTTTGAATGCATGTTTTCATTTGTCTTGGCTATAATTTGCTATTTATTTATTTTAAAATATTGTTTTATTTATTTCAGAGAGGAAGGGACAGGGAGAGAGAAATAGAAACAACAATGAGAGAATCATTGATTGACTGCTTCCTGCAAACCCCACCCTGGGTATCAAGCCTAAAACCTGGGCATATACCCTTCCCATGTTGCCCAGAGGCCCAGAGTGGCTGGGGCAGTGTGGAACACCTGCTGTGCGATGCAAGTGTTGCGCCCCACCCCCACCCCCAACCCCTGCCACTGCTCTGTGCCTGCATATGCAAATCAACCTGTCATCTTTGTTGGGTTAATTTGCATAGTCACTCCTGATTGGCTGGTGGGTGTTATGAATGTATGGTCCATTTGCATCTTACTCTTTTATTAGTGTAGATATTATGACATGTTTCCAGGTCAGTGCTCACAGACCACCTCAAAGCTGGAGTAGCCTCTTCTAGTTCCCCTCTTATCCTCCTTGGGGGGGGGGGGGTTCCATATATTTTAGTCAAAGCCACGTTTCTTTCTTCTTCTGCCCTTTGCCTTTTTCCTATTTCCTGGTGTCCATCTGGCCTGGGGTTTGCAAAGTCCCTGTCTGGTGGGGAGGATCTCTGTGCCCAGAGAGCCCGGGGTGCCAGAGTGCCAGGCCCCCGCCAGGCTATGTAGGGAAAGAACAAAGAGGTTGCCAGGAAGCCTGTCAGTGACTCATGCTGGCATTAGCTGCCTGGTTCTTTCTCCTGATTTAGGGGGTTGCTTTTCCTTAAGAAAGCTTCTCTCGCAGTAAAAATAACCTATCCCTCAGGTTCTCTGTGGTAGATGGAAGCCTCTGTTCTTTTCCAGCATGCTTAGCTCTGACCGTGTGGAGCAGGAATTTGTGGGGAGATGGTTCTCGCTCCCCAGGTCCCCACACTCCTTGGGCCCCTCCTTGTTCTGTCAAGGCACTCTAAGCACGGCCCAGGACCCAGGCCATATGCGCAGGAAGATCCGGAGTCACAGTATCCCCCTGGTGTCCATCTCTGTTCCCCTGGCCCAGCACTGAGCCGACCAGTGTAGGTTTCTGCTGGAGTTACCTGAATTAGTTGACCAAAGGCACTCTGACACCCTTGGGCTCTTTGGGCACAGGGATCCTCCCCACCAGACAGGGTCTTTGCAAACCCCAGGTCAGATGGGGAAACAGGCTGGGTTAGGGAGCTACACTCTGACCTGTCCCAGCACCTGGCCCCCTTCCCAGTCCTGTCTCCCACCAATGGCCTGGGATCCACAGGCACCTTCCAGGCCGCTCTTGTGCAGCCCCTGCTGTGGGTGTCCTCAGTTGGCTGTCTCTGTCCTGTGTGCTCGGTGTGACCTGCCCAGATGGACGGGTGGGAAGTAGCGTGGCCTCCAGCTTGAGAGTGGCTGGGACCACGGGGATGGAAGCTGGAGGAGAAGGAGAGGGACGGAAGGTTTCTCCTTGAGTTCAGACCAGCCATGTGGTCCCTTTGCTTTCCTTCCCTCTTGGGTTGGGGCCACACCAGGTACCTTTCTTCTTAAGGTTGAACACAGTTCCGTGTGACCCAGCACTTGCACGCTTGGTGTGCCCAGGTGAATTGAGAATGGCTCAAACAGCTGCTTATCCAGCATTGTTCATCTCAGCACTGGCCATGGCAGTCAGAGGGGAACAACCCAATTGTCCATTAGAGGTGACCAGTCTGGCCACACAGCACAATATTACTCAGCCTTGAAAAAGAGAAAGCACTAACATGCTGTCGCATGGGTGAGTCTAGAAAGCATGCTGAATGAAAGAAGCCAGACACAAAAGACAGCAAATGATTCCGTTTCTATGAAATGTCCAGAACAGGCAAGTTCTTACAGAGTATAGAGTGGGAGCAAGGGGATAATGAGAGTAGTACGTTAATGGGAACATGCGTTCCTGTTGGGAATGATAAAACGTTTGGAAATGGATGGTGATGATGGAAGCAACACCTTATGAATGTACTTAATGCTATAGAATTGAATACAAACTTGCCATTTTAAACATTTTTATCTTTTAACACACACCACACACACACTCACACTCACACTCACACTCACACAGGCACAGCAAGGGCTCTGTCCTCGCTGCTGTCTGTCCCTCAAGCTCTGCTGTGAAACCACTCTCCCTGCACCTTCTCCAGTGCAGTCTACCCATCTCGCCTCCTTTCCTCCTCAGCTGAACTTCGACCTGGACCGGGGAGTGTTTCCAGTGGTCATCCAGGCCGTGGTGGACGAAGGAGACAGTGAGAAGCCTTTTTCCTTTCCTACTCCCTTCCAGCGAGTGCACCTTGTGGGAAGAGCCATTTCCCGAGGCCCTCCCCCCTGTGAGCAGGGAGGAGTGTACCCAGAAGTGATGAAGGATGGAGGAGCCTTCTTAGCAGGTTTAGGACCAGCTCTCCATCTCCGCTCTGGGGCCCCCGTGGTACTTCTCCTACCTGGGGCTGCAGGGCCTCGCTCCAGCTCAGGAATTTCTGGCCAGCCGGTTCCCACCCCCCGTGGCAAGGCCCTATGCCAGTGCCTCGCTCTCGTGGTGGTAACATCAGCTAGACAGCCTCCAGGTCTGTCTGCTCTGCAGTGGAATGATGGAGTCCGTTAGTAGGGAGCAGCAGAGATCTGCAGGTCCTCCTCAGGCCATGCTGGGTTCCTAACTGACCCAGCCAGTCCTGCCCAGTCTCCCTTCCACTGCTGTGGGCTTCAGGCCCCCAGCCTGGGGTGTGAATGCCAGAGCTCTGCCAGGGCTCCTCAGCCTGCCTGAAATGTCCTTCTGTTCAGAGTGAGACAGCAGGTGTTACGAGTGGTCACTTTGGAGGAGGGGAGAGATGTGAGCCAGAGGGAGGTCGGGTCCCCAGTCAGAGGAAGGTTCTAGGCAGCAGGCTGAGAGCGGGAAAGCACTGCTGAGAGGAAGAAGAGGAAGATGGGGTGGGGCCGGCAGCGCTCTGAATGCTTTCTCCTCTCTCCTCCTGGGCAGTTGGGGAGGTGACTGGCCATGCCCATGTGCTGTTGGCTGCCTTTGAAAAGGTAAGTGCCATCCTGCCCCTTGATCTGGGAGCTGTGGGCAGAGAAGTCTGAACTTGGGGATTTTGCCAGGCCATGTGGGCTTAGTGCCTGAGGCCCAGGGCAGATGGAAGGTTCCCTAGTCGATCCAGGCTCCCGGGGAGATGATGCATTTCAGAAGGCTGGGCCTTAAAGTCGAGTGTCACCATCAGGCTTTTCCTAGGGCCTGCGGTGTGTGGTGGGGGCGTGTTCTGGGAAGCCAGTCCTCTACAAGTCCCTGTAACCTGCCAGTACCCGGAGCAGGGTGCCCACTTGGAGGGCTTGGGTCAGACCAGCTTCCCTCAGGGATTTGAGGGGATCGTCCAGACCACTAGCTCCCAGGGCAGACATTCATTGCACTCAGTGTCCGGGAGGGTAGAATGGCCCCTAGCTGCTTGTAGCCTCAGTATGCAGTAGGTGCTCCGTGAGTGCTGGTGGGGTGGGTGAGGGTGCCACCTGCATTGTATGGTCCTGGACCTCTGTGGGTGGTGGAGGGAAAAGAGGGTTCCAGCTAGGGATACCCCACGTGTAAAGGGGCCATTTATGTGAGAGAGCTCGTTTATTAGGTCTAGTAATAACTAATGTCGTTTTCTAATACTTTTTAAATAGAATTTATTTAAACAATACAACAAAATTTAATCAACAATATAGTTGCCGTTGTTTTCTACTACTTGTGCCCAACGCTCAGGAAGCATTTTAATCCCTCTGTTGTAAAATTCTTGTGATTTTGATGCAAAAAAATTCGGTCAATGCATTTTTGAGACATTCTTCATTATTAAATTTTTTTCCAAGAAGAAAGTTTTGCAAAGAACGAAACAAATGGTAATCGGAAGGGGCAATATCAGGAGAATATGCAGGTTGAGGGAGAACTTCCCATTCCAACTGGCGCAGTTTTTCAGCAGTGATTCTTGCAGTATGCGGTCGTGCGTTATCGTGGTGAAGAATTATGCCCTTCCGATTAATCAGCGCGAGTTCTTTTTCTCTTAAAGCTTGGGCTAACCTACTGTTCTCAAAACAGCCTGGTACTGGCACAAGAACAGACATATAAATCAATGGAATCGAATCGAGAACCCAGAAATCAACACAAATCACTATGCTCAATTAATATTTGACAAAGGAGGCACGAATATACAATGGAGTCAAGACAGTTTCTTCAATAAATGGTGTTGGGAAAATTGGACAGACACATGCAAAAGAATGAAACTAGATCACCAACTTACACCATTCACAAAAATAAACTCAAAATGGATACAGGACTTAAACATCAGACGGGAAACCATAAAAATACTAGAAGCATCCACAGGCAGCAAAATCTCAGACGTATGCCAAAAGAACTTCTTCACTGATACTACCCCTAGGGCAATGGAAGCTAAAGAGAAAATAAACAAATGGGACTACATCAAAATAAAAAGCTTTTTTACAGCAAAAGAAACCATCAACAAAATAACAAGAAAGCCCACAGTGTGGGAGAACATATTTGCAAATGATACCACTGATAAAGGTTTAATCTCCAACATCTACAAACAGCTTATACAACTAAATAAAAGGAAGGTAAATAATCCAATTAAAAAATGGGCAATGGACCTAAATAGAACATTTTCAAAAGAAGACAGAAGGAAGGCCAAAAGGCACATGAAAACATGCTCAAAGTCACTAATTGTCCGAGAGATGCAAATCAAAACAACAATGCGGTACCATCTCACACCTGTCAGAATGGCCAGCATCAACAAATCAACAAACGACAAGTGTTGGCGAGGTTGCGGAGAAAAAGGAACCCTCGTGCACTGCTGGTGGGAATGCAGACTGGTGCAACCACTGTGGAGAACAGTGTGGAGTTTCCTCAAAAAACTGAAAATGGAACTCCCATTTGACCCAGTAATCCCACTTCTAGGAATATATCCCAAGAAACTAGAAACACCAATCAGAAAGGATATATGCACCCCTATGTTCTTAGCAGCACAATCTACACTAGCCAGAATTTGGAAACAGCCTAAGTGTCTGTCAGCAGATGATTGGATCCAAAAACTATGGTACATCTACACAATGGAATACTATGCTGCCATAAAAAAGAAGGAATTCTCATCATTTGCAGCAACCTGGATGGAATTGGAGAACATCATGCTGAGTGAAATAAGCCAATCAATGAAAGAGAAACACCACATGACCTCACTCATTTGTGGATAATAAAGAGCATTATAAACCGATGAACCAAAAGATAGATATAGAGACAGGATATCAACAAGTAGACTGTCAAATTATAGCGGGGAGGGGAGGAAGATCTGGGGGAGATAATAGATCAACCGAAGGACTTTTATACATGCATATAAGTACAACCAATGGACACAAAACTCTGGGGAGGGAGGGGATGTGTGGGAGGGAGGGAGGGGGGCAAAAAAAAATCAATAAAATATATTAAAAAAATAAATAAATAAAATAAAGGTGATTTTCATTAATTGTCATTTTATTTATTATATTGCAATAAACATTGGAACAAAAAAAAAAAAAAAAGCTTGGGCTAACCTTTCCAATTGGGCACTATACACTGCACTTGTAATGGTTTGGTTAGATGGTAAAAGTTCATAATGAAGAATTCCTTTAAAATTCCACCAAACACACAACATCGCTTTTTTCGCATGCAAGTCAGGTTTTGGCGTGGGCTGCGGAGCCTCATTTTTGTCCAACCATTGAGGCCGCCTTTTCAAATTAACATACAGCACCCATTTTTCATCTCCGGTAACAATTTGCCCTAAAAACGGCAAACGGTTTTGACGAGAGAGGAGCGAACTGCAAATTGTGACTCTTTGATTACGGTTGTTGTCGGTCAACTCATGAGGAACCCATTTTCCAAACTTTTGGACTTTGCCAAGTATACGCAATTAATTGGAAATTGTTTTTTGTGAACAATTTAAAGTTGTCGCAAGCTCTTGTTGGGTAATTTGAGGATTTTGCACCAAAAGAGCTTGAAGAGCTTCTTGATCAAAATTGGACACATGGCCTCTACCACTCTTGTCATCTAACGAAAAATTTCCCTCGCAAAATTTCTCAAACCAACGCTGGCATTTTCTGGCGCTAACTGCATCTTGACCAAGAGCACTACAGATGTTTTTTGCAGCCTCACTTGCTTTTCTTCCTAATTGGAACTCGTAAAGCATGCAGTGCCGAATATGCTCTTCATCCGCCATCTTCTTAGCCCTAGTTTTGCAACAAAAACCAAACCAAACAAACTTTTTCAAGCAAAACTTGTTAATTGCACTTCACACATTCTGTATATACCACGTGTTTGAAGGTTATGTCAATACAAGTCAACGCCAAGCAAGATTTTAAACGAATGTTTAAAAACGACATTAATTATTACTAGACCCTATAAAAGTGCCTGTAGTCTGCATTACATATATTTGAACTTCTTTCCACAAAGACCTGAGTCCCCAGGCTGCCCAGGTATCCATGTGTTATGGCTGTGTTTGCGGGCGAAGTTGGTGGCAAGGACGGTGTGCCTCACCACTGTCTCCACATTAGGATGTTGCTGGGTAGAGACAGTCCCACTGGCCTGTCACTACTGGTCCTGGGGCTAGGCAGCATGTAGTGAGTGAGCCCCCTGCTGTGCTGGGACAGGGTCCCTGTTCACTTGACCTTTAACAGAGGCAGTGGGGTATGTCCTGTGTTTGAAAACGCTGCGCCTGACACCCTACCCCCAGGGCCCTCTGACATTGGCTGGTGCTCTGTATAGTATTTTTGGCACCAGTCAGTGGCCTATGGGGACGAGGATTAGGGACCTCATGAGGAAACCAGGCCCAGTCTACTTGTTTTGGAATTTCTATCCACTCCTGGGCATCCTGCTGACCCCCAGCTTCTTCAGCCGGGTGTGTGTCTGCAGTCCTGAGATTTCTCCGTGCAGAGCCTGGCTCGTTCCTGTGATCTGGGTCGTTCCAGATGCCCAGAGGTCAGTGTAGCCAGGCCTGAGACCTTTCTGGCCCCTTTGCCAGCTGCTCTCCCTGGCCTCCTGAGGTGGTGGCGATGCCAAGTGCCGGAGCGGAGATGGGCCCTCTGCCTCTCCAGTTCTGGGCTGCCAGCTGTGCTCTCTCAGCCTGGCTGGAAGCGACAGGAACTATTTACCCATCTGCTTCTCTGGCCGAGGCGGATGGGCCTTCACTGGCAAACATTTCATCTGCTGTGCTTCCAGTTTAGAGCTCAGTGAGAAACTGTTATTTTTGGAGTCCAACTTAACTAGAAACTTCTGTAGGAACCCATCAGCTTTACCAGAAAATGCACATGTACCTTAATTAATCTTGTCGACTCTGAGTAGTATGTCTCCCAGATACCACTGAACGCGTTTGCTCTAGTTTGTTCTCATAGTTTTTAGATCTTTGGGTTTTCCTCACACGGTGCTTGGCTTCCGGCCTTCTGTGGTGGGCAGCACCACCTGGCCCAGGTGCGTACATTCTGGAGCTGTGTCTCTAGGTCAAGTCCTTTGAGGTCCAGGACTAGGGTCTAGTTCTTGCCGTCCTGGGGCTGCTTCTTGTCCATCATCAGAACTTGGCTGGTGGTTGTAAGCTTGAGTGTGCTTGAGAGCTACACAGGGGGTTTGGTTTTTGTAGGTCAGGGTGGGCCCCAGGAGGTGGTATCTTTAGAAGGTGCTCAAGGCCAGGTCAGAGACCGCATTTGGGTCTTTAGGCTTCACATGGTCCCTCCTTCACATGGCCATGGATGTGGGCTGACCAAGGAAGGGTCTTTAGCTGGCTGAGCAGTGCCATGTTAACCTGTGCTTTCTCCCTGCAGCATGTTGATGGCAGTTTCTCCGTGAAGCCGTTGAAGCAGAAGCAAATTGTAAGTCTGTCAGAGGAAATGTCATGAGCCCTTTTGAATCAAAAGACACATGTGCACACCTATCCAGTAGTCTCCGGGGATTATTCTCTCCTCCCACCACGGTGGCTGTCGGTAGCTAGTGACAGGCCTGTTGACTTGTCTGTCATCGTTGTGGGCTCTGGGAAGTCAGGGTCAGGGTTGTCGGGTGTGTGTATTGCATACCCACCATGCACAGCAGTATTGACTATGGTAGCCCTGAGTCTTGTCCAGCGTGAACATCATAAGCTTTCAGTAACTGTTTGCTGAATGAAGGAACGAACAAACGGACAGAGGAAGGAAACTGGAAACAAACCGAAGCCTCCCCTCTTTCTCCTCCTTACAAATCACAGAAAATACCTCAGCGTCAAGCAAAAATGGATTTACTTAATATTTGAGAGGAAAGATGGAATATTTTGGAACAAGTGGGAGCTGTAGAGAAGTACAGCTTTTCGGTCAGTAATCCATGGGATGAAATACTCCGGCGTCCTCCACACGGTGAACATTGAGAGATGGGTCCCCTGAGCTGTGCCACGTTGCCTCTTAATGTTGAGTCTGATTTTTTTTTATTTTTTATTTTATTGATTTTTAACAGAGAGAAAGAGAGCTAGAAACGTCGATTAGAGAGAAACATCGACCAGCTGCCTCTTGCACACCCCCCACCGGGGATGTTCCCGCAACCAATGTACATGCCCTTGACCGGAATCGAACCTGGGACCTTTCAGTCCGCAGACCGACGCTCTACCACTGAGCCAAACCGGCTTAGGCTTGAGTCTGATTTTAACAATGGCCAGAGTGGGGCCTGTTTCCAGTCCATGGTTAGGTTATTTTTGTAGGTAGCTGCTCAGGTGTATATGCCACCAGGAATGGTGTTGGTTAGTTTTTTAAAAGAGGATTAGGGGGAACTCTGGCACATTCAGACTTGAAGGTTGCAGAAGGGCTGGAGATCCTAGGGATGGTCAGGGCACTTGTCTTAGGAGAGCACTATGGCTCTCAGGAGGCATGTTTATGTCCGTAGAACTGTGGGAAACACACAAGTTCAGACCACTTTTGAACACGGCCAGGGTGAGGCCTGAACTTGATCATGCTTGTAGGGCTGGTGGTGGGTGAGTCCATAGTGCTTTTTCTCCAGGTTGGGGACAGTCAGTGTGCCGAGGGTGTGGTTGCTGGGCCTGTGTGAAGCTTGGCTCAAAGCCCTCTCTGGCGGACAGGACCACCTGGGCCCCAGCCCTGCTCCCATGCTATTAGTTGGGCTGGGCAGGTAGTAGTATCCCTCTACTACCTGCCTCCTCCTGGCATTGGACCCACTCTCTGGGGTTGGGACTGGACAAGAATTCCCAACTGTGCCTGCTTCCGGGACCCAACCCTGGTGTCTTGGAAGTGGTGCTGAGGAGCCCTTGAGTGGGGGCTGGCAAGTACCCAGATGCCTCTTTGCTCTCCAGGTAGACCGGGTCAGCTACCTGCTGCAGGAGATCTATGGCATCGAGAACAAGAACAACCAGGAGACGAAGGTATGTGCTGTGGTGAGCACGCCCCGTGACTCCAGGCTGGCCTCACTCCCCACCTTCCCTTCCTCTTGCAGGGAAGCAGGCTCATGAGAATGATTTGCCTGGGACCCCTCGCCGTGGCCAGGAAGGACCCCCAGGTCGATGTAGATGAGCCAGTTTCCTTCCACTCCTTCCCCTGGAGGCCCTGGGACCCCAGGTTCCATCATTTTTTCTTAATTTTTCAAAGGAGTTAGCAGTTCAATGAATTTGCTTTTTCCAGCAAATTCAGTGGCTTGTAGCATCGTTGGGCTGTGGGCTGGGAGGGTCCCTCTTGCCCGACTGGGCTCAGCCAGTGCTGCCTTGGCCTTTCTGTTCTCACAGTCATCGGTGAGCCTCACTGTGTCCTGCCGGCTGGCTCCTCCCCAGACTCGAACCCCTGTGGCTTTGTGGGGGGAGAGGTGCTTCACTGAAAGCTGTGACAGAGGCCTGGTGGCCGGCAGAGCGTGTTGGCACAGCCAGGAAGTTAGCAGAGAATTTGTCACCATTTTTAAAGGCGCACTAGCACGAATGGAACTGCTGCCTTTTAAAAAATCTCCAGAAGTCTCACACACCAGCAGGAACTGGCCAGAGGCAGGACAGGGCAGCTTGGCCAGGCCTGAGCCTCAGATGAGCGCTCTCTGCTTGATTCACATGTTTTACACCAGAGGTCACTGGCTTTCTATAAATATTTTCAATGTGACTGGCCTGCATGTGTCCATTGGATCTGTTCACCACTGCCATTAGAGCACTGAAGCAGCCAGGCAATATGGGAACAACTGGGTGAGGCCGAATTTCAATAAAACTTTATAGAAACCGAGCAGGCCATAGCTTGCCGATCCCGATTTTAGAATGTTTCTGCCTCTTGATCCAGATTTTGCTTTCTAGAAGCTGCGTTTACTTGATGAAAATATGTCATACAAGTTAGACTTGTCTCATTTTTTTGTTTATTTGTTTTAACCAAATAAATGGGTACCTTCTGGAAGATGTGTTCTAGTGTTGTATCTCTTCCACATTTTTTCTTTGGTTTTGGGAATAGAAATAGACCTGAGTTTCTTGATTTGGGGGCTATACCTCCTCTTTGCTGTGGGGTGGGCTTGGGCTGGATCTGCGCCTGGTGCCCAGGGAGCGGGACTCTGGGCTGACTGTGGAGGCGTCCTACTCTGCAGCGACATTCCTCCACCCTCACGGGCTTCCCTTTGCCCCCAGGGGCCATGGGGGCCGGCTGGTGGGGCAGCCAGGAGCAGGAGGGCCCCTTCCCGGCCCCTTAGCTGGCCTCCAGCCTCCAGCTCTCGGCTCTCAGAAAGCCGCTGACCCTCAGCCTTCGTTGTCCCCGCAGCCTTCGGACGAGGAGAACAGTGACAACAGCAATGAGTGCGTGGTGTGCCTGTCGGACCTGCGGGACACGCTGATCCTGCCCTGCCGCCACCTGTGCCTGTGCAACTCCTGTGCCGACACGCTGCGCTACCAGGCCAGCAACTGCCCCATCTGCCGGCTGCGTGAGTGGGCCCGCACCGGGCAGCCAGGGCACTGGGACTGACGGGCCATCAGCTCCCAGCTGCAGCGAATGGGAGTCTGGTGGTTAATGCCGGTAGCTCACACGACAGCGATTCTGCAGGCATGTGGAAGGTTCAGATCTCAAAAGTCTGCCTCCAGAAAAGCTGGACTTTCAGGACGGCCGGGAAGGGTGCTCCGGGCAGGTGTTGGCAGTGATGCTAGAACTGAACAGAATTTTTTTTTTCCTTCTTGTATTTATTGGGGTGACACTAGTTAACAAAATTATACAGGTTCAGGCACAACTCCACCACACATCACCTGTACACTGTAGTGTGTGTTCCTCTCCCAAGTCACCTCTCCTTCCATCACCTGCGTAGACATTGCACTGTCACGAATGTTCACATACATGTCTGCCTGCCTGTGGTCACTGTAACTTCCAGGAAGAGACTCGCAATGTCCAGGGCTCACTGTTGCTGGTTGGCAGGTGTAACTTGAAGCCACTGTCTAGGCCAGTGGTTGGCAAACTCATTAGTCAACAGAGCCAAATATCAACAGCACAATTGAAATTTCTTTTGAAAGCCAACATTTTTTAAACTTCTTCTAACGCCACTTCTTCACAACAGACTCGCCCAGGCCATGGTATTTTGTGGAAGTGCCACACTCAAGGGGCCAAAGAGCCGCATGTGGCTCAAGAGCCTCAGTTTGCTGACCACAGGTCTAGGGTACAGCCGGAGGGTCAGAGGCTGGCTGTGTCCTCTCTGCCACCTCTAAAAACTTCACTGAGTTGGGGCAGCATTGTCCTGACCTCTGCCTTCCTCGTGTGACTGTTCTGCCTGAACTGGAAACGTGGCTCGTCCTGGGATCGCTGTGGTGGGGGTGGGGTCAGTGCCCCCGCAGCTGGGCGGGTCTCAGTGGTGCTGGAACGGCTGCTCTTTGCCTGACACCAGCCCTTCCCTTCTGCACAGCTTTCCGGGCCCTGTTGCAGATCCGGGCGGTGAGGAAGAAGCCAGGAGCCCTCTCTCCCGTCTCCTTCAGCCCCGTCCTGGCCCAGAGCGTGGACCATGACGAGCACTCTGTAAGTGCCTCTTCCGTCGGCATTGGGGGGTAGAGAGGTGGAGGGAGGAGGAGCAAAAAGGAAGCCCTGCCTTCTTGTTAGGCAGCCAGATGCTTCCAGGCCCTGCCTTCCTGTTAGGACAGTGTCTGGCTCCCTGCCCTTGGAGCCGTACCTGGCCAGGACCAAGGCTGGCTGGCCAGCACCTCCACCTCTGGCTCCCAGAGTGGCCGCACAGGAGCTGGAGCCACAGGGCTGTCACCACCACTCCACCAAGTCAGACAGCAAGGGCACCCCTGGTGTTTGGGAAGGGAGGGCTCCTTCACAGGTGGCTTCTCTGCCCACCTCTCCATTCTGGGCACACAGGAGGGCCCCTCAGCAACCGCCTACTGCCCTTGCTCCTGAGAAACAAGGTCACCTACTGCAGGCAGACAAGGGGTGTCGGACTCTGGCTTTGGAGAGAGGTGGGCAGAGACTCAGACAGCGAGACAGATATGTACGGGCAGAAACAGGCGGAGGGACAGAGACAGAGAAGTAGAGACAATGCAGAGATGTGGACAGACACAGCTAGGGCAGGAGACAGACACTGAGAGAGACACACACACAGACAGAGATGGGGATGGGGTTGGAGAGGACAGGCCGAGGTGGACAGATGGGGAGGAAGGACCAGGGAACAGGTGCCCGGCAGGTCTGGGTCTCCCAGGTCCCTGCTGGACACGAGTGTTGTCAATTGTGAGTGCGTTCTCTTGGCTTTCAACTGAGGGTGTTTGGACCTAGTGATTCTCAGGGGTCCTGCCAGCCCTTTAAAAAGAAAAAAGGACTCGCCCTCTAGACTGTGCACCCAGAAGACGGGGTCCACTGGGCCAGGGGTGTTATGTGTTCGGCCCACATACTGTTTCTGAGAATTGGGCTAATGTTTAGAAATCTGGAAATTTCCCTTAAAACCAAGACTGTGATTTACCTTTCAAAATTTGAGTGTGTAGTCTTGAAGCTGGAGCAAAGGCAAGGCTTTCCCCGGGGGTGAACCCCATCACCTCCCCTCTCCTGGGGCAGTCACACTGTCTGTTTTGCCTGCTGGGCCCTGTGGACATCAGGGTTTATGACTCAGCGTAGGCCCCCCACTTGTTTGACATTGGACTTGGTTACAGACACTGCACACTTCCTCCAGCAAGGAGTTTTGGGTGTGATTTGCTCCGGGAAGGGATGCCTGGGGAGCTATCTCCCAGGGTAGCCGCTCAGGTGGTGGGTTTTGTCGCTTGCGTGTTACTCTCCCGGTTTCTGTTTGCCCCTTGTACTTAGCCTGGGAGCTGTGATGCTGCCCACAGTGCAGGGTGGGCTGGGGCTTGGGTGGTAACCGCCAATGCCTTCCTCTCCCGAGGGTGGTTATTGTCCTCCGTTACCTGTAGGAGCCATTTCCACGTCGTACCAGAGAGAGCCCAAACTAGGCATTTTCTCCAAAGAGTTGGGGTGATTTGGGGCTTTTTTTACCCAGCCACCATTAGGACTTGGAAGTGGGTGATAAGTTGTTTTAAGAGGCCTGCAGGTCCCTTCCCCATGCCCAGCCAGGCCCACTTGTGTGGGGCACCCAACCACTCTCACACCCCCCTGCCCACCTGCTACTCGAGGTGACCCAGACTGCGGGTGGGCATGGGGGCGGGTGGACTCCACCAGCAGCACAGCTCCCAGCCAGGCCCCTGAGGCCAGACCTGCATTTTGGCAAGGTCCCCACAATTCATGTGCATGTTAAGTTGCGAATGCACTCCCTAAAGCCAGCAGACCAGACCGACCCCAGCCATCCAGCTCCAGGGCCATACGGAGGGTAGTAGTTGTAAAATGTATGATTTTTATTTTGACAGTGTCCCTTTAAAAAATCAAAGTCGCACCCTGCCTCACTGGCCAGCAAGAAACCTAAAAGGGAAACTGTAAGTGTGTTTGGCCCTGTGGCCGTGTCTCTGCCCCTCACCCTGATTATTAAGCCAAGGACAAGTACGGGAAGTCATTTTTGGGAAGTCATTTTCATCCCAGGTTGACGTGTTTGGTTGATTTTATCTGTCAAATCCACTCTCCCCAGTCCCCGGCTTCCCTGCTCAGAAAAGGAGTGTGTGGAACAAGCAGAGCTCAAGGTCTGTCGCAAAAAGCCAGTCTCTTGGACCCCCCCCTGCCAGGCACACCGGCCTCAGGCGCCCCTCCCGCCAGCTCTGCTCTGCGCCTGGTCCAGTGCCCCGTTTCCCTTTGTTTCTTGCTGGCAGTGGAATGATGGAGGTGGAACTAATGTGGCTGCTAGATTTTGCAAATAGCACTCTTAGCGCTTGCTTGTCATTCTACACCCCCTGCTCTCTGCCCCTTGGGTTTTAGCTCTTTGGGCCAAAGATTGAGTTTTCTTGCATTTTCCCTGCATTTCGAGGAGCAGGCTGGGGACTGGAGAGTGTGTGGCAGCCAGGCTGGGCCTCTGGTAAAGCGTAGAGGTGGAAGTCACTGGGGAGTCAGTACAGATAGGTGTTTTTCTTTAATGGGGGATGAGGTGTTCACAGTAATTATTTACCTTTAAATTGGAGGTGGATAGGGAGCAGGGCACCACTGGCTCAGGTGACCTGGGGATCGGGAAGTGCTTGCTGAGGGCAAGAGGCCCCATCCTGCCTCCCCTGCCTCCTCTATGGTCCCAGGATTGCTTTACCACCTTTCTTCCTGCCAGTTAGATGGGCAGGTAGGCCTGGCTGATGTGGCTCAGTTGGTTGAGCATTGTCCCATGTACCGAGATAGCCAATTTGATTCCTGGTATGTCACATGCGCAGGTGGCTGCCTCGATCCCCAGAAGCGGACATGCAGGAGGCAGCTGATGTTTCTTCCTAAAAAATCAATAAAAACATGAAAGAAACAAGCAGGTGGGCCGGTGAGGGTTCCAGTAGGGAGTACTTTGGGACATTTGCCCTTCACCTATTTAATGTGAGTGAGGACAGGTGGCTGCCCCACTCTACAGGGGCCCAGCACTGAGCATCTCCCTCTCCCTTCACCTTTAACCCTAAAGCCAGGCTGTTGATGTCATTTATTTGGGGGAAACCGAGGTTCTGAACCAGGGGGCCTGTCAGAATCACACGTCATCCCGCGGATGCCTGCCTGGGTCCACGAGGGTCTGGTGCTGGGCCAGATGTCTTTGTTGTCGGGCAGAGCTCCCCGGGACCAGCCCTCCCTGGTCTGGAACACGTGGTTCCCTGGTTTCTCTCAGCTCTGGCATGGCTTTGCTCTCCACCTGCCGCTCACTAACCCCTCTCACTCTCTGCCCCTGCCCAGGAGCACACAGCCGGCGGGGCTGTCTGAGGCTCGGAGTGGGTGGCTCTTCCGGGTGTCCTCTCCCTTCCTGTCAAATGGGGCGTTTGGTTGTTCAAGGCTGTGCTGCACTGATGGAGGGGGATGCCCGGGAGGCGGCCGGCGCTGCTCTAGAGCTCCTGGCGCCCTCTGCGGAGGGAGGGCTTAACCCCCTGGAAGGTGGAGTCACAGGAGAGGGTCAGAAGCAGGTGCCGGGGAGAAAGCAGGTGCCGTCTCGGGCATAAGCCCGGGTAGTGGGCAGGGAGCCTCGCCAACGCCTCCCTCACCCGCTCTTGTCCCCTCAGAGCTCAGACAGCATCCCGCCGGGCTATGAGCCCATCTCTCTGCTTGAGGCACTCAACGGCCTCCGGGCCATCTCCCCGGTCCTCCCCTCGGCTCCCCTTTATGAAGAGATCACCTACTCGGGCGTCTCGGATGGTCTGTCCCAGGCCAGCTGCCCCCTGGCTGGGCTTGATCGCATCATGGAAAGCAGCCACCAGAAGGGCAAGTCGCGGAGCAAATCCCCCGACAGGTGAGGCCGGGGTTCCCGCTGGGGAGGGGCGTCTGGGAGCCACCCGCCTGCTCGTGGCCGGCCCACAGGAGGAGTGTGCCAGTAGACGGGAAGTGCGAAGCAGGGTTATCTGTAGTTTGAAACAATTTTATGACGTGTTTTTGGTGACCACCAGAAAGACTAACAAGACCAGTAGCGGGTTAGGTTCCGGGTAAGGTTGATCTCAGCAAAGGCAGCAGGAGTGAAATGTGTCCCAGGCCACACCGCAGGGCGTGAGCGCTGTTGCACCAGGAGAGCTGTTTGAGTTTCGGGGTCCTGGGCTTTCTGGGATTGGTCACATGGGCACATCCTGCTGTGCGACTAGTGAACCAGGATTGCCATCCCTCCGTAAGGAACCTTCCAGCCCGGGGCCTATCGTGGCTCCCTTGGACACAGGCTGGGCTCTGCCAGCCTTGCCCTGGCGAGTCTTTCCTCTCACATATACTGGTTTTTCACTAGGGCAGTATACAGAGGGCACAGGTTCGATAAAACCAGCTGAGCCCCATGACTAATACACATGGCAGAATCACTTCAAAGATGCAGAATCATGGGAATCTCCTGCAGCCCTTCAGCCCAGAAGTATGCCATTGCAGTTGTCCTCTCCTCCTTCTTTTTATTTTATTTTATTTTATATTTATTTATTTTTTTCAGAGAGGAAGAGAGAGGGATAGAGAGCTAGAAACATCAATGAGAGAGAAACATCTACCAGCTGCCTCCTGCACACCTCCCACTGGGAATGTCCCCGCAACCAAGGTACATGCCCCTGACTGGAATCGAACCCAAGACCTTCAGTCTCGCAGGCTGATGCTCTATCCACTGAGCCAAACCGGTTTTGGCTGTCCTCTCCTTGAAATAAAAAACGGTGTTAGGCCTGACCAGCTTGGCTCAGTGGATAGTGTCGGCCTGCAGACTGAAGGGTCCCGGGTTCGATTCTGATCAAGGGCACATGCCTGGGTTATGGGCTCGATCTGCAGTGGTGAGCATGCAGGAGGCAGTCAATTGATGATTCTCATCATTGATGTTTCTCTCTCTCCCCCCCTTCCTCTCTGAAGTTAATAAGAATATATTAAAAAGTAAAATAAGGAGGATCCAAGATGGCTGCGCCCAGGTGAGCACCTAGCCGCAGCCACACACAACAATTTCAATAAAAAACAACTAAAATATAAAACGGACATTGCCCAGAACTACAGGAAGGTTGACTGACTGGAAATTCTACAGCGAGAAGCAAGGAGAAAACCAGAAGGAGGCGCGGAGGAGCTGGAAAAGCCCAAGGTACGGAGACACGGCGCGCGGAGAGGACGGAGCCAGAGAGGAGGGAGAGGCGGAGTGCCTGGCGGGCGTTCCCTAGCGGAAAGGAGATAAAACTCCGACTGTGCTGGGCCCCCGACTGCTCTGATCCCCAGTTCTAGGCCAGACCCCAGGGACTCAGGCTCAGCCATAGGGAGCCGGGCTGTAAGGCGGAACCCCGGGGAGCGGCGAAAGGAGGTCCTGGCGGCGCACACACTGCGCGCAGAGAAGGGATGGTCGGCTGTGCCGCAGGATTGCCCTGACGGGAAGGAGACAGGGGCTCCAGACTGCTCTGAACGCCACCTCCAACTCCACTTCTAATTGAACTGAACCCCAATACCGGGCTCATTGGGGGAGAGCATAGACTGTTTGGCAGCAGGCGAAAATCGAGGGCACCTTTCTCTCAGAGGCGCCGGCATCGAGCACTGAAGGACCCGCATAGGGCGGGGCTGACGGAAGCCAAAGCTGCAGGCTCCACTCTGAAACCCCGTCCCATCTGTAACTGCGAAATTCGACAACAAAATAGATCACAAACGAAAGAAATGGAGGACAAAAAGCATCTGGATATAGAGTTCAAATCTACGCTTATAAGGTTTTTCAAGAATTTCCTAGAAAAGATGGATAAGACCTATGAGGATATGAAAAGAGATCAACTAGAATTAATGAGTCATCAAGAAATGATAAAGGATCAACAAGAAATGATAAGGGATCAACAAGAAATAAAAAATACATTCTCTGAAATAAAAAATATTATACAGAGTCCTAAAAACAGAATGGAAGATCGCAAGAATCAAGTCAAAGATTTGGAACATACAGAGCCAGAAGACACTCATCCACAGAAGCTAGAAGGCAAGAGAATCCAGAAAATTGAAGATAATGTAAGAAATCTCTGGGACAACTTCAAGCGAACCAACATCAGAATTATGGGGATCCCAGAAGATGAGAGAGAGCAAGATATGGAAAACATACTGAAAGAAATAGTGACAGAAAACTTCCCCCACCTGGTGAAAGAATTAGACTTACAAGTCCAGGAAGCGCACAGAACTCCAAACAAAAGGAATCCAAAAAAGACCACACCAAGACACATCATACTTAAAATTCCAAGAACAAAAGACAAAGAGAGAATATTAAAAGAAGCAAGAGCAAAGAAGGTAGTTACCTATAAAGGAGCACCTATACGATTGTCAGCTGACTTCTCAACAGAAACCATGCAGGCCAGAAGGGAATGGCAAGAAATATTCAAGGTGATGAATAGTAAGAACCTACAGCCAAAGATAATCTATCTAGCAAAGCTATCACTCAGAATCGAAGGTCAGATAAAGAGCTTCACTAATAAAAAAAAGCTAAAGGAGTTCATCAACACCAAACCAGAATTATATGAATTGCTGAAGGGGGTTCTTTCAGAAGAGAAAGTAAACAAAGATAAAAATTATGAACAACAAATACATAACTATCAACAAGTGAATCTAAAAACCAAGGGAATTAAAAAAAAAATCTGATGAACAATAGTAACTGTTGAATATAATAGAATCAGAGGTATGGAAGGGGAGTGAACTGACGATTCTTGGGGGAAAAGGGAGAGGGGGGCGTGGGAAGAGACTGAACATAAACTGTGCACATATGGATGAGGACAATGGGGAGTGGGGAAAGGGCAGAGGGTGGGGTGGGAACCTGGTGGAGGAGAGCAATGGTGGGGGGGAAAAAAGGAACATTTGTAATAATATGAACAATAAAAACTTATTTAAAAAAAAAATCCCAAGAAAAAGGCATGGTTGAGTTTAAAAAAATAAAATAAAAAAATAAAAAGTAAAATAAAAATAAAAAGCCGTGTTTAGGCCTCTGCAAGTGCCCAGGTGGACAGTCTCCATGCCGCTAGCTGGTGCCCAGTTGGCTAGTACCTAGGTACGTCTCCTGTGCCCACAGCTGCAGGCACAGCTCCCTCTCGTGGAGCGGCTTTGGTGAGGCCACTTGTCTTCTACCCTCCTCTCTGCCCAGCACCCTGCGGTCCCCATCGTCCCCCATCCACGAAGAGGACGAGGAGAAACTCGCCCAGAACCCGGACGCCCCTCCCCTGCCGAGCGGGGCTGGGCTGGTGCTAAGCAGCTCCCCAGAGGTGAGTTCCCGCCCTGTCCCCCCTCCTTGGTCCTGCCCACCTGAGCTCTGAGTCCCCACTCCCTGCTGTTTGCCCCTGAGACCTGTTTCCTGGTGTGCCCGGCCTGCCTGCCATCACTCAGTGGCGGTCGGCACCAGACTCCAGGCTCATTTTCCCTTGTCTCCTAGAGTTTCCTCACGGAGGAGGCTGATGAGAGGTCATCGCTAAAGCAAGGTGAGCCCCTTTTCTCATGGAGAGGTTCTGATCCTGTCTGGGAGGGCAGAGTCTCCAGCTCAGATGCCCCAGGGTTTCTCCTGGGAACCACTGCTCAGTGTCTCAGCACAGCCCGCAGCCACGCCTGGCTTTCCCTCCTGCCATCGGCATCGGGGAGGAGTGGCCATTTTATATCCCACCCGGATCATTCTGCGCATGGTCAGCTCTCCCGGCCTGGCCTTGGCTGTGCCCACCCTCGGTGGTCCTGCCAGCACCTGGAGAGAGCCACCCTCTGTGGGCAGAGGGCTCCGCTGGTCCAGGTCTCCCGTGCGGGATGAGGGGGCTTGCTCCTCTCCTGACGGGAAGTTTAGTACGTAGCAGCCTGCAGGGTCAGGACCTAGCCGCCCACCCCCTGTGCTGGCTCTGAGCCAGGGGATGGCCTTGCCTGACCTCGCAGTGGCTGTGGGACACAGGGAGGTGCTTCCCTCTGCTGACTGGGGAGACGCCATCTCTGCTGTCCTGGTCCTCTCTCCCAGTGTGGACAGATGAGGAAACAGCCCAGGGTTGGTTTGGGGGAGGCCAAGGCCACTTAATTTAGAGGTAACAGAGCCAGAAGCGGCCCTTGCTGGCTGCCCCCCAAGCCTGCAATCTGGTAAAGGTCCCCAAAATAACCTGCAGACGCTCCATTGCTGTGATCCCTTCTTCTTTGGCCAGCATTGCACTGTGGGGACCCACACCCCTTCCAGGAACAGCCCTGCACCCCACGGATGGTGCCCGGGTTTAGGGATGTCTGTTCCTTGAAGTACCGTGCCATTCTTTCTGTCTCTTAGACCTTGGCTCCCCACCTCCCTCAGGGTTGGCTTTTCCTGCTGGTGCAAAGCATGTGCTGGGCCTGGGCAGCCCCCTGCTGTGCCTGGTCACAGGGTCCGGACCCCTGGCTCTCGGAGAGAACAGTGCAGGCCTGAGGCTGAGCTGATGTGGGAGAGGAACAGCCGCACTGGGGGCCCATGGGAGTGTTCATGCAGGACCAAGGGCTGTCAGCCTGCTCACCCAGGAGGATGAACAGGAGAGTTACATCTGCTACCATTTTATCTTGTTTTTTAAACTTGGGCGTTTTTTAATGATAAAATGAAACGGAAGCCCATGCTGAGGGTGTGAGAAAAGATAGAGGGAGAATGGGGTCCAGGGAGAGCAGAGGGGGAGTCAGGAGACCTGGGGCCCCCGCAGCTGCAGTGCCCTCGGGAGGAAAGGTGGGCTCCCGGGGGTCTCAGTCAGAGGAGTGGCCCAGCCGCCCCTCACCTGCTCTCTCCTCTGCAGGGAGCCGTGTGCCCTCCATTGAGAACGTCCTCCAGGATGGCAGCCCTGAGCCCTGTGGCTGCTGCCAGCCTGGCCCACCTACCGACATCTACCTTCCAGGTAATAGCTCTCAGCCTGGGGTGGTGCTGTGACCATCCTCATGGCGTTGGGGGCCTACTGGTGCCCTGACTACTCAGGGAGGGGCTGACCTGTGGGGAGCCTGCCCCCTCCCTCTGGCTCTGAGTTCATTCTCCTTCCGTCAGTCCCCATACACAGCCAGGCTGTTTGCATCGTCACCCCTCCTGCAGCTCCCGGCTCTTTTGTCAGAGCCTGTGCCAAGGCCTCTTTGCTCAGAGCCAGCTCAGCTTCAGGAAGGCAGGAAAGGCTGTTTAAGGACACGGTCCTTTTCCTGATTCATCTCCTGCCATTGCCGTATCTTCCTACATCCATGGCTCTGGCATGTTTGGGCCTCTGCCCCAGGGAGCTATGAACAAAGCCACCTCCTGCCTTCGGCCTGACACCAGCCTTCCTCCACCTGCCTGAGTCCCTGGTGAGGCAGTGCACCCGCAGCGGGCTGCAGCAGGGCGGGCTGCTGTGTTGGGTGCCAGCAAGGCTCGAGGCAGCTGGGAACAGTCCTGCTTCTCTTCTCTTTTCTTCCCAGGGCCCTTTGGCCTCAGCCGCCCTGCTCTCTGCTCCTCTGGGCCAGAATCCTCTGCTTCAAATCCTGGGCTCCACAGATGGGGGATAGAAGTGGGGGGCTTTCAGATGCTCATGCTGGCACCTGCTAGGATACCATCTGAGGTTCTGGAATCAAAATAAATAGTTGCATTGCCCCTAGAGAGCCAGCTCCTGCCTGTCCCTGGAGCCATTGCTGTCTGGTCCCTGGTGACCTGGCTTGAGCATTGGGGATTGTGACGTGCTTTGGTTTGGAAGGGCATCTTGCCCCCACCCTGGCTTCTGGATCAGCAGCGAGTGGCTTTGCAGACAGAGGGTCACCAGGTGTGTGAGGAAGCAGGACAGCTGTTGGTTCGGTGGCACATATGGGCCTGCCCATAGGGACGCCCACGGTAAAAGCATCCCTTAGTGACAGAATTCCAGTAAGTTCTTTGAGAGGACTTCAAGTGTTTCATTGTGATTCAGATTTGGGCTGAGGTGGCCAGGAGAGGGACTGGGCTTTCTGGAGCCACAAGCCTCCACTCTGGCCTCCTCGGGCCCAGAGTCCTTGGCCTGAGCTGCAGTGTGGGGTGGACAGGAGGCTCAGAACCCACAAGCCCCCTCTGAGGCACAGTGAAAGGGCTTCTGAAGTGGCCAGAGCCATCGCCCCTTAGGGCCTAGCTGGACATGCCTGAGTGTGAGGCCTGATCTGTAAGGCCAGATCCCACACAGCCTGTGCAGTGCCACCCTCACCCTTCGCTCCTCGAATGGCCCAAGAAAGCTCAGGGTCTGCAGGGTTGGGACGGGCCATAGCTGCTGGGCTCAGCCCACAGGTGAGACAGGACTTCTGGCCCTTGAGTCCCTGGGCCTCTAGCTCACCTGTGGGGCGGGAAGCAGTTGCTGTGGAAGTGGTAGAGGAGAGGCCTGAGTCTGCATTCAGGTCTGAGGGACAGTGAGGTGGGCAGTATCCGGCTCCTGAGCCCGGCCCCGCCCTGGCTCTGCGCCTGTCCGCCCACAGGGCCGGGTGGGTTCTCAGCACCTCTCAGAGCTCAGAGGAGGCGGTGCTGTTAGCACCACTGATTGCAGCGGGGGTGGAGCGGTCCTCACAGAGGCGCGCACTGTGTGGGCACACATCCATCTCTCCTAGTCACAGGCTGGGCCTGCTACTCCGCTACTGGCTTGTTTCAGTTAGGTGAGATCCTTAGCTCCTTCCTTCCTTCCTTCCTTCCTTCCTTCCTTCCTTCCTTCCTTCCTTCCTTCCTTTCTTTTTAATATATTTTATTGTTTTTTTTACAGAGAGGAAGAGAGAGGGATAGAGAGTTAGAAACATCGATGAGAGAGAGCTATCGATCAGCTGCCTCTTGCACCACCCCTACTGGGGATGTGCCCGCAACCAAGGTACAAGGAATCAAACCTGGGACCTTTCAGTCCGCAGGCCGATGCTCTATCCACTGAGCCAAACCTGAGCATCTTTCACGTGTGAGTTTAAGAATGTGAACACGCACACTGGGGTGTCTTCATTCTTTATAAAAACTGCACAGCCACTCCGGAGGGATGAAACGTTATTTAGTGACTCTGAGTGTTCCGTGTTGATGTTGGCATTGGGGGAATCCGTAAATGGAAAACCTTGTCACCACAGCCCTTCCTGGCCCCACCTTCCAGCAGGGCTCAGCACTGCCCGGCCCCCCAGTCCTTCCACGGGCTTCCTCTGTGTAAGAATTGTCCCAGGACTCTTTTTCAGGAGATGCATTTTCAGCCAGTACCCACCTTCTGCTCCAGCACATCGGTTTGTGTGGGTTTTCATGTCCAGTCCCACCCCCTCAGGGCCCTTGTCCTAACGTCAGTGCATGTGCTGTGGGTGTGCTGTCTGACGAGCCTTTGCTAACCAGGCTTTCGTCTCTCCACAGCCCAGGCGCCCAACTCCTGTTCTGTTGGCATCGAGGAGTAAGCTGGTACGTGACACCGTCATGCTCCTGGTGGGTGGCTCTGAGGGGCATCCTTGGCAGGGGTTAAAAAGAAAATCTCCCAGCTGCCTCTCCCTCTCCCGCTCCCTCCAGGCGGTTCCTCCCCATTCCCCAGCTTCTTCCACATCCCTGTCTTCCCTTGGGTCCTGGATTCTAAATCCCAGCTCTCCCAGCGCCCAGCACCTTTGTCCTGGGGGGCTCAATGCTGGCTTTGGGGTCAGAAATTCTTCCTTTGGGACCAGGCTGCCCAGTCAGGCTGTTCCAGCGTTTAGGGCCCCAGAAATGGGGGACCCCACCCGAGCTGAGATCCCATCATTGCTGCTACTAAACTGTCGTCCTACCCACCTCTGGAACCTTCCGTAACACCACCAGCACTCATGTCAGTCTACCAGGAAGCCGTATGAGGTTGACTCCCCACCTGATAGGGAGGCGCCTCCTACCTGGGTGACCAAGCAGACGTTTTACAGAAGGCAGTTTCAGGAGTACCCCGAGGCCTGGGCCATATGTGCCGGGGCCCCTTCCCCTCCTTCATATGACATTGGTGGCTCTGGGGAGGCTGATGGTACAGAGCCTGGTGCTCCGGTGGCCCTGGGTTTCCGGAGACACAGGCCAGGCTGGTGCCGACCTTCCTCCCGGTCAGCTGCCCTGAGCCCACGCTGTGGTGTCTGTCCACTTGTTTTGACGGCTGCTCTTACATTCCCACACAAACCTCTGTCCTCCTCACACATTTTTTCTGACAAATCTTACCCTCTATTGAAACAGAGGAAGTTTTTTTTTTTTTTTTTTTTTTTTTTTAATGTTTTTATTGATTTGAGAAAAAGGAAAGGAGAGAAGGAGAAAGAGAAACCGATTGGCTGCTGACGCTCCATTCTGGGCATCTAGCCTGCAAGCTGGGCATGTGCCCCGACCAGGATTCAAACCAGTGACCCTCTGGTGCACAGGAGACGCTCAGCCGACTAAGCCACAGCAGCCGGGGCAGGGTCCTGCCCTTTGATATCACTGGTCCCAGCCTCCGCCCTGGAAGATGTTCAGTGTTGCAATTTAGGTAAAACTTGCAGAAGCAGGAACAGGTCAGAGCTACAGGGAGATGCCCTTCCCCCGGCAGAGCTGCCTCTGCGCGCACCACAGCGCCCCAGGGAGCAGTCCCCTCACCCGAGGGTCTGTGTCACAGGCGACTGGTGGCAGACGCACTCGGTTTGCTACGTGAAGACGCCAGTGGAGCCCACGTTCAAGTGGCTGGGTGGTGACCATGCTTTCTGCAGCTCTGAGAAGTGTGCTGACCTCTGCTGCTGCAGCCCCCGTCAGGGCTCCTCGCCCCAGCGCCCGAGCAAGGGCGCACCCTGTCCGGGCACAGAGCACCTCACACTTGGGGAGGCGCCTGTGGGAACAGCAGGGCTCTGAGGGGGGCAGGCGAGGCGCCTGGGTCTGCTCTGAGCGCTGGCTGTGCGTCCACTCACTCTGCCTGGGGCTGGCTGATCCCAGCCTGGGTTCGTCAGGGAGGCCGGGGGTCAGCAGCCAAGGTGCCCTGTTCGTCCCAGGGCTACAGCTGCCGCCGGGCCACAGACTGCATGCGCAGAGGGGGTGCTGGCTGCCCGCCCTTCTGGCTTTGAAGTTGTGGGAACCCGGAGCTGGAGCGGTGAAGGGAGCAGGTGAGGCGGGATGACTCGTCCAAGCCTGACCCTCCTCCCTCTGCTCCCTCTGCAGGAAGGCCCACCTCTGCGGAGACGCCGGAGCCTCCTCACCACTGGCCCCACCTTGCCTCTGTTTGGTGGCCCCAGTCCTGACGTGGAGGCCACCGACGGACTCAACTCTGAGAGCCTGGCCAGGCTGGCAGCATGGAGCCCTCAGCTCCCCAGACTTTGCCAAGGGGCTGTCTGGACTCCATTGAGACCCCTGGCCTCTCCTCTGTGCACCCTCCATAGCCACTGCTCCAGGGGGCCCTGCGATCCTTGATTGAAGAGCACAGAGGACTGTCCCCTCTGACAAACCTTTTCCTGCCGTCTCTGTGTTTGTAAATGGTACACGATGGAGGACAGCCCCTTTCTGCCTCAGGCACTGAGCCCTGAGTTCCCCCAAATGTCTTGTTGGCTGAGTTGCTGGGGCTGGAGGCTGGCCACCCACCTGTCCCAGATTGGCTTTATCCAGCCCCCAGCCAGTGGGAGTTGACACCTGAGAGAATTTGTCGGGGGGTGAAGAACTATCTCACAGGGGGTATGACTGGGGGGCTTGTTGTTGGGAAAGGAAAGGAAGTGGGTCCGAGTCACGGTCAATGAAGGAAACGGTGCCTGTGCCCTTCCCCTGAGTCCGTGGCCTGGCTGGCACTGCTGCTTTGTGTCCCCTGTTGCTTCCCCTCCCGCCCAGGCCCTTTGGTGCAGGGCTGTCTCCTGTAGCTCGCAGCCCTGCCCTGCGGCCCTGCGGCAGCCTGGGTTCTGCACTCAGGCCCAGGTCTGGTTCTGGGCCTGCCTCTTCCCAGGGGCAGGGGGCAGTGCACAGCCTGTTGGCAGCAGTCGGTGTAGTGGCCCCTGCACCTTCTCAGAGGTGGCTTTGCACACGTCCTCAGACCCCTCCAGGTGGAGGGCTTCCCCTCAGCTTGTCCGCCCGTTCAGGGAGGGATCTGAGCAACCTTTCTGCTCCCTCTGTGTCATTTAAATGTCACTGGTGTTCCTCTTTGATTTGTTCTGTCTGGGGCTCCCGTGATGGGACCTGCCTCCTGGAGAAGGTCCCATTTGAAGTGGTCTTGTCGTTTTCTGAAGATAAACCACCTGGGCAATAGAAAAGCAGAGGAGGCACAGGCTGCCCGAGCAGGGACCTTGGCCTGGTGGGTGGGTGGGTCTGTGCAGCTCCCCAAGGGCCAGTACTTTTGGGCCTTGGATTAGTGGGTGCAGAGGAGCTCGCTTTCTGAGGATGATGGTCTGGGAGCATCCACATGGCTGGGGGCTTTGTCCATAGGGTCCTGTTCTCTCTCCGGTGGGCTGTGAGCAGAACGCTGCCTTATGCACAGCTCTCGGCCACACTCGGGCCACCTTCCTCAGCCACTTGGCTCCCCTGTCTCCCCTCCCCTCCCGCCCACTGGCGTACTCATGGGTGCACATGTGCACACATACAGGCTGGCTGTCTCTCTCGCCCTCATCACCCACCAACTCCCTGGCCTCGCCATTGGCATTGGTGCCAGAACTCCGAAGGACAGGATGCAGACTACCCTGTCTTGGACTTACACATGTTATCATTTGATGTATTCTGATTGGCTAGTTTTTGTTCGTTTTTACTGTATATTTATAGTAATAAAATCATGCAGCAATATCCTGTTCATTCCTTTTTCCACATAGCACTGCAGGATCTCGCCTGTTCCTCGGTCAGGAGGCAGGACTGCGGAGTGGCTGGTGGTGGTCCTGACACCCTTATAGCAGTGGAGCACCAGTTTGTGGCCACAGCCCGTTTCATGTGTAAGACATCATTGAGGTCTGACACCAGGAGGGAGTGAGGGCCTGTTGTGGCCACGGTGCTGATTCTTGGGTTGGACCGAATGGCTTCAGGGGATTCAGCTCCGTCTTCTGAGCAGGTGGAGAAGGAGCCAGGCCTCCAGGTTTGTGAGAGGCTGCTGTGGCCCTCAGCGCCATGTTCTGTGCCGCCGATTCATCCCATAGATGTTTCCTGACCACCTACTGTGTGCCAGCAGAAGGCAAGATGGACAAGGTCCAGGCCCCTGGGAAGTTGTGTTCTAGTCAGTGAGACTCTGCACAAGTAAATCTACATCTTCCCAGATTTGGTTATCATTAGGAAGAGTCAGCAGGTGACAAGATGGGGTCACACGGGGATTTAATTTAGCCCATAGTCTGGCAGCTGGCACAACAAGTGCAAAGGCCCAGAGATAGGAGTGAGCTTGGGATATCCACTAAGTGGAAAGAAGTACACGCGGCCGAAGTGTCTGAACTGGGATTTGGTTGCAGATTCTGTAAGACTTCGTAGGGGCAATCAGAGGCTTATTCTAAGAAAAGAGATTTTAAGCCAGAGAATTACTCCTGATGTCAGGTGGAGAGTGGATTAGAGGGGCAGGTTTGGCTGCCATGATGCTGGAGCCCAGCTGGGAGCCCTCTGCTTGGCTCCAGTTTCCCTGCCTGGTGAATGGTTTCCCAGGAGGGAAAAGCTGGTGCCCAGAATGCCAGGCAGCACTGCACCTCCACCCCCAGCTTTTTTGCAAACACAATTTCAAGTTACCTCCACAGACCTCTTTGTGTGTGTGTATCCTATATAATAAAAGGCTACTATGCAAATCGACTGAACATGGGATGACCGGTCGCTATGGCATACTGACCACCGGGATGGAGACGCGTCAGTGTGTTCCCCAGGGGAGTGCTGCTCGGCCAGAAGCTGGACTCCTAGCAGTGGTGGTGGCAGGAACCTCTGAAGCAGCCAGACATCCCCCCGAGGGCTCCCGGACTGCAACAGGGCGTGTGTGTGTGTGTGTGTGTGTGTGTGTGTGTGTGTGTGGAGAGAGAGAGAGAGAGAGAGGGAGAGAGAGAAAGGGAAAGATAGAAACATCAATGAGAATCATTGACTGGCTGCCTCCTGCACACCCTATACTGGGGATTGAGCCCGCAACCCAGGTATGTGCCATGACCAGGAATTGAACCACGACCTCCTGATTCATAGGTTAAAGCTCAACCTCTGAGCTACGCCAGCCAGCCCTCTTCTCTTTTTTTAATTCTCACCCAAGGATATGTTTATTGATTTTATTTTATTTTAAACATTTTTTAAAAAATATATTTTATTGATTTTATACAGAGAGGAAGGGAGAGAGATAGAGAGTTAGAAACATCGATGAGAGAGAGTCATCGATCAGCTGCCTCTTGCACACCCCCTACGGGGGATATGCCCGCAACCAAGGTACATGCCCTTGACCGGAATCGAACCCGGGACCCTTCAGTCCCCAAGCCGACGCTCTATCCATTGAGCCAAACCGGTCCCGGCCTGATTTTATTTTATTTTAATTATTTTTTTTTACAGAGAGAAACGGAGAGTTAGAAGCAACTATGAGAAACATTTATCAGCTGCTTACTGCACACCTCCTACCAGGGATGTGCCCATAACCAAGGTACATGCCCTAGATCAGAATCAAACTTGGGACCTTTTAGTCTGCAGGCCAACGTTGTATCCACTGAGCCAAACTGGTCAGGGCTGTTTATTGATTTTAGACAGACAGGAAGGGGGAGAGAGAGAGACATCCTTGTGAGAGAGAAATATAAACCGGCTGCCTCCCACATGCACTCAGACCAGGGATCGAACCCACAACCCAGGTATGTCATGAGCTTTTGGTTTCCTGGGCAACACTCCAACTGAGCCACACTGGCCAGGGCCACTGGGCCCTTCTTCAACTCAGGCACTAGAGAATGGAAACTGCTCTCGGCTGGCCAATCCCTGCCCCAAGGACGGACTGCCACCCTTGGCTGTGCCAGTGTGGGAAGGAAGATGCTCAGTCAGGTGAGTTTGTGAATGGGCAACATTGGATCTCCCTCCTGACTTCCCCAAACGGACCTACCTTGTTCATTAATGCCTGGTGTCAGGGAGGGATTGGGCACGGGGTGTGTTTCCTCGGTGCCCCCTGCTGCACCCTGGCCCTGGAGATAGGGTCCTCTGATTGGACCCTTCCCCTCAGACCTCTCCCCTTCACACCCCTCCCCTTCACATACTTGCCTGGGACCTGGCCTGTCAGCTGCAGCTGCTCCTCTGAGCCCTGACTGGCAGAGGGCCACAGCTGGGGAGAGGGCCTCCCTCTTTGAGTCCTTATTTCCCACATCTGCTGATAGAATACACCCTAGGCCAAACGTGAGTTTCTGGTGGATCCCACCAACCCTTGCCTGCCCTCTGCCACCTCTCCTCTCCTCCTCAGCTCTGCTCAGGGCAGCCTTCCCTGTGCCAGGCCTTGACCTCAATGCTTGGCTCTCCCGAGGCTGTGCCCATGGTACCCATCCTGAGTTTCTTCACTCAGCAGATCTATGCTCACCATGGGGAGGCAAATGGAGCTTGGGCCAGTGGGTGGAGTGGGGCGCACCAGGACTCAGAACCCCAGCGGCTTCCTTCTGGGATAAGTGAGGCAGAAGGCGGGTTTTCTGTCGTGGACACTGAGCAAGAGACAGGGTGGAGATCTAGGGTAGGATCCTGACTCTATCGCCAACAATGGAGTGCCCTAAGGCAAAGCCTGCCCTTTGAGCCCAGGCTCCTCCTCCTCCTCTGGAAATTGGGGAGACCCTATTTCCTCCAACAGTACCTGGCATATGGGGCCTGACTTGGAGGACACTTGGGGCATTGGGTCTGGAAGCTCCCAGTCCGGGACTTAAGTCACTTTGGCTCTAGCCAACTGGGTGTGAGGAGTCCCGGGGCTTCATCCACCCCCAGCCAGGGCTGCGCTGTGGGGCAGTAGGAGCTCCCCAGGCCTGCCCTTCCTGCTGATATGGAGTCAGGCAGACCAGCAGTGACTTTGGATTGGAGTGCTTTGCAGGCGTAGGCCCCCAGGACTGTGGAGCTAGTGTGCCTGAAGGGGGGAAGGGAGGGTGTAGGGAAGAGGCAGGAGGCGCCCACGTGCCCAAGGAGGCGCTGGGGGAAGGCACGCGACTCGGCCTCGCCAAGGGCGACGTGGTTTTGGAGGACCTGCTGCCCCTCTCACAGTCCCAGCTGCCCTCCTCAGCCCCAGCCTCGCCGGCTCCGCACGCAGCGGACTGAAAGCCCAAAGTCCCAGCCACCGAGGTGGAGCTCGGCTGGCGCGCCGCCTGCCGGGCGTTGTGGTTTCGAGTGCCCGGGCTGGGCTGGCGTCCGGTTTCCGAGGCCCTTGGGTGCGGGCCGCGGTACGCGCCGGCCCTCCCTTTGCACACGCCCCTGCGCCGCTCAACGACGCGTCGCGGTGGGGCTCTGTCCGGAAGCGCGCCAGCGATTGGTGGAGGGGACGCGGCTGCCCGCGGATTGGCCAACGCAGCGGGGACGGGCCAGCGCACGCGCCTAAGGGGCGGAGCCGCGGCGCCATGGGTAGTAACAAGATGTCGGCTGCGGTACCGGAGCTGAAGCAGATCAGCCGGGTGGAGGCGATGCGCTTGGGGCCGGGCTGGAGCCACTCGTGCCACGCCATGCTGTACGCCGCTAACCCCGGGCAGCTTTTCGGCCGCATCCCCATGCGCTTCTCGGTGCTGGTGAGGACGCGGGCGGGCGGATGTGGGCGGGACGCCGCTCGACCCGCGCCCGTGACCCGGCGCTCCCTTGTAGATGCAGATGCGCTTCGATGGGCTGCTGGGCTTCCCCGGGGGCTTCGTGGACCGGCGCTTCTGGTCGTTGGAGGACGGACTGAACCGGGTGCTGGGCCTGGGCCTGGGCTGCCTGCGCCTCACCGAGGCCGACTACCTGAGCTCGCACCTGACCGAGGGCCCGCACCGCGTCGTGGCCCACCTGTACGCGCGGCAGCTGACGCTGGAGCAGCTGCACGCCGTGGAGATCAGCGCGGTTCATTCGCGCGACCACGGCCTGGAGGTGGGGCCGCCGCCCGGGGCCCGCCCCCCACCCCGGGGTTTGGCTCTGGCCCTGCGGAAGGCACCGATGGGTAACACGTCCTCCTGAGGGTCCCCTGGCAGGGCTGGGTGGTGGTGGTGGGGGGGTTACTGCAGCCTCGGGGTAGGGAGAGGGACCTGAGGTGCCGGTGGGAGGCTGGGGCTCCCTCGGGGTTGTGTTCCATCCGCCTTGCTGCCTGCCATTGCCAATCCTGGGGGTGGGGAGTGGGATTGGTTGGGGGGATGGGATGGGAGTGGGATTGGTTGGGGGGGATGGGTTGGGAGTGGGATTGGTTGGGGGGATGGGAGGGGCGGGACCTGCTGGAGGAGGTGGGAAGTTGAAGGGCAGAAAGAGGAACTGGGATTGAAGGTTGGGTTCTCATGGTGCTGGGGTTGAGGGCTCTTGTAATGTGGGGGTGTTAGGGTCTGGAAGGGTTGGGAGTGACAGTTGCTTTGTTGGGGATTCACCTGCAAGGGGGAGCATGGGGTGCGGATGGGAGGGGGGGGGGCTTTTCGCCAGCGGGTGGGAGGCTGGAACATGAGGGTGCAGAGGGTGGGAGGTGCATGAGGTGGCCCTGAAACTTGCTTGGGGAGGAGGTGGCTGGCTTCTGCCTCACCAGACCTGCCATGGTCTCCCATTATCCTTGGCAACCTGCTTTCCCTTCTCCTTCCCCTGACCCAGCAGCGTACAGGCCACTCCTAACAGGGTTGTGCTATTAGTGTAGGGGCCTGGCCCCAACTCTGATCCCCTTTTGTGCAGGTGCTGGGATTGGTGCGGGTCCCACTATACACCCAGAAGGACCGAGTCGGTGGCTTTCCCAACTTCCTGAGCAATGCCTTCATCAGCACGGCTAAGTACCAGCTCCTCTTCGCCCTCAAGGTGCTCAACATGATGCCTGAGGAAAAGCTGGCTGAGGCTGTGGCTGCAGCCACCGAGAAGCAGAAGAAGGCCCTGGAGAAGCTGCTCCCATCTTCTTCCTGAGGTTGCTCCGGTACTGCGCCTGCCCTCCCCTGGCTCTGTGCCCAGGGGCTGAGACAGGCTGATATCGTGTGTGCGCGTGTGTGTAATCCTTTCTGACTGCATGGGGCCAGTGGGCATCTTATCTCCACTGCCTCAAGCAGTCACAGGGCCAGGTGGGACCTTCTCAGGTTAGTCAGCAGGGGGTGGGCCTGGCTGTCCAGGCTCAGGACAGTCTTATTCACCTTGAGCTCAAACCCGAGAGTCTCATGGGCTGGTGGAGGCGCAGGCACTGCCTGATTTTCCAAGTTGATAGATGGCACAGACACTTAGACCAATAAGAAGTTAGCTCTCAAGGGAGGTGCCTTTGTGTCAGTTGACTCATTCCTGCATCCTGCCTCTGTGCCAGCACCTCGGGGCCTCCAGGAGAGCCAGTTTGGGTAGGATGTTGTGCTGTTAATTTTAGTTCTTAGCTTTACTAAGATGGGGATGGAACACAACCCCGAGGGAGCCCCAGCCTTCCACCGGCACCTCAGGTCCCTTTCCCATAGTAAAAGGCTTAGATTTCCTTTTCTGTGTTGTATGAACTATGGGTGTTTGGTCCCCAAGGGCAGTCAGGGTCATGGGCCCAGCTAATAGATGGAGCTGTTGAAGGGACAGGAAAGTGGTTCCTCTGCTGCGTAATTCTTTGGTCCTGACTGCAGGCTCAAGGCAGGGCTCAGGAGGCTGTCCCCTTCCTTCTCTTACTACCCAAGACTTAGAGAGGGCCAAGTCCAAGAGCACTGGCACCATTCAGTTACGCTGTCACAGGCCTCCTGTCTGAGGTGGGGTTGCTGTCCACCTCTCTGTTCCCATGTGACACTCGCAGCCATGGACCCCTCTGGGCTGTCGGCTTGGTCTGGGGCTTCTGTGCTGAGACCATCCAGAGAAGCCCCTTTTGTGATCCTGGTGGCTCTACCACTAGGCTGAGCCTGTTGATCTTTCCTGTGCTTTTCCATTCCCAGTATGATCTACAGGCAGCTCCCAGAGATGGTCTGGAAATAACCGTCAAGTGTGCAGAATGACAACAGCAGAGCCACCACCGGCAGGAAGGTCACCACTGGCAGTCTCCTATGGCCCCAAGTCTGGCTCAACTCAGTGAAGCTACTGGAAAGTTTCCACAGTGCCTCCCCAGCCTAAGAAAAGCGGTGCTGCCTGCCCAGCACGGGCATCTGTGCCACCTTAGAGCCTGATGAAGCAGCCACACTGGGCAAAGGCACTCCACTCTGTAAATAAAATACCTGTACTTTGCTCCTCTCTCATTTCCTGGGGCATGGGGGCCTGCTTAGCTTCTATTGAATCACGGGGGCTCTGAGCAAAGAGCCCTAGCTGCTGGGGACCATGGGGTAGGAGGGGTCACCAATCAGCACCCCTATAAGCACAGTATTCTCTGTCTTGGCAAGGAAGCCTGGGTCCCAGCCAGTTGCTGGAGCTGGGGGTCCTGGCATGGCTTTCCCCTTGCTCTATGTTAGGCAGTACTACATGCTGTGTGACCAGAACTGAGCCCCTCACCAGCTGATCTTACATTTTATTTTCCAGCAAATGACATATGCTGCCCAGACGCCCAACCTCACCCATCAGGGCAGATCTGAGTGTGGCATCTGCGCGGTATGGGGACACGCTCTCTCCCCAAGGTCCTGTCTGCTCTGGGCCTTACCACCAGGTTCAGGGCAAGGCCCTCGTCCTGCTTCTGTGGGGGCCTTGCTGCCTGGCACCGGCCACAGCCTGGTCCTGTCTCTGCCAGCTGCTCCCGAGGGCCGGTCCTCTGGCCCCAGCTGGGACCTGGGCTGCTGCAACTGCCCACTCACTGCCCTCCTGTCTTCGGGCACACAGCTTCAGGGTGGATCAGTCACCCAACGTCAGGTTCTGAAAAGGAAAGAACTGGGCGTTGGCTCAGCTCCCAGCAGACCCCGCTATCCCTGGTTGGGGCCTGGGCTGATACTCACCATCCCTCAGACTAAGGCTCCCGCCAGTTCTCTTTCCCATTCAGTGCCTGCAGCTTCTCCAGGCCCTGGGTCACCGAGCACAGCACTCGTCCTGAGGATGGGAATAGAGGCGGCTTTGCAAATGTGGGCGGCAATGGGAAGGAGGGGTGCCTGGGGGGTACTAGTAATAGATGACCTGGAAGGTCAGTAGGTCGTAGTGGGGCTGCCCTAGGGGTCTAAGCTTAAGGGCTCTTCCTGTTACTCCTGACTGGTCCCTGGGCAGGGGCGAGGGTCACTGGCTGTCCTCCCAGAGACTCACCCATCTCATGAACTCGGTCCTCCAATGCTCCCGACAGCTCGGGGAGGCTCAGGGCCTGCAGGGAGGCCTGCCAGCCTTTGGAGTCTATGGGGCAGAAGGCTGGGTGAGCCTGGGGTCTGTGCTCACAGGCCCTGCCTCTGTCCTGAGCTGCTGTGACCAGGAGACCCACCCAACTGTCAGTGCCTGTGTGACCCCCTTGTTACATCAAAATAGGTTCTGCTTGCTTGCCCAACGCAGTAACTGCTGGTCAGGGCCTGGCCCCGGGAAAGGAAGTGTGGGGGTCACTGGCCTCCTGTGAGGCTACGCCCTGAGGTGGACCAGCCTGGGCTCCAACTGGGGGCTGCAGAAGTCACTTAAGGTCTTGGATAGCACAGTCACAATGGCCCAAGGATTTGCCTCCAACCATCAGGAGGGACATTAAGGAAATGGGCTGAGGAGGGCAGCATGCCCTCACCCTCGAGTCTGGGATTGTGTTTGCAAAGGGATCTGGGAGTGTAAATGGGATAACCATTGAGATAAGTGGTAAAACCCAGCCTGAGGAGGCACCTCTGCCCAGTCCTGGCCCCGGACATGCTCTCCTTACCAGCTGTAGGGAGGGCTGGGCCTAGGGCGGCCCCCAGAGGGGACTCGTCTTGCTTCACTCGGGCTGACAGCTCAGCCTGACAGGCTCTGCAGAACACAAGACCAAGGGCTGGTAAGGGGAAAGCCTGGCAACTGCCTTCCATGGTCCCGGAGGGCAGGGGATGGCAGACATCCCCACTTCGAGTGTCCTCACAGCCCACCTTCCTGGGCTTGGCAAGCTCACCCAACCTCCCTGACAAGCTCTCGCTGAGACCCAGGCGGAGAGCTTGCATAGGGTATGCAGATTTTCATAGCCCTACTTCTGCCTGGTGTACATTGGAGGGAGGAACAGCTAGAGTGAAATTGGGGGGCGAGGGGGAGAAGGGGCGCAAGGAGTGACTCAAGAGGCCCTGAAAGCAAATCCTTGATTGAAAAATCTGGAGGGAATTCGATCAACTCAGGTGCCTACTCACTGTAGCTGGTCCAGGATGAGAGCAGCATCCTGGGCCAGGGCCCAGGTCTCCTGCAGCTGGGCAAGGATGTCCTTGCGGGTGCTGTCCTGCTCCAGGAGGCAGCTCTCCACCACAGCCCGCAGCTCCTGCTCCTGGGATACCTGGCCCCGCATGGCCTCCACCTCCTCACAGCGCTGGAGAGGGAGAGGTGGGAGGTGGGGGTGGCAGGCCAGCAGATGGGGCAGGCAAGTTGGCCAAGGATGCAGGAGACACAGGCCCCCAGGCCATGGCTGGGAACCACCCCATCCTCTGTCTCTGCTGGTCCCTCCTGGAATGGGAGGCCTGTTTCTACCTTGGAGCCTCCCCTGCTTTGGGTCCCTCCCTGTGACCCCACTGGGGTCCATGCCTCTTGTTCTCTGGCCTCAACCCTCTCTTCTCTCCGGTGGACATCCACCTGACCTCCACCTAATGTCCCAAACCTTTCTGGGCCTCTTCCTGTAGGCCTGCCTGCATATCTCCCCTGTCATGCTTTCTGCCCTCACTGTCATATCACTGCCCTCACTGTCATATCACTCCGCAGGTGTGTGTCTCTATAGTCATCTCTCGCCATTTCTGCACATGCCCTCCCGCCCCCTGGCCTCCACCTACTTTGTGCAGCTGGATGGCGAGCTCCTGCATCTCAGCTTCCAGCCTGTCGGCATAGGCCAGCTCCAGGGCATCACTGGGGGGGCGGGCACTACTGTGCCAGCGGGCAATGGCAGAAGTCATCTTCCTCTTGGGTCCAAACAACCTATCAGGGGGAATGCGGAAAGAACTTGGATCAGCATTTGCCATGTGCCTGAAAGCTCCACAGACCATGGTTTCCCTAGGAAAGATCCTTGAAGGGGGAGGGTAGTCCCAGGACCTACAGCAGAGGACAGAAACAAAGGTTGTAAGAAGTGATGACCTCTCTGGAGCCCCTCTGTATAGGGTCCCTGTCCCAGCCGGGCTGCTGCTTTCACTAAGCAGGGACCTAGCCAGCTGGTCCAGGCTGTTTGCCAACTTGGAAAGTTCTCAAAAGTGAACAGGCAGAAAGTGTCTGGATTCCCTGAATATAGCACTGAGCCGGGCCAGCTTGAGGAGCCACAAGACTCAGACCATCTACATCTAGGAATGGAGAAGACAGCTGGCCTCCAGAGCGGGCAGCTCTTTCCAAATGTTGGAAAGCTGCAACATCAGACGATCCCAGAAACAAGGGCCATGCAGCCACAGGTGGCCCCTCCGGACTCACGTGATGCCGATTTCTTTCAGGTCGCTCTCAGTGAGAGTCAGGAAGATTCGAAGGTCCACGTCCTGTTCCTCAAACAGCTGCAGGTACTTCAGACACCCTATCTGCTCCAACAGTGTGGCAAGGTCCTAGTGGGCAGAGGCCAGCACAGGTCAGAGAACGGGCAGGTCACAAAGACATGGGGATAAAAAAAGGCACATGATATAAGGTGGAGCCACTTTTCTACTGCTAAGTGTGCATTCGTGAGGTCGCTTTTAATTTTTTCAAAATAAATAAATAAATAAATATTTTAATATATTTTGTTGATTTTTGTACAGAGAGGAAGGGAGAGAAAGAGAGCTAGAAACGTCGATGAGAGAGAAACATCGACCAGCTGCCTCTTCCAGACCCCCTACCGGGGATGTGCCTGCAACCAACGTACATGCCCTTGACCGGAATTGAACCTGGGACCTTTCAGTCCGCAGATGGACGCTCTACCGCTGAGCCAAACCGATTTCGGCTTAAAATATATTTTTATTAATTTCAGAGAGAAAGGGAGAGGAAGAGAGAGAAGCATTGATTACCTGCCTCCTGCACGCCCCCTACTGGGGATACAGTCTGCAACCTGGGCCTGTGCCCTGACCAGGAATTGAACTGTGGCCTCTTGGTTCATAGGTAGATGCTCAACCACTGAGCCACACTAGTGGGGCTGTGAGATCGCTTTTAAGGGGGAGATCTGAGCCCAGCTGATCCCCCAAGTTTAGCAATGGGACAGCGACTTGACTGCAGGCAGAAGGCCCCCTCCTCTCTGTGCCCTGAGAGAGCAAGGAGTCAGAAACACTTACTTGTGTCTTTGGATCTAAAGTCTTTTCATTTCAGCCTGAAGGACAACTTTAGTTAGGGCGGATCCGCTAACAACAAATTCTCTTAGACTTTGTTTAGCTGGGGCTGGTCTTAATTTCCCCTTCACTTTTGAAGGGCAGTTTTTGTGAATATAGCATTCTTGGTTATTTTTCTTTCAGTACTTTATTTTGTCAAATGTCCTTCTGGTTTCTGATGGGGAAATTGGCCATTAATCTTTTTTTTTCCGGGGGGGAGGGGGTCCTTTTTTTTAATTTAATTATTATCTGTGTACATATCTAACCACCACCACCCCCCTTGGCTATTAATATTACTGCAAATCCTTTGGGGGCAATGAGTCATTAATCTTCAAGATTCCCCCCCCTCTCTCTCTCTCTCTCTCTCTCTCTCTCTCTTTTTTTTTTTTTTTGATAGCTGTTGGTCTAGGTGTGGACCTGAGTTTAACTTAGAGTTCATTTAGCTTCTTGGATGTGCAGATTCATGTTTCTATTAAATTTGGGAGATTTGGCTATTTTTTTTTAAGCATTTTTTCTGCTTTCCTCTCCCTCTTCTCCTGGAATACCGTATGTGCATGTTGGTATACTTGATGGTGGCTCACAGGTTTCTGCTCATGTTTCTTCATTCTTCTTTCTGTTTGTCAAACTGGATAATTTCAACTGGTCTATGTCAAGTTTTCTGATTCTTCTGTGTGCTCAAATCTGCTCTTGAGCCACTCTGGTGAAATTTTCATTTCAGTTATTATACTTTTCAATTCCAGAATTTCTATTGAGCTCATTTTTATTTCCATCACTTTGTTATTTTCTATTTAGATGCAGTTTCCTTTAGCTCTTGAAACGTATTTTTAAAAACTTAATCTTTGACTTTAACTCCAATATCTGGACTTCCTCAGGGACAGCTTCTACTATTGCCTTTTCTTACTATTTATTACTTTTTCTTCCTTGTGCTCTGCATATATTTTTTCTGTTGAAAACTGGACATTTTCATACGGCAGCTCTGGAGATCTAATTCTCCTCCCTCTGTGGTTTGTTGTCTGTATTCTCTCTGGTCTGTGGCTACTGAAGTCTCTACTCAATTAGCTTAGTGATCAGCTGAGGACTGGACAGAGATCTCCTAAACACCAAAACCAATAAACCTCCCAGCCTTTGCTGAACAGCTCTGTATGCTGGTTGGGGCACATATTCTGCACTCAGCCAGGCAAATGGCAATTCTATCCTAGCCTTTGCTCCCTGCTTGCTCAAAACTCAAAATCATCCGAGGTACTCTCAGGTTCTCTTGACCATATACAGTCTTGAGCACCATGTGTGGCCTCTAGATTCCCAGGAATAGGTCAGAGCTTTTCAAAACTCATATGGACACCTTCCCCAGATTTTCCTTTTAAGCTTTGTGGTTAATCTTTCACCCAAGCTGTTATCCAATACCTCAGACAGCTGCAAAGTCCAAACATTTCCCTGTATTATTATTTTAAAAAATATTTTATTGATTTTTTTACAGAGAAGGATAGACACCAGAAACATTGATGAGAGAGAGAGACAGACATCGATCAGCTACCTCCTGCACACCCCCTACTGGAGATGTGCCTGCAACCAAGGTACATGCCCTTGACCAGAATTGAACCCGGGACCCTTCAGTCCGCAGGCCGACGCTCTATCCACTGAGCCACACCGGCTTCGGCCCTGTATCATTTTCAATTCACATCCTCCAATGAGAGGACTGCTGTTGTTGAGGAGATAAGCTCTAAGTCTTATAATGCGGTCTTTTTAAAAATATATATATTTTATTGATTTTTTACGGAGAGGAAAGGAGAGGGACAGTTAGAAACATTGATGAGAGAGAATCATTAATATGGTCTTATAATAAGCATGTCTTCGAGGGAACCATCATATAGTCTAGTAATGCCAATTCTTTGGAATGAAACTCTGAAAGCATTCCAGCTCTGTTCTACCCCCTCCCAGTGGCTGTCACAGCTACCGTGGCATTGGAGAGTGGAAGAATGGGACTAGGGCAGGTTAAAATGCTAAAAGAGTCGGTTGTTTCTCTGGAATAAACACTGTCCAGGTTGCTGCAAGCCTTTGGTTTGATTCACAAGTTTCTGGGAAAAAGGTGATTCTGATGGCTTTTGCCTTTAACAGAGGAGCAAATTTTCAAAAGCTGTTACTCCATCATTTTCTTCAACCTACTTTCTGAAACAGCTTTTTAAGATTAAACAACTCTCCAATCAACATGCATTTAAGGACTCGAGTGGCGCAGCTGCTTGCAGAACCTGGGAATACAGGCCCTGGAGACAGCTCCCAGGGGATGGGGTGGGGCAAGGAGAAGCCAGCAAAATCATAGGCTTCTAGTGAACAGCAGAGCTGTGACTTGAACAAATAAATGGCAAGTACTTACCTGTATTTCATCTTGTATCACTTACACCCTCTGAGGGCAAGAGAACTCGATAAACACACATTAAACAGTTGAGCTGTTATGTCACATCTATAAACCCCAAGACACTCTGGTTTCTCTTCAGATCGCATAAATCTTTTGCCTTTTATAAACCCCAAGACATTGCTTAGCCAGAGTGGTCCATAATGAGGAAGGCAGAAATAACAATCTCCATTACTATGTGCCACTTTGTCTCTGCATCTCCTGAAAGCTCAGGGGGCTGAGTCAAGTATGGAAATGAGCACGGTAATCAAAGGGAGACGGATCTCTCCTATGGGAAGTACCAGCACCTCCGACCTTAGGGATTCTCTTAGCCCAAGAAGCTTTACAGGTCATTAGGGGAACAGTGCTTTGGCCCACTGAAAGCCCAAAATAAATACCTCACAAATCACAGAATGTAACTACCAGTTTCACCAATGGTCTTACCTGGGGTCCTGCATAGGGGAACCTCTCAGTCTGAGGGGTAGGTCCTGGGGAACAGGCTGCCCCAGAAGTCCCAGTGCTGGGAGGCCATTGGTTGTCACTGTTGCTGTAGCGATTCTTGGTCTTCATATAACTTTTAGTTTGCTTGCGAGCTGAGCTTTTACGTGCATTATCTGAATCCTGTGGCAAGAGGTGTGTGTGTTTAAAGTAACACTGAAAGACTAATCATCAGGGAAACACAAATTAAAACCACAATGAGGTATCACCTCACACCTGTCAAAAAGGCTATCATCAATAAGTCAATAAAAATTGTTGGTGAGTAACTGGAGAAAAAGGAACCCTCAGACACTATTGGTGGAATTCTAAATTGGTGCAGCCAATATGGAAATTTCTGAAATAATTAAAAATAGAGCTGCCATATGATCTATCAAATCCCTATTCTGAGTATTTATCTGAAGAAAAAAACCCGAATTCAAAAATATGTACGTGCCACTATATTCACTGCAGTATCCTATATAATAAAAGGCTAATAGGCAAAATGACCGAGCAGGGGAACAACTGGTTGCTATGATGCACACTGACCATCAAGGGGAAGATGCTCAATGCAGGAGCTCCCCATGGTCAGTGCACTCCCACAGGGAGAGGCCCACTCAGCCAGAAGCCAGGTTCATGGCTGGTGAGCTCAGCAGCAGTGGTGGGACCTCTCCTGCCTCCACAGCAGCACTAAGATGTCCACCTGGCAGCTTAGGTCTGCTCCCCATGGGGCACAGGCCAAAGCTGGCAGTCAGACATCCCCTAAGGATTCCTGGACAATGAGAGGGCACAGGCCAGGCTAAGGGTTCCCCCCAAGTGCAAGAATTTTGTGCACTGGGCCTCTAGTTACTAATAAACAGTTTAGATATGAAAGCCTACGTATTCAACAGATGAATAGATAAAAAAGATGTGGTATGTATATACAATGGAATATTACTCAGCAATAAAAAAGAAAAGAATCTACCCAGCCAATATGGCTCAGTTGGTTGAGTGTACCAAGAGGTCACTGGTTCAATTCCCAATCAGGGCATATGCCCTTTTGTGGGCTTGACTCCCAGTAGGAGCCATGTGGGAGGCAGCCAATCAATGTTACTCTCATAGATGTTTCAATCTCTCCCTCTCCTTTCTTCTCTCTCTGAAAAGAAAAAAGTCAATGAAAACATATTTAAAAAAATAAAAGAGTGAAATCTTGCTATCTGTAACAATATGGATGGACCTAGAAGATATTATGCGAAGTAAAATAAGTCAGAGAAAGACATACCATATGATTTCATTCAATAAACGAACAAAACAGGAACAGGACTACAGATATAGAGAACAAGCTAATGGTTACCAAAGGGGAGAGGGGTGGGGAAATGGGAATGAAAAAAAGACCCTGGGCTTGTGCAGCTCAGTGGTTAGGAGTGTTGGCCAGCACATGAAAGGCAGAAAGTTTGATTTCCAGTCAAGGGCACATACCTGGATTACAGGTTTGGTCCTTGGCCCAAGTTGGGTGCATCTGAGAGGCAACCAATTGATGTGTCTCTCTCACATCAATGTTTCTCTCTCTTCCTCCCTCCCATACTTTATAAAAATCAATGGAAAAAATATATTCTTGGGTGAGGATTAAAAAAAATAATAATAATGGGTAGAGGAAGAGTGCATGAGCTTTGGGGTCATCGAAGCTGGGTTCATATCCCAGCTCTGTTACTAAGTAGTTATAGAACCTTAGACAAATCCCTTTGCTCCAAAAATAAAGTAACATTGAAAGTCTTGCAGCTGATGTGGCTGTATCTAAACTGCTCTCTGCCCCATGATTCCAGCTTCTACTCTCAATCTGTGCCACTTCCCTCACAAGATTTGAAACTCCCCCACCTGCTACACAGAGGCTTCTACTGAGGTCACCTAATCCCAGGTAGTTCTCCTAGTGGCCCCCAACCTTGTATGTCCTAACACAGCACAGACATGCATTAAATCCTTGTTATGAGCCTTACCATCTCAAATGAACTGTTAGCATCCCCCGTGACTCCAGAACAAAGGGGAAGGAGATGAGAGGTAAGAAACAAGGAGAGGCCTACCTCATTGCTCTCCAAAGAGGCCTCGCTGCTGACTCCTGGGGCTCTCGCCAGGCCCTCGCTGCTGCTGCTGCTCCGCACAGCCCCGAGGTGGGCACAGAAGGCCTGCTCTTCTGCCAACAGTGAAGACACGACGTCTGGTTGTAGGTTGCGCACACAGTGATTCTCCAGAGTCTGAGCTGTTTCATCCACAGCACTCATCAGCTCCTTAGTTTACTGTGTTTCATGCTGACAGCCTGGCCTGACCGCTCCCCTCTACACACACAGACAGGGTTTTTGTCTGTTCTGTTCACTGGTAAACTCAAGTATTTAGAACAATGATTGGCACCCAGGGGACTCAGTAAACAGCTGCTGAATAGATGATACATGATTATAGCAAAGACATTCCCTTTGGGCTCATCAATCAAGAAGCTAAACCTATCGGGAACAACTCCCCCAGACCCTGCACACAGGCACAGAGACACTGGCTGGAAGCTGCTTCTCTCTGGGCCATGCCAGGTTCTCTGACTCTCCTCCAAAAAGCCAGGGCCTTCTAAGACTTTCACCCTCTCATCCTCTACCCAGAGAGACTCATCACAGTACCCGAGCCCCAGCAGGATGGGCAGGGGTGGCACACATACCCCGGCTGCTGCTGCTGCTGCTCTCCACATCCCGGTCGTTGATGGGGGAAGTGACATCCCTGTAGCAGAAGCCCCTTCCTTCCAGGGGGTTCTCATCACTACTGTTGAAGGTGACATAGCCCCGTGGAGGCACCTGCTCTGTGAACAGAATGGGGTACATAAATCCACACGAACACAAAAGGGAAGAAAAGTTCCCCCTTCCAAATGGGACCACCTCCTCAGAGGGACCTCAGCGTAAGGGAAGACCCAGGATCTAGGCAGGCAGGCAGGAAAACTGTGTCTTCCTGGCCATACCCTCATCTACTCGCCACAGGAACCTGGACATAAAGTCATGTGCAGTTTGCAGGCGAGGAGAGCGGCTCTGAGGAGCTGAGAGACAATCCTGTGTCCCACAGCAAGAGCATGGGGAGTCAAAGCACCTAGTCCAGCCTGGTGCCCTCTCCCACATTATGCTATTTCTTTTCCAAATGAAAAAGGAGGAAATGGGCCATCAACAAAGACTGAAAAGTTCAGCACAAGAAACCCAAGATCCAGGTCATCTTCCTAAGCCTGTTGGTCAAGATACACAGGTTTTTGGCCAAACAAACCAACTCCACCTTCAACCACGTGGTGCTGAATAGATTGTTCAAGTGGCACCAGCCGGCCTCCTCTGTCCTTTTCTCCAGATGGTCTAGATTAGGGGTGTCGAACTCAATCAGAGAAGGGGCCAACATCTAAAATCCAGCCTAAATCGCAGGCCGAATGATTTACTGAACAGTCATAAACTGTCATTGTGATGGAAACGCAGCGGAGTGCAGTGATGACAGCGTGGTGCGGGCCACATTGCAAGGCCTGGCGGGACGGATTTGGCCCGCGGGCCTTGTGTTTGACACATGTGGTCTAGATGAACTTCCAGCCATGATGTGCGTATCTATGAGGGGCCCAGATTGGAGGTGTGTGCACTTCGTGTGAGCAGCCTCCTGTAGCAGCATCCTTAAGTCAGGGACAGGATCCTCACCTTCGGCCAACTTGCCCTGGATTCCCCCAAGGGCTGTGGCCCTACCTTGCTTTCTGGTGCATGCAAGTGCCTCAGAGTGTATAAGCATTTCACAAGGCCCAGGAATGCCTCTCAGCCAGACCAAACCCTTCGTACGATCCAAGGGCTGGAAGTTAAAATATCAAGAGGCTGACAGGTTAGCTGCAGCTACAAAAAAAATAATCCTTGATCCTACCTTGTAATTAAGATTTTGGATGAGCTGAAACCGGTTTGGCTCAGTGGTAGAGCGTCGGTCTGCGGACTGAAAGGTCCCGGGTTCGATTCCGGTCAACAGCATGTACCTGAGTTGCGGGCACATCCCCTGTAGGGGGTGTGCAAGAGGCAGCTGGTTGATGTTTCTCTCTCATCAACGTTTCTAGCTCTCTATCCCTCTCTCCTCCTCTCTGTAAAAAATCAATAAAATAAAATAAAATAAAAAATAAATAAATAAAATATTTTGGATGAAAAAAAAAAAAGAGTAGGAAATGGTGTTTACAGACTTCTTAGCACAGGAAAAAGTGTATCTTTTAGCTGAAAGCATCTACTCTCACACGCCAGCCTTTACGGCATCTAAGGGGCACAGGCATCTAAGGGTTTCCTCTTCGGGTCAGTCAGCCCCAGTCAAAAATAGATCTGGCTAAGCAGGAAGGTTGGAGGCTCTGGGCTAAAAATTAACTATAGTAACACCAAATTATACAACCTTTGGACATATCTGCCTGCAAGAAAACAAGGAGTAAAGGCAGAACACAAACCAGAGAGCTCCGTTCCCATTTTGCCCTGTCCCTTCCCCACAGAAAGTACGTTTATTTGCATAAAACAGACTGGCTAACAAAGCCATGTCTAACTTATTTTCTTCTATATACCTTTTTGTAGTTATCGCTTTTTAAAATCTGCACATTTATTACTTTAAAATGTTTTTTATTTTATTTTTAAAAAATATATATTTTATTGATTTTTACAGAGAGGGAGAGAGGGATAGAGTTAGAAACATCGATGAGAGAGAATTATCGATCAGCTGCCTCTTACACACCTCCTACTGGGGGTGCGCCCGTAACCAATGTACATACCCTTGACCGGAATCGAACCCAGGACCTTTCAGTCCGCAGGCTGACGCTCTATCCACTGAGCCAAACCAGTTTCGGCTTAAAATGTTTTTTAATTGTTGGCAAAGACTACGTGTACCAATAGAAAACGTAAATATAACAAGTTGTGAGAAGAAAACTCCTAAAATGTCACAACCAAGTCAACTACCATCATTATTTTGGTGAACATTCTTCCAGCCTTTTCTGTGGGTTCATAAAAGGAATAGTGTACAAATGGACTTCAGCCATGGATTATTTTGATAACGTGAAAGAATTCCATTTAATAAAAGCATCTGTCATATAGCTACACAGATTAATTACACCCTACCTTCAGGGAAGGCCCATGCTTCCTATGCCCCTTCCATATCTCAGGGTGGACAGGTAACATGGACTCCTCAAAAAGGAACAGACTCTACCACTCAAAACTAAAACAAGTCAGCCAATGTCCCGGAGCCATGTGCTTCTAAGCACACCTGACAGGAAGGATATGAACTGTGCCCTCATCCTGCAAAAGGAGCTTGCCAGCAGCTGGGGGTGGGCCTTTCCCCGTAGCCAGTCAGCCCACCCCCCAAGGTCAACAGGAGAAGGCAGACTTCCAGTTCCCAAGCTAGGACTCCTTCCAAGGGTATTAGAAGGAAATCAAGTTACTAACATACTCCTGACTGAAATATGGTCTCCACTGACTGGGAGAGTTGGTTTCTTCCAAGCCTAGGCTCATGAGGAGGACCCATGAACACACACCCCTATCAGCCCACGAGACCAGTACCTGGCCTGGCCACTGATGGGTAATAGACACCATGGGAGATGTAACTTGTACACTAGCATGATTACTTGGTCAGGCCAGTGCGCATAAAACTCAACTTGCTCCAAGAACTATTGGCGCCTCCCGTACTGCCCTAGGGCACTGCACTCAACATTTAGGAACTAACAATTTGAGAATAAACTCAGGAGGTCTGGAAACTTGGGGTCTAGGATTCTATAATAGCCCACCAAGTGCATCGTGCGACAATTCTCAGAAGGGCCTGAGCATCATAGCCATCACCTGAGAAAAGAGCTAGAGAGAGCCATTGGCCTGACCCAGAGGCATGCCCATCTCCAGCCGGCAAATGTGCTAAGTATCACATGCAGGGACTGTAGCCAGAGACCGGAAATGAGACTCAAATGGCACCCTGTTCCTGCACTAGCTGCTTTACTATGTGATGAATCAAATCCGAGCAAAGCGACATTTCTGCTGCTGTTATTTGTAATTTTAACCAATGAAAACTCAAAGGATGAACACAATCCCAAGAACTAGCCACGGACTAATATATTTCTACCATGTCATCAATCTGGAATCTTTGAGCTGCTGCTCCAGCCCAGTGGCCCACATTTCAGGAACCTGAGAGTTGTTCCTTTTCATCCAGACAGAATGCGTGAACGAACTATCAGAAAGCCATCAGGAAACAGGGAATGCTCACCATAGCAAGATGGCTGGATCTTGCCTCCGAGTCCAATGGCTGTGATTCTAGCCAAGGCCCGAGGCCCCTCGTGGATGCTGAGGCCCTTCTTCCGATAGGGCCTCTGTCTCTGAGGAGCAGGACAGGACTCATCTGAAGAGCTCAGATCTTCATATTTTTCTGTGGGTCAAACACAAAAATTAAGACAATTCTCCAGTCCAGTGTGGCTCAGTTGGTTGAGCATCATCCCATGCACTAAAAGGTCACCAATTCAATTCCCAGTCAGGGCACACTATAACTGAACTTTTTTTTTTAATTTCTAAAAAAGAAAATTTTAAAAAATGTCATAATGGGCCAGTCCACTGCTGAGATGGGCTACAGGGACATTTGGGGGAATAGCAAGCTTGATGAATATGAGCTGAACTGAAAGCATCTGTGAAAAGGGGGTCTAGTTCTTATTTCTTATGCCTCTCATTGTCTGGGTTTGAAGAATTTTTTATAACAAGCATGTATTATATTTACAATTGGAAATAAATTTTGTTCTAAGTTGAAGAGATAAATAATACCTATTCGTAAACATTTGGAGCATCATGACTTTTTTTTTGGGGGGGGGTGACCTTGGTCTGTGGGTGCTTTCTTTATTATTATTATTATTATTATTATTTTTAATAAATCTAGCATCATGACTTCTTTTTTTGGGGGGTGGGGTGACCTTGGTCTGTGGGTGTTTCTTTTTTTTAATTATTATTATTGTTTTTAATAAATCTAGCATCATGACTTCTTGGCAATTTTATATTCTCAATCTCAATAATTACTTAGGAAACAAGCTCTGTGTGCTATTTTAGGAAGTATTTCAAATTAGCACTCATCTGAGCTTAAATGTTTAGTCATTACTGTCTTATTGCTGTACATAGTTGCCTATATTTCATCATACCTAAAGGCAAAATTCATGGATATATTTGTATCAGGCTCCCATATGGTACGATCTTATTTTGGAGTTGATAAGCAGGGGTGGAAATGCAGAGAAGTCTGTGATTACCACTGTACTCGTGTGAGCTGGTGTTTATGATAAAACAATCCTGAGGCCAGGAGGAGAGCTGGGCAGAGCCAGAACCTGGAAAGGGGGAAGGTTCACTCAGATGTGAACCGAGAGCTCAACTCTCAGAGACTGCCTGGCAAGTCAGGGAGTTACTGACCCTGCTTCCAAACTCAGGCCAGTGACCCAAGTGAACCACTCCCACCGTTCCCTACTCAACTCACTAGGAGACCCTGGTCCTGCCCAAGCAGAACATGGAATCACAAAGAGTAAGGGTACAAGGGAGGGGGAACCAAGGAAAAGGCAGCTCCGTCAATCTAAACCTCCCAACACGTACTCTCAGACCTGCACAAGTCAGCAGAGAGAACCTCACAAATCCCACACCTTCAGCAAGACGGAGCTGGCAGAGAGCATCACCAACTTCACAGTTCCTGCTGCTGCGAGGAGCAGACAGTGACCTCTCCAGCAAAGCAAGAGCCGGCTTGCTCACCTCTATTCTCTGTGGGCAATAAAGCAGATCTAGGAAAAACCACACAGAGGAGAGACGATGGGGAAGACAAAGTCCATTCTATGGGCAAAAATACTAAAAACAGATCCTGGTGGCGTGGAGCATGACCCCGGGGAAGTGACTTAAGAATGCACATGGGCCTGAGGGGACAGGCAGAGGAGCAGCAGGCCTTTTGGGGAGAGAGACCTCTAGACACTGGGTAGTGAAGAGGAAAAGCAAGCAAAACAAAATTATATCAGAGGACACATAATGCTTGGTCCAACTACATCCCCTTCCGAAAAGAGGCCACCCACTAAGAAGACTGTCCCTGGTTCTGGGGAGGAGGCCGCTCCTGGACCAGGCCACTAAGCTCTGTCCGCAAAATGCAGAAGCACCAGCGATCTCCGCCTACACACAAATACCACAGGGAGCACATAAAAAGCAGGAATCAAACACACAGCAAGTAAAAACATTCCTTCCCTCTCTCCAAAACTCAACTGAGGAGTAGGCAGAAAAACTGTGACATGACTCTCTAAACTACACATCCTTCCATAGCACCTGAGGACAGGAAAAGGCACCCTGAACCCAAAAACCCAAAATTCAAAACTGAGAACAAAAAGGCACACGTATACACACACACACACACACACACACACTCACACACTCACACACACACAATATGAAGCCATGTCAGTACTAGAAGAAAACATGGATGAATTATTGTACAACTAGGGCACAGGGAAAGGTTTTCTTTTTAATCCTCATCCTGGAATATTTTTACCATTGACCTTTTTAAAAATATATATTTTTTATTGATTTCAGAGAGGAAGGGAGAGAGAGAGAGAGAGAGATACATCAGTGATGTGCCGCTTCCTGCAAGCCCCACACCAGGATCGAATCCGCAACTCAGGTATGTGCCCTAACTAGAAATCAAACCCTAGGCTGACGCTCAACCACTGAGCCATGCTGGCTGGGCTCCATTGATCTTTAGAGAGAGAGTGAAAGGGAGAGAGAAACATCAATGAGAGAGATACATCGATTGGTGGCCTCCTGCACGTGCCCTGACCAGGGGGGCCAGGATGGAATATACAACCTTGGTACATGCCCTTGACCAGGATTTGTATCTGAGACCCTTCAGTGCTTGGGCTGACACACTTAACAACTGAGCACACTGGCCAGGGCAGGGAAAGATTTTATGATTCAAAATCCAGAGGAAAGAAGATTGATGAAGTTGACTATATAAAATTAAAACATTTTGCACAGCAACAAGCACCATTTGAAAATTAAGAAACAAGACCCAGATGCCAGTCCCCTTGTGAGGCTGCACTCCTACGTCTGGGTGGGCATCACAAGTCCATATCCTGGGTACCCGAATTCAGCCTGGTGGGTACCACTCTATACCCTAACCAACTGGTCCTTAGACAGGCAGGCCTCAACTCTGACTGCAAAATGGAGTCGTCAGGGGAGGCAGAGGTCTGGCAAGGCTGCAGGAGCCAAATCTCTTACAGTAGGTGAGAGCAGGGGAGGGACTCCAGGAAAGAGTGAGGCCGCAGATACAGGTACCTGGGCTCCGATAGAGGCTCTTGGGCAGAGAAAGCGAGTGAGTATCTATCAGCCCCACTATCTTCATGTGTCCATACTGCTTGGCCAGCATTCGGGCTGTGGCTCCACTGTGGTCCCTTGTGTCCACTTTGACTCCCTATGAAAAGGTAAAAGAACAAGAGTCAGGAACCTCCCCTGCAAAGCACCCTCACTTCCAGAGCTGTGGACCCAGGATGAGAGGTGCAATGTGTCTTATCACCATCTCGGAAAGGCGTGCACCAGGGTCCTCTAAGACTTCACAACGTGGGGAGAAAAGGAAGGGCCTGTGTGGTCTCACGCTCGGTGCTGAAAGTGGGGTACAGCGATGGGCCTGCTGGCTTGTCAAATAACACATTAACCCAGCCATCTCACAGCTGAGGCAGTTCCCAGGTTCACTGCCTTTGGCTTTCAGCCACCATGGGGCAGGCAGGTACTTCAGGGAGAGAGGCGATCAGGTGCTCTGCGCGAGGATACACGCAGGCTGCTGCGAGCGAGAGCCCACCTTCAGCCTTGGCACCCGGGCATGCGTCCACCTCACTTCATTCTCTTCACACAGAAAATTGGAGACAACAGATTTGGTAAAGAAGCAGCCTTTAAAAAGCATAATCAGAATAAGAGCCCCACTCTTCTGAAACAGAATTAGTATCTTATCCTAAGCCCTAAAATGTAGTACTTATTGTATATAGCACTGTAATTCTACTTCTGTGACTCTATACTAAGGAAATAGCCCCAAATACACAGAGAAAGCTTTTACACACAAAGATGGTTAGCACAACATTTTTGCAATAACAAAAACCCAGAGACAACTTAAATGCTCAGAGATAAAGAGTTCACCATGTTACTGTCATACAAATAATTGATATAACCAAGTTTTTAAAAGAACCAGGGGACAAAACTGTATACACATTCCAATTACAGCAAAACAACAAAGTACTAGTATACAGAAAGCACACTGGAAGGAAATATGCCCAAACTGTTAATATTATTTTTTTTTCTGTTAACATTATTTTTAATATTTTTATACTTTCTAAACTTATTTCTATGAGCATGTTTACTTTTGAAAATAGAAAAGCCCAATAAATTTTCCGTTTTCAAAGCTTCAACCATGTGGTCTCATATCTGCAGATGAGACTACCGGATATTGGAGCTCAGTGCTTTGGAAGGCATTATCAGCAAGAGAAAGTCAAAACATTAAAAGTGCACATACACCAAAACCAGTTTGGCTCTGTGGATAGAGCATCGGCCCACAGAAGGGTCCCAGGTTCGATTCCGGTCAAGGGCATGTACCTTGGTTGCGGGCACATTCCCAGTAGGGGGTGTGCAGGAGGCAGCTGATCAATGATTCTCTCTCATCGATGTTTCTAACTCTCTATCCCTCTCTCCTCCTCTCTGTAAAAAAATCAATAAAATAAAATAAAAATAAAAAATAAAAAGAAGTGCACATCCCCTGCCCTGGCTGGTGGCTCAGTTGGCTGGGCATCATCCCATGCACCAAAAGGTTGCCAGTACGATTCCCGGTCAGGGCACATGCCCATGTTGTGGGTTCCATCCCTGGTCAGGGCATGTATGAGAGGCAACCAATCAATGTTTCTTTCTCACATTGATGTTTCTCTATCCCTTCCTTTCTTTCTAAAAATCAATAAACATCCTCAGGTGAGGACTGAAAAAAAAAAGGGGGGGGGAAAAGATAATTTCTAGAGGGGAAGGGGGAACTGGGTGAAGGTGGTCAAAAGGTACGAACTTTCGATTATAAAATAAAAAAATACTAGGGGTGTAATGTACAACATGATGACTACAGTGAGCACTACTATAAGATGTACAGGAGATGTTGTTGAGAGAAATCCAAAGAGCTCTCATTGCAGTTAAAACACAGAGCCCTGGCCTGTGTACTCAGCCTACACACCAAAGGGTCTCAAGTTCAGTTCTCGGGAAAGAGCTCGTACCTGGGTTTCAGGTTCACTCCCCGCCCCGTCTGGGCATGTGCAGGAGGCAACCAGCTGATGTGTCTCTCTCAATGTTTCTTTCTCCTCCATCCCCTCCCGCTCCTCTCCCCCTTCCACTCTAGCTGAAAAGCAATAGAAAAAAAGATCCTCAGGTGAGGATTAACATCCCCCACAAAATACATCGAGTAGGGCAAAAGTAGGTTTACAGTTGTGAGTACACAAGTTTATTCTTGTGTCATTATTCATTAATTATTTTATTATTTTCCATATGAACTGTAAACCTACTTTTGCCCTACCCTGTATATATCTTTTCTATGAGATGATAGATGTTAACTAAACTTATCGTGGTAATCACCTCACATATACATAAGTCAAATCAACTTATATAGTGATGTGTATCAATTATTTCAAAAATTGGTGGGGGCCGAAACCGGTTTGGCTCAGTACGATTCCCGGTCAGGGCACATGCCCTGGATAGAGTGTTGGCCTGCGAACTGAAAGGTCCCAGGTTCGCTTCAGGTCAAGGGCATGTACCTTGGTTGAGGGCACATCTCCAGTAGGGGGTGTGCAAGAGGCAGCTGATCGATGGTTCTCTCTCATGGGTGTTTCTAACTCTTTATTCCTCTCTGTAAAAAATCAATAAAATATATATATATTTTTAAAAAACTGGTGGTGGTGGTGGGGGGGGAATATGATTTCTAGTTTCAGTTTGATAAAAGAAACCCAAAGGTTTCAATGAGAGAACAAAAATACTATTTTCACAGTAGGGTTTTACTTAGTATCTGTTATTAAACCTGAAGACTTCAACCTCAGGCTAGACCAAAGCAAGAAACTTTTCCTTAACAAGAAATAAGGAAGAAAAGAGACCCCAGAACAAGAAGGTCCCTGGGGTGAGGAAAGAAGAGTTTAAGAATGTTTATCTATTCACTCTTTAAATGTTTTCCAAATTTTCCTGTTTTATAATGTACATAAATTATAAGAAAATTACATGATCAATATCATTGTAACTGACAGGAAAGTGGGATGACAGTTTAGAGACCACGGATCAGTAGTAACGTGGGAGCACTGATCAGCTGCAGGACCACTGATCAACTCTCAGCTCCCTCCTGAGAGAGGCCCAAACACACCCTGGTCATTATGCCCAGCCTGAGCTGCTGGAGTCTGCCCCCCCTGGAAGGGAAAAGGGGTTCGAGGGAAGCAGCCACAGCCCTTTCCTCTCCTGGCGAAGAGTTTGAGGTGCCTGGCCTCATGCACTTCTCCATCTCCAGGAAAGAAGCCTGGCTCTGGTGGGACCTGATAGGCCATCCCTCTGGCTAACCAAGGAACACGGAGTGGTCATGCAGGACTAGCCAGACAGTCTCCCCAGCAGTGGAGCAAACTGGTCCATCAGCCACAAGCTCTACTAGTAAGCTGTGCCCACCGGCCACCACAGCCAGAGGCAATTGCTTGGAATTGGCCAACAACTTCGCTGATCAGTGAGCTCAAGGAAGAACTCCATTGATTTCCTGAGTTTGATAATGTATGCAAGTATGAAAGAGAAAATTCTTGTTTTTAGGAGATACATATGAAAGTAGTTAGGGGGGAAAGGGCATTATGTTAGCAACTTATTTTCAAATAATTTTAAAAAGATTATATGTTAAAAAAAAAAAAAAAAAAAAAAAAAGATTATATGTAGCCGAAACCGGTTTGGCTCAGTGGATAGAGCATTGGCCTGGGGACTGAAAGGTCCCAGGTTCGATTCCAGTCAAGGGCATGTACCTTGGTTGTGGGCACATCCCCAGTAGGAGGTGTGAAAGAGGCAGCTGATTGATGTTTCTCTCTCATCGATGTTTCTAGCTCTCTATCCCTCTCTCTTCTTCTATGTAAAAAAAATCAAAAAAAATATATATGTGTGTGTGTGTGTGTGTGTGTATATATATATATATATATATATATATATATATATATATATATATAAAAGATTATATGTAGCCTGACTGGTATGGCTCAGTGGTTGAGCGTCAACCTATGAATCAGGTCATGGTTAGATTCCCAGTCAGGGAACATGCCCAGGCTGGGGGGGCTCAATCCCCAATGTGGGGAGTGCAGGAGGAAACCAATAAATGATTCTCTTTCATCACTGATGTTTCTGTCTCTCTCTCCTTCTCCCTTCCTCTCTGAAATCCATAAAAAGACATTTTTAAAAATATTGTGTGTGTTTATATATAGAAAGACATGAAATGTTAAACTGGGGAATCTAGCAAAGGTATACAAATTCTGTGTACTATTTGTGATGTTTAAGTCTGAAATTATTTCAAAGTTTAAAATTTTTTAAATTTTCCAAAAGAAATCCAATACAATTTGTTTTCCCTGAGTACAAGTTGCCCATACACGGTCTCAGGCCCAGCTGGGGAATAAAGAATCTTGACGAAAGATAAATGATATAAGGTCTCTGATTTACCAATATGTTTTCCTGTTTAAAAACTACATGAGTAACTGTCTCTTACAATTTTCAGTTCTACATTACTTAAAATCAGAGTCTAAATTCAGAAGCAGAGGTTATGCTTCTTACAGTTCTGGGCTCATATATATATATTTTTTCTGTCCATTTATTCTTTTTTGTTTTTCTTATAATTTTTCTTTGTCTTAAGGATCCTACTCTGTGTGAGAAGGTTTATCTTCAAAGAGTAATTATTTGTAGAAAAGGAAGCCCAAATGGCTAACATATGAAAAGATGCCCCACCTCACCAGATATCTGGAACGGTAAAAATCAACAGAGACAACTCGTCTGATACCACATAGCAACTGTTATTGAGGGTGTGAGAGGCAAGAGCTATAAAATACTATCGGAAAAGTGTAAAGGAGGACAACAATGGAAGAAAGCAAGTTAACACTCTCTAGTGCAGATGCACCCACTGTACACACCGAAGTTCTACTTTGAAGATTAATTACATCCTGGTCTCCCAGAGAAATCCCTTCACACATGCTTGAGAAGACAGGTAAAAAAAATGTGAACTACAGCACTGCTAGGAATAGCTGAGTGAACACAACTTAAATGTCCACTAAAAAAGGAAATGATAAACTTATTTAATTTATACAGTCAATATGTGCAGAGCTGTTAAAATGAGTGAATGACGTCTAATTTACCCACAAAGTGGAATGACACACACTTTCTGGCATGTTATTTATATGAATCTTTAAAACATATAAAAACAAGCCCGTGCATTGCCTAAGGACACACAGTATGTGATGAAAAGATCAAAATCAGAGACAGGAAAGGTACAGACCAGCAGCTGGATAGTGGTGATCTCTGGATCATGTGGGTTAGCTGCATTATCTTCTGTGCTTTTTTACATGTTTAAAGTACTTCACAATTTAAGATTCACAATTCTTGCTGCTGTGGAAAGAGTGTCAGTTGGTACAATTTGTTCTTCGGATGGCAATTTGGCAACATCCATGTTAATTTAAGACTGTACTTACACTTCAACCTTCTACTTTTAGTATTGAACTCTACAGAGGTGGCTGCACATATGTACAAAGAAATATGTGCACAGATATTCTCAAAGCACTGTACATGATGGCAAATGGTTGGCAATAATCCAATTCTATCTAGACCACTTTAAAGAAATTGATTCATTCCTACAAAGGAGCACAATGCCACACACATAAGAAAAAAGCTTTAGCCCTGGCTGGTTTGGCTCAGTGGATACAGCATTGGCCTGAGGGGTCCCGGGTTCGATTCTGGACAAGGGCACATGTCCCAGCTGCGGGCTCAATCCCCAGGGGGAGCATGCAGGGAGCAGCCAATCAATGATTCTCTCTCATCATTGATATTTCTCTCTCTCTCCTCCCTCCCTTCCTTTCTGAAGTCAATAAAAAATATATATATATATATTTTTTTTTTTAAATTTAAAAATAAAAAAGCTTTATATGTTGATAAAACAATATCTAAGATAGACAAGCTTAAAAAAAAAAAGGCAAGTTGGGGAGCAGCCACATGAGAATGACCAAGAGACTGAGGCAAAGGCCAGAGGCAGGCTCATGTGTATCTTCTCTCATTTGCATTTTTGTAAATGTACTGTCCACAAATTCCCATTTCAGTGGATAGAGTGTCAGCCTGCAGACCAAAGGGTCCTGGGTTTGATTCCGGTCAAGGACACATATCTGGTTGCAGGCTCCTCCCCGGGCCAGCCTCTGGCTGGGGCGCATGCAGGAGGCAACCAATCAATGTTTCTCACACATCAATATTTCTCTGTCATTCCCTCTTTTCCACTCTCTCTAAAAATCAATGAAAAATATCCTTGGGTGAGGATTAAAAATAAGTAAGTAAATAAAAAAATGTTGCCCTGGCTGATTTGGCTCAGTGGCTAGAGAGTCAGCCTGTGTACTGAAGGGTCCCAGGTTCGATTCCGGCCAAGGGCACATGCCTGGGGTTGCCAGCTCGATCCCCAGTAGGGGGCGTGCAAAAGGCAGCCAATCAATTATTCTCTCTCACCACTGATGTTTCTATCTCTCTTTCCCCTTTCCCTTTCTCTCTGAAATCAATAAAAATATATTTTTTAAAATGTTAACATTTTATTATTCTAAAATTCCCACCAATAAGTAAGAAAACACACAACTATACAATAAAAAATTGGGCCCAAAATATAAAGACAATTCATCAAAAAATTACAAATGGCCAATATACTTTAAAATGCTCAATCTCATTAGCAAGTACACACCAAAACGAGATGCCACTCTTCTCCCACCAGATTGGAAAGCACTTAAGGTGGGTAACCTCCCATCTTAAGGGCTGGTGAGGACGTGAGAAAACGAGCACCTTCGTATATTATTGGTGGAAAGAACAGAAACAACTTTTCAGTGGGAATTTAGTTAGGACTTTACATATCAACTAAATATTTCTCCTTCTGGATTTTTAAAATAACTTTAAGATATAATTCACATACTACACAATTCACCCACTTACAGTGTATAATTCAATGGTGTGCCACCATCGCCACAATCAATTTCAGGACTTCTTCATCACCTTAAATAGAAATCTTGCATCCCTTAACCACCACCCTCTCCCCAATCTTCCCAGCCCCTCTAGCCCGAGACAACCACTAATCTACTTGTGTCTCTAAAGCTTTGCTTATCCTGGACATCTATATATATATAAAAAGCCAGAAACCATCGGAATGACCAGAACTGGTCACTATGACACCTCCTGCAGCCAGCGAACCAGCCCAAACAGGGGGTGGGGCCAGCTGGCCAATCTCCTGCGGCCCCTCCCCCTAACCAGCCTTGCTCCTGACTGTACTCTCCCACCCAGATCAAGGGTAGGGTGGCTGGCCAACTCCCCACCCCTCGGCCTCTCCTCCCCGCTCCAGGCTGGCCCCACCCCTGATTGGCCCACAGCTCCTTCCTCTGGCTGGCCCCACGTCTGACTGCTCCCTCCCCTCACCCCAATCAGTCTGCAGCCCCTCTCCCAGCCAGCTACACCCCCAATCAACCCCCTAACCCCAATCAGGGACAGGGCCCACTGGCCAATCACCTGCAGCCCCTCCCCCCAGCTGGCCCAGCCCTGATCAGGGAGGTTGGTTGGGAGGCCTACCATGGTCTCTTCCTGACAGGCCTGGCCCTGATCTGTCCCTATTGGGGCCAGGCCAGCTGAACCCCACCCATGTCATGCACTGGGCCTCTAGTTTCATATAAAAGGAATCATACAATATGTGGTTGCACCTGGCTTTCACTGAGCATTATTTTCAAGGTTCATCTTTTTATGCCTGATTAATTTTGTATGAATATAACACATTTTATTTATCCATTTGTCAGCTGATGGAAATTTAGGTTGTTTCCAACTTTTGTTTATTATAAATAACACTGCTATGGACATTTGTGTTTAAGTTTTCGCATGGACATATTTTCAGTTCTCTTATCTATGTAGCTGAGTGGAATTGCTGAATCACAGGGTAACTACCATGTTTGACTGTTTGAGGAATTGCCAGACTGTTACCCATAAGCAATGCATGAGGGTTCCAATTTCTCCACATCCTCACTAACTCTTGTTATAGTCCATTTCTTTCTCATTATAGACATCCTAAGAGTTTTGATTTACATTTCCCTGATGACTAATGATGTCAAGTATTTTTTTCACATGCTTACTCCCATCTATATATTTTCTTTGGTGAAATGTCTATTTGGATCCTTTTACACATCTTTTAATTATCTTTTTATTGGGACCCATTAAATTTAAAATGTGAGCATCAGTAATCCCTCTTGTATAAATACAATATACAGCCAAAACCAGTTTGGCTCAGTGGATAGAACGTCGGTCTGCGGACTGAAAGGTCCCAAGTTCGATTCTGGTCAAGGGCATGTACATTGGTTGCGGGCACATCCCTGATGGGGGGTGTGCAGGAGGCAGCTGGTTGAAGTTTCTCTCTAATCAATGTTTCTAGCTCTCTATCCCACTCCCTTCCTCTCGGTAAAAAATCAATAAAATATATATTTTTTAAAAAGAAATACAATATACATAAATAACTACATGCAGGCTAAAGCTATATATATATATATATATAAAATATTCCCTGGAGCAGTTTACAATTGCAAGATGGCAGAAACCTAAGAACTGATTAAATTAATTATGGCCCAGATTATACCAGTACACGAATACTATACAAGGATAAGATGTCGCCGAAACTGGTTTGGGGCTCAGTGGATAGAGTGTCGGTCTGCAGACTGGAGGGTCCCAGGTTCCATTCCAGTCAAGGGCATGTTCATTGGTTGTGGGCACATCCCCAGTGGGGATGTGCAGGAAGCAGCTGGTCAATGTTTCTCTCTCATCGATGTTTCTGGCTCTCTATCCCTCTCCCTTCCTCTCTGTGAAAAATCAATAAAATATATATTTTTTTAAAAAGGATAAGATGTCTACAGTATATTGAGATCTTTTTTCTTTTTTAAATCATCTTTTTAAAAGCTGCAGATCAGCCAAAACCGGTTTGGCTCAGTGGATAGAGCGTCGGTCTGCGGACTGAAGGTTGCCAGGTTTGATTCTGGTCAGGGGCGTGTACATTGGTTGCGGGCACATCCCCAGTGGTGAGTGTGCAGGGGGCGGCTGGTCGATGTTCCCCTCTCATAGATGTTTCTAGCTCTCTATCCCTCTCTCTTCCTCTCTGTAGAAAATCAATAAAATATGTACTGTACATTAAAAAAAAAAAAAAGAAAAAAAAAAGCTGCAGATCAAATATACAGGAAAATTCCACTTTGTCCAAAATAAAAAGCATTTTTTACAGGTATCTTTAGACATGCCTTTCTAAGCACAAGAAAAGTCCTGGGGTGTCTCTTTATCCAACCAAGTGAGCATCTTGGGGAGGAGCAGGGAGTGGTTGAAAAGGGAAGATCCTTGCCTTTTTACTCTATATACTTTTCTTTAAGTATTGGAATTTTAAAAAAGTGTATTTTCCATACTTTTCAAACAATATTTTAAAAATTCTTACAGGAAGAGGTGTCTATTTTTATTCATCACTGTACCTTTTAATGCCTAAGTGCCACAACACTTGACATCAATGGATTCTCAATGAAAATGTATTGAATAATAAAGAGCAATTCTTTCTACATAGCAGAAAATTGGTATAGTTTACTAGAGGCCTGGTGCATGAATTTGTGAATGGGTGGGGTCCCTTGGCCTGGCTGGTGATCGAGGCCTATGGGGGAGCCGGCCAACCAGGGGCAAGCACCCTGGGAGTTGGCTTACCATCCCCTTTCCCTGATTGGGGTCCAGGAGGAGGGACCACAGGAGGTTGGCCAACCAGCGCCCCCCCAAACCCCCTATTGGGGTTGATGGGGGAGCTGGCTGGCCAGGGGGAGGAGCTGTGGAGGTTGGCTATGAGAGAGTATAACCACCAGGGGCAATTCCTGTATTGAGCATCTGCCCCCTAATGGTCAGTGCACATTATAGCGACTGGTCAATTGGTCATTTGATTATAAAGGTCGCTTAGGCTTTTATATATATAGATACTTCAGTGATGATTCATCACTTGCTATAACTAAATTATAAGCTAACAAAGAGGGTCACTTACATGATTCAGAAAATACTGCACAATTATTTCATGGCCAGAAGCAGCTGCTTCCATCAAAGGGGTGAATCCATAAATTGGCTCCCTGCAAGATAGAGGCCACAGTCCAATGATTAGAAGAGAGTTCTTTCCTTATGCAAACAAAACCAAGCTGATGTCCCTGGCCGGTGTTCCTAAGTGATTAAAGGCACATCCTGGGTTGCAGGTTTAATCCTTGGCCCCCAATCAGGACACATACAGGAGGCAACCCATCAATGTGTCTCTCTCACACTGATGTTTCTCTCTCTCCCTCCCTCCTTTGTTTCCACTCTCTCTAAAAATTAATGGAAAAAAATAACCTCAGTTGAGGATTAAAAAAACAAACCAAGCTGATGCAAAGTCACCCATCCCTTACTGCAGAGGTCTCCCTTGAGAAAGAATTACCGGGAAAAGATGAGAAAAGTTCTTATCAACACACCAGCTTCATAAACTCTTCTGGTTTCCACCCCACTCTAGTATTTTGTCCTAAAGACATTCTGTCTCCCTACTCCACTCCTTCTAAGCTGTCTGCACCTGCTATCTCTTAAGTCTCCACTTGAATCGCCTGCAAAAGGTAGCTACTGCCCTTCACTGTTCACAGAAAGCTTAGGTCTCCCATCCCTATTCAGACCCTATCTTTTCAGTTCAGTATCCTCCAGGTATCTTCCCCAAAGCTCTGAGACTAATAATCTACCTGCTCTTGCTACACCTGATACCCAATGCTTACTTTCTGTGCTTGGTTATGGTTAACTCAGCACTGTCTTCAGAGTGCCCTTTAATCCTCACTTCTTTCATGCTAGTCTAGAAGACAGAAACCAAGCTAAATACTGGATTTCTGCCATTCTAAAACACACTGTTTTCACATTTTAATATTTCTGCAGTCAGAATGTGTCTCAAAATCCATAGGTGAGTTGCAGTTTAATTAGTGGTATTTTTTTCTTTCTTGGTGACATGTAAAACTATGGTGTATCTCATAATAGATGACATCAACTGATGGCTGTGGAAGGATCAGTTGGATGCTGTGTTGAAAGGGGAGGTAGAGAGCAGGAGGGAGCGGAGGGCACAGAAAGTAAAGAGGGATAAATGGTGATGAAAGGAGACTTGACTTGGGGTGGTAAACACACAATACAACATATAGATGATGTATTGTAGCACTGTATACCCGGAACCTAAATAATTTTATTAATCAATATCACCCCAACAAATTCAATAAAAATAAAGAAAAGAAAGGGGATTATCATCATGACAGCTTTAGACAATATCCCTTCCAACTTATAAAACTCATGACTGTTTTCAAAGCAACACCTCACCTGATAAGGCCAAAAGGAAAGAGAAAGGAATTAGCATTTAATGCATTTCAATTAAGTGCCATCCACTATGTTAGGCCCTTGACATACATAAAATAACATGTAATTGCCTTAGCTGGTTTGGCTCAGTGAATAAAGCATCGGCCTGTGTATTGAAAGGTCCCAGGTGTGATTCCAGTCAAGGGCACATGCCTGGGTTGTGGGCTCAATCCCCAGTGGAAGACTTGCAGGAGGCAGCTGAAACATGATTATCTCTTATCATGGATGTTTTTATCTCTCTCTCCCTCTTCCTTCCTCTCTGAAATCAATAAAAATATTTAAAAAATTAAAAAATAACATGTAATTCTTCTAACAACTCTATGACATAGATATCGCTATTCTGTTTTCAGATGAAGAAAATGAGGTTCAGAGAGTTTTGTTTGTTTTTTTATAGCAAAGGTGGAAATTTATTGAAGGACAAGCACAGACTCCCACATGGGAAAGGGAAAGAATCACACAGCACTGACTCCCACGTGCGGAGGAGGAGAGTCCTGAGCTCAGACAGCTTAAAGCCCTGCACCCAATGTTACCTGACAGATGTGTAAAAAGGCCAGAATTGTCCCTAGGCCTCCTGCACCTGAGTGGGACTGTCTCTTCTGCCACTTTGTCTGAACCCCTCATATGGAGGAGGGGCTGCCCTGACTGGCCTGTAGCTGCCTATATAGTTGCTCTCAGAGTAAGATGTGACTATATCCATTCCTATGGCTACTTAAGACCTGGTAATCACCTCACGTTGGCATTTGCTCCGCTGTCCAAAAGGAACTTGACCATCTGCTGATGTCCTGCGCTGGTGCAGTGGAAGAGGGCAGTCCAGCCTTGAATGTCCTTCATTTCTAGCTCAGCGCCTTGCTTCAAGAGAACACAGAATGCTTGTTACGGCCTCGTCTCCTCTACGTGGGGCGGGTGCCCTCCTGGTCATCATGCTGAAAGAATCAAAGCGATTACACGCACACGTACACGCACACGCACACCATGGCCTGCAGTGGTTCACATCTCTGCCAGAACAGCAGGAGCCCCTCAGGTTTCTGGGCCTGAGTCCCCCCGTAGCTCACCTGGAGAAGAAAGTAGGCGATGCTCTCGTTGCCACAGCTGGAAGCAAGCATCAGTGGAGTCTGCCCTTCCGGGGTTGGCACATTCACACTCACCCCCGCTTCGAGCAGAAGGTGCACGATGGTATCGTGTCCAATGTAGGAGGCATACATCAGCGGGGTCCAGCCACCACCATTCTTCTTATTCAAATCTACCTCTCTCCTAAACAAATGCAAGATATGCTAGTCATGCCCAGCCACCTCACATGTGGGTGTACCAGAGCCAGAGTCAAGGCCAGGAATGAAGCTAAACATCGTATAGTGCACAGGACAGCCCCCACCACAAAGAATGACCTGTCCCAGATTGTCAGTAGTGCCAAGATCGAGAAATCCTGACCTGGAGCCTTGACTACCTTCCACCAACAGACCAGTCTCTTAGCCAGTGCTGGGGGGGAGAGGAAGAGACTTAGACAATGTGTGATTCTTTCCCTTTCTCATGTGGGAGTTCCACTGCAACTGATTTCCCTTGTCATCCTACCCTACAGAAACATTCTTAGAAAACCCGTGACCGAATAATCCTATCTTTCTCTCTGATTTCCATTAAATTTCTGGAAAAGCATTTCCTACAGGGAAAAAAAAAAAATGTGAGCTTCCCAAGTATGGAAATAACATCCACTTCCAAGAACATCTTCTGTAGTTAATGCCCCACAGCCCTTCCTCTTCCACCATCCATGTCTCCAGTGGAGCTATTCAATCTGCCAATCAATCCACACAGCTTGTGCCTCTCATAGGTGTGCACATAATAAACCACACCGTTCACTAGCACCTTCTATTGACTCTGGAATGCCCATACAGCCATTCTCAAAGGTCCTGATTCCAGGACTGCAGCAACAGCCACTGGCTGGGAGAGCCACATGAAGACCAATTTGTCCTCACCATGTGACATTCATTGATGGAGCACTCAACTCCACATGGAGGAGGAAGGACCTGACTCTTGGCAAAACACATCTGAGGCTCTCACACCTCCCATCAGCCCAATCCCCCCATTCTAATGCTTCCAACATCTTGGATCCTCAGTCTATCTTTTTTTTTTTTTTTTTTTTTTTAATATATTTTATTGATTTTTCACAGAGAGGAAGAGAGAGGGATAGAGAGTTAGAAACATCGATGAGAGAGAATCATCAATCAGCTGCTTCTTGCACACCCCCTCCTGGGGATGTGCCCGCAACCAAGGTACATGCCCTTGACCGGTCTCGAACCCAGGACCCTTCAGTCCGCACGCCGACGCTCTATCCACTGAGCCAAACCGGTCCCGGCATCCTTGTCTATCTTATCGTGAGCAAGCCTTAGGATTGGCTGGCATCACAATCCCCATCAGAACACAAACATTTCCTTCTTTTCTGTGGAGCCATCTGGACTGTGCATTTTACCAGAATACCAAAATTAAAAGCCCCAAAACACCATAGCAGCGTTATCAATGGGGTTTTGGTGACCCTGGAGTAGGGGGGAGATACACAATCCCAAGGCCACCTGGTGCAGGAGTACAATGATATCCCTCACCACAGTGCACTTGCACTTGACTGGCCAGATTTTTTTTAAGTGATGGCTATGACTTGGGCATTGGAAATCTGGGGCTTCAGCACGATTTGACTTTGATGCCCCAGGAACTGGAAAAGGCACATGTAGGTATGGACATAGTTCATTTCTGTGTTATTGATGAGTAATAAAAATATAAGCACGTGTGGTGGATATAAAGGGCATGAAGGCGAGGAGACAGATTATTTTCCAAAAACTACAGTACACATCACATTGTACTACAAACAAGACATCCAAGGACCACTGCTGTTATATGGGGACTTAATATACGTATAACATGAGTAAAAATGGTATGTGGGCAGTTAGTTCAGGTGGCAATCCTCCAGAGGGGCAGATGAACCTTGCTGCCTCCTCCTCCCCCTCTTCTTTCCCTTTCTCCTCTTCCCCTTCCTCCTCCTCTTTGGCAGATGCTGGAGGGAAGAGGAGGTCACCAGGGATTAAAAGGTCATAGGACATTGCTTTCTATTTTTATTTGAGAATTTCTGCAGTTAGTAAGAAACCATAAAATTACTTTGGTTAAAGTAAGCTGAAAATGTTTCTAACTATACCTATGAAAAAAAATTTAGCTTTTTCTTCCCAGGAATAAAAACTGCCTTCCTATTTGGAGTCCAGCATAAACCATTATCCACAACTGCCTGAGAGAAGCAGGGTTAATCTAGGCCATATGTACTAAATGTCTATGAATCGTGGTTAGCATACTAATATCTCTATGTGGGAGTTGAGGCCACTGAGATGGTCCTCAAAATCTGAGGAGAATTATTTCCCAAGATGTCTTACCGCTGCACACATTCCTTCACCACTTCGTACTGGCCGATGGAAGCAGCTGTATGGAGATCCAAGGGGATGGCCAGCTGCTCCCAGCTGACCTGTGCACCTGGCCCATGCCACATAGACAAGCTGCGGGTCAGGAGTTCTGGCTCGCTGGCTTCATCGCTGAGCTCCGACATCGTTGTGGAGGGAGGTCCAGGGGTTAGGTTTTTCTTTCCTGGTGGTTCCAGGGAATAAAACAAGACGGTCACACTCATACCCACAGTAGGTGGTTATGTCACAACCTAGGACTGATTTAGACAACTTTCTTACATTAAATATTGATTTTGTTCGGCCACTGTGGCTCAGTAGTTAAGCACCAACCCATAAACTGGGAGGTCACTGGTTCAATTCCCTGAGAGCACATTCCCAGGTTGCAGGCCCGATCCCCAGTAGGGGATTTGCAGAAGGCAGCGGACTGATGTTTCTCTTTCATCCATTATTCTATTTCTCTCTCCCTCTCCCTTTCTCTCTCTGAAATCAATAAAAACATCTTTTTTTTTTTTAATTGTATGATTTTGTGAGCTTGTCACCAGACAGAAAAAGAAAAGCATATATGGTGACTCATAACCTTCAGTGTTATTTCCCTCCATTAATCCTCAGGCCCTGCATTCTAGAAAGAGTATTTTCCAGGAATTCAAGAAGCCTGAAAACCTCCTGGATGGTTAATAAAGAAATGCTAATTGGGTCAGTGGACCAAATCAGCTCTTGGGTGTGGGGAAAAGAACCCTGGACTTAGAGATTAAGATTTAGCTCAGCTGCCCTGGCCAGGTGGCTCAGTTGTTTGGAGCATCATCCCTTATACCAAAAGGTTGTAGGTTTGATTCCAGTCAGGGCACATACCTAGGCTGCGGGTTCCATCCCTGGTTGGGGCACAAACAGGAGGCAACCAATGGATGGTTCTCGCTCACATCGATGTTTTTCTCTCTCTGTCTCTCTCTTCCTCTCCCTAAAACAAACAAACAAACAAACAAAACAACAGAAACATATCCTCTGGTAAGGATTAAAATAAATTAGCTTTGCTATTGGCATCTCCCATCCTACTTTTCACTGTCTAATGGACACATAATATCTCAAAAGGGCTGCTATTCAAGACACATGGAAGACCGAGTAAACAGTGGCACATTCATAGGATGGAATGCCACTCAGCGTTAAACAGAAAGAACAACAGTTGATACACACAACATACCACACAACACAGGAACCAATCTCCAAACATACTGGGCTAAAAGCCAGACGCAAAGGCTACCTTCTGTACGATTCCATTTATATGACTTTCTGGAAAAAGTAAAACTAAATAGTTGGAGAACAGACTAGTAGTACCAAGGGCTGGGGATGTGGGGTGCACAAAGGGATAGCAGGAGGGAATTTCAGGGTGATGGACCTGTTCTGCATCTTAATTGGTGGATGTGTAACTCTATGTATTTATCAAAACTCATAGACCTGGACACCAAGGGAGTGAATTCTACTGTATGTACATTGTTTTAAACAAATAAAACTTGTAAAAAATTGAGAGCCCCTACCACAGGAACTAGGATCTGGTTGGTGTTCAGCAAATGTCAAGTAACTACGAATCTTCCTATTTATCCCTTGAAAATGGGAGAGAGAGGACAATACCAGGAAGAGTCTGGGAATCTTACCCAAATCAAGGGCAAGTCATTAGCTTTTTAGTAAAACCCTCAGGTCCAGCCGAAACCGGTTTGGCTCAGTGGATAGAGTGTCGGCCTGGGGACTGAAAGGTCCTGGGTTCAATTCCGATCCAGGGCATGTACCTTGGTTGCAGGCACATCTGTGCAAGAGGCAGCTGATCGATGATTCTCTCTCATCGATGTTTCTAACTATCCCTCTCTCTTCCCCTCTGTAAAAAAAAAAATCAATAAAATATATAAAAAATAAAAATAAAACCCTCAGGTCCAGGAGTGACATCTGTCTCCTATTCTTCTCTGGGTGAAATAGGAAGAAAAAACAAAGAAGGGCAAAGTCCAATTCAGAAGGCCTAAAGGTACCACAGATGCCGCTGGGACCTCACTCTCTACTAAAGAATGTTTCCAAGCCCCCAGGAGACAGCCAAGATGGCCAAGACAACAAAGAAACTGCGGATCTGGGAGACAAAAGATTTGTAGGCCTTTTGCAAGAGTGTGTGTACATGTGATGGGGCCTACAGGCAACAAAATTCAGAGCAGAACCCTGCATCCTGGATCCACCACCTTTCACAGCTGGCAGGGCCTGAGCTCAAGCAGCTCTCACTTTGCAGGTGTGAGCCTTCAACCTGAGCAGTCCTGCCCCACAGAGCCTGGATTAAAAGCCAAAAAAAGCTGAGTGTCAGTTCAGAGCTACTTTCAAACACACCCCCTCCCCCCCCAAGCCTCCTGTGGGTGTGTCTCTTCTACCCCAAATGCCTCCTCTTGGGTGGGGCCCATGTTCTCTCTCCTTTTATTGGATGCTCACATGTCTGCCGCCCTGAAGAGTGCTGAGGGATAATCAGAACCAGGCCCCTACTCAAGAAGCTTACAGAGAATTTGGATGCGAAGGGACCGTAAAGCTATTATTACTTCGTTTTCACCCTGTCGCTGCCAAACGCAACATGACTGTATTTAATACTTTTAGAAAATGTCTTTTGCATATCGCTTCCAGAACTTATTTCCAGGAAGCAGTACTTGGGATAGGAACTTTTTTCACTCTTACCGTTTGGCTCTGTCCATTTTGTAAAACAGTAAGTACCACTATTTTTAAAATAAGCAAAATGTTAACTTAAAAAAAAAAAAAAGATGCCGGTGGTCGACCGTCACGCCCACAAGGAAAAGATCTACATAAGCTCCAGGGCACCCCCTGCGGTCCTAGTTCGCTGGCCTTCCCACAAACCGGGGCATCCCAATCTCCTCAGGTTCTGAGGAGGGTCCCTAGGGAAGAACCGGAGCACCCTTGCCGTGTCCTTCCAGCAACCCTACATGGATCGGGGCTTCACCTTCCCGCTCCACAGCTGCAGAGGCGAAAGCTCCGCGTCCGAGCAAGCAGCAGGCTGGGACGCCCCGCCGCGGGCTGCGCCGACAGGCAGCAGGTGCCGGCAACAGGCGGGGCCGCCGTGGGTCCTACCTGCGCGGGCCTCGAGTCCTGAGTCGCCTCCGGCTAGCTGCCGCCACCAACTGCACACCCGCCCGCTGCTGCGCTCCTCCGGCTGGCCCCACGCTACGCCGCGCGAGTCCGGGACTCGTCCACGCCGGCTGCCTCAGCGGCTGGACCCGCGGCCCTGCTCCCGCCCCGGAAGTGGTTGCGGAGGCGCAGAGCACGCCGGGATGTTCGTTCGTTCGCGGACTCCCGACTCCCGGAGCAGCTCTGAGCGTGATGGAAATTCGCCGGTTCCACACCCGGACTTTCCGGTCAGCTCGCGTGGCTCTCTGAAGGACGCCCGCTACAACCAATGAGCTGGGAGAGTGCGCCTGCCCCGCCCCTCCACGAACGGCAGCAACCAATCCCATTGCAAAAGCGTCAAGACGCGCCACGCCCCGAAAGAGGCGGGGCGGGGTGGACGGTTGGCCGTGCAGTACAGTAAGTCCCCACTGAGGGGCTATTCCGAAGGCGGTGAAAGGTTCAGTAGTTGCGCCCCGGCCCTAGGGGCAGAGCTAATAAGCTCCATAGCCTTCGGGACAGCGCTGGGAGGGGAGGCGAGGCGGAGGCCTTAGGTGAGGGACCTCGGGCCTGCCGCCGCTGCAGAGAGAAATATCAGAAGTTGGACGGGACGCGGAGGAGACGGGGTTGGGAGTGTGTGGCTGGCAGGACAGATGCTGGGTTTCCCGGTTTCCGAGCTTTAGCGTTTAAAATCCTGACCGGGGGAGGCCGTTGGCGTCTAGTTGTCATGACAACCAACCGCCCAGTGGCGGGGAAGACAAGGGTGGGACTTTGGGCGGGGCTAACGGGCTGCAGCCATGAAACGGACGTGGATTTAGAGTCAGGATTTTGAGGAAACTTGGGATGCCAATTTGTGTAGCTTTTGGTTTAACCCTCATCTGCTGGATAAGCCAAGCTCCTTCGCTTGGAGTTCAGGACTCTTCACGATCTAGTCCGTCTCCCCCCCCCCCCCCCGCAAATTCCAGCAATTGACACCTTTCCACCCCAAACTTATTGGGCAATTTTCATTCCCCTGAGATACTACATGTTCTGCAGCCCAGTGCCTTCCCCTTTCTCTTCATTGCCTTGTCCACCTAAAGAACTTACCAGTCTCTGGTAGTCCCCTTTACCTGTTGTCCTCTGAACATCCCTGCAGCCAGAGAACATCCATAATATATGTACTGCATGCGTCCACACTCTGCAGTTTCCAGTTCTAGGTGCACCAAACTCCTGTCCCCACTCCTATAAGCACAGAAAAGGCAAGAAGCCCCACTGCTGCTACACTGATGGGAGCCTTGTTGCAGCTAGGGCTGGAGCAGGAGTGTTCTCTTCCCATTTTATAGGCGCAGTTTCCATACTGCACTGCACACACACACACACACACACACACACACACACAGTGCAGGGCATAGTGCCTCGCACTCAGTAAGAGGAACCTGCAGAACCAGAAGGGAAATGAGGTAGGAGGTCTGTGAGTCAGTTTTCATCCCCCACAAAGTGGTAGATTCTTTGAAAAGGCACCCCCTATCTCTTCCCCCTCCCCGTGCCTCACCCTCCACCCCCAGCTCTTGACCCCTGGTCCCTGGATCCTGTCACTTTACCCTGTCTTCTCTATAGGGTTCCTTGGATGATGCACACTGAGAAACTTCATCTGAGCCCAGGCCCCCATGGCATCCCAGGACAAAGATGTGGAGCCCTCACTGCCCTCTCCATGTGTCTCCCGGATGGGGCCCTGGGAGGCCATTCTTGAGGCCGTCAGGGAGCAGCTTCCATCTCTGGACTCAGATTCCTCTTTGGTAAGTAAGTACCTTCTTCCCATGTCATCTTAGGCCCTTATTGCTCTTCTTTTCCTATGGCAAATGCGATGATGACAAGTGGAAGGCTATGGAGCTTATTAGCTCTGCATTCATCATCACTGTTTCAGTTCTCTGAATATATTTATTGGTGCTCAGCATCCTCCTGGGTCTTACTAGTGACCCCAAAGGACAACTGGAGAATTCCTCTGAGGGCTTATCACAATGCACTGAAATGGTTGCCACCCTCAGTGGTGGTTCTAGCCAAGTTCTGGCTCAACAGAGAGTTGAGAAAGCACCTCAGCAGAGGAGAATAGCAGGAACATCAGCATCAAGCAGACCTGGGTCCCCATCCCCACAGTAGCTAACTTACTGTGGGCAGTTATCACTGGTACAAATTTGGGATTCTGTATGTAAAGTGCCTGGCCCAGAATGGCGCTCAACTAATAGAGTTAACAAAGCCACCCATTTCCTAGGGTATTTTTTAAATCCCATCCAAGGGCATATTTATTGATTTTAAGAGAGAGAGAAAGGGGGAGAGAGAGAAAAATCGATATGAGAGAAAAACATTGATATGAGACAGAAACATCAATTGGCTGCCTCCTGTATGCGCCCAGACCAGGAACTGAACCTGCAGCCTTTTGCTGCACAGTAAGATGCTTCACCTACTGAGCCACCGGCCAAGGCTTCATCCTAGTGTTTTTCTTATCCTGGTAAACACCCCCTTTTGCTTTATGAAAAATGGTGATAAACAGAGAGGTACATCATGTAAGAATTAAGCACCAAGGCTCCACATTGTAAATTGATGTAAAGATTAAATAATTAAATTTTGAGCACAGTGCTTGGGATATAGTGAATGTATAATACATAGTAATTTTCTTTTTTTAAAATATGGTTTTTTTTACTCCAGAGAGAGGAAGAGAGATAGAAACATCAGTGATGAGAGAGAATCATAGATCGGCTGCCTCTTGCATGCTCCCCACTGGAGATTGAGCCCACTATTGGACATGTGCCCTGACCAGGAATTAAACTGTGATCTCCTGGTTCATGGGTTGACACTCAACCACTGAGCCACACTGGCCAGGCCATAGTACTTTTCTGATTGATCACATGCATTCATTCAACAAACATTTTTAAAATATATTTTATTGATTTTTTTTTACAGAGAACAAGAGAGGGAAATAGTTAGACACATCAATGAGAAACATCAATCAGCTGCCTCCTGCACACCCCCCACTGAGGATGTGCCTGCAACCAAGGTACATGCCCTTGACGCTGGGACCCTTCAGTCTGCAGGCTGACGCTCTATCCACTGAGCCAAACCAGTTTCGGCTCAACAAACATTTAAGGAGCCTACTCAGCCTCTTCAAGGACCAGGAAGCCTTTGTAATGTTATACACTGTGGTGGGCCTTGATTCACCATGATGCTAATTGTGCTTCTAGTTTCAACCTACTAAGAGAATGTTGGATGGCAATAGTGACTCTGAATTTAGATTTAAGTGAGTTGTACCATCTTTTTATGTAGTGGAAATTAGGCATGTGCACTCATGTAAGATGTGACAGCGACCCCACAAGCAGAGCAAAGTGGGTGATGTACCAGGTGGGAGCTCAGCAGTGGATGTCAAATACACAGGTTGGAGCTGGGTGTGTAGAGAATGGTTTTAGAAATAACAAGCTAGATTTGGGTCCTACCTGTGGCACCTGCAAAGACGAAAATGACACAGCTTCGACCCCAGAGATCTTCTAGTGCACAGCGAGGCTAACAGGGAGTAGATAATGCAACCCCACTGCCTTTTCACATCTTCAATCTCATTTGCTCTCATCTTCAGAATACTCCTGTGAGGGGGGCCTCCCCCACCCTATCTTAGAGGTGACAAATGAAGGCTTTATGTCATTAAAAGATGGTTCAATTCATGGGGGAGGGGAAAAGCTGGACTCTTTTAGCTACCACTTCTGTACTTAATTCATTCACACCAGGCATTAACTAAGCACCTGCTGTGTGCAATGTCAAGGATGGCAGGTATGTGCAGAACTGGGAACTCAGGATCTCACTTCCACAAGGTGGTGCTGCTGAGCTTACTTTTCTAAATCAGCAACAAGAACCAGCACTGGGCAAGGCCCTTTGGGAGAGAACTGATTGCCCCTGCTGTCCCTCTGAGGCAGGGCAGAATGGGGTAAATGGGGCAAGGCCCTCCTAACTCTGCCCTCTGCCAGGTAATCCCTGAGCTGTCTTATCTATCCACAGTCAGACTGCGGAGAAGAGGAGCTGTTCATTTATCAACGAAATCAAACCACCTTGATTCCAGACTTGTCAGAGGAGCTGGCTGAAAACCCTGATGGGGCCTGGGTTGGTCCTGCCAACAGGTCTCCTGAGGTCAGTGGAATGCAGGCTCCAAGGAACCTGCTGGCAGAACAGGGTGTGGGAGTGCGTGTCCATGGCTCTCGCTGGATTCTAACAGCAGTGTGGGTCAAAGAGGTCAAAACCCCTGGTCCAGCATCTCTGCACACCCAGGCCTTTCTCCAGGTACAACCCAAGGAGTTCAGACACCAGCACACTTAATACCAGGGTTTTTGTTTGTTTCTATTACTTCAGCAATTCTTCTGGATGATTTTTTTTTTTTTTAATTTAAGATGGAAAAGTCTGTACCAATTTATGGGGATCAAGCCATGGGCTTGCTGTGGAATCAAAGGGCTTGGGTTTATCTTGTCCACAGCTTAATAGCTATGTAACCTATTTATAATGGCCAAAGGTGGACGCAACCCACATGTCCATCAACAAACAAAAGGGATAAAATGTGGTCTAGCAATACAGTGGAACATTATTCAGTCCACTAAAAGGAATAAAGTACTGACACATGCTACAGCATGATGAACCTTGGAAACTGAGCTAAGTGTAAGGGCAGAAAAGAAAAAACAGTATATGGTTCTACTTCATTAGGTTCTACTTCATATCTAGAATAGGCAAGTTTATGGAGACAGAATATAGATTAGAGTTTACCAGGGGCTGGACGAGTGGAGTAGAGTTCCTGGGATTTTAGAATGAAAGAGCCTAGGAAATGGACAATGGTGGTGGTTGAACTGCATTATGAATGTATTTATTGCCACTGAACTTTACATTTAAAAATATTTAACATGGCAAAGTTTATTACAGACATGCCACAATTAAAAAAACAAAAATACTTCCCTAAAGTATGATTTTGAGGCTGCTAACTGAGGACACCTGCTTTCTCAACAGCCACTTGTGGCACCTGTGGAGTTCTCAGCAGAGCCCTGGGGTGAATGGAATGTAAGGATGAAGGAAGGAAAGGACCCTGGCCAGCCCTTGGAGGGCGGTGGTGAGAGCAGCTCTCTTAGGATGCCTGAGGAGACCCCCACATGGCAGGAAGGTGACCTTGGGGACATGTCCTTCAACACCAAAGGATCCCCAAGTCCTCCTTGGGGGCTGCAGGGAGAAGCCACCCTCTGTCTCCCAGGAGAAGACCTGAGGATGGACCCAAATGCCGTCCCCTGTGTTCAGAAGGGCTCAGATTCTGCAAACCGGAGAGCCCTCCGAAAAGCGAGAAAAAAGATGATCGAGAGAGACCTACTTCATAAAGTCACCTGGGGTGCCAGGAACCCTGCCTGCAGTGACCACAGTCTAGTGAAGAAGACACCCTGTGAATCTGCATCCACGGGTCGGAGACCGGGAACGCCACCACAGGGGCCCCGGGAAGGCCTGCCAGTGCTCGCCCTCCAGGTAGGCAGCTCCCTTGCCCTGTGCATACTCAGGGTGTGACCTGTAGTGGTCTCTAGACCTGTAGTGGTCACAGGCCAACTTGAGGGCTGGCCCATTACACCTGTCTTAATCTGTGGGAGCTGCTATAACAAAATCCCAAGGTCTAGGCCCCGGCACATTCTGTGTCTGGTGAGGGCCTGTCCTCTTCTCACTTAGTCCTCACTTGATGGAAGGGATTTGGAGTTCTTTTATGAGAACACTAGTTCCATTCATAAGGCTTCCCCCTCATGACCTAGGCACCTCCCAAAGCCATCACCTCCAAACCCTATCACTTTGGGGTTAGGATTTCAACATATGAATTTGGGAGGGCCACCAACATTCATTCTGCAGCAGCGATCTTAGGCCCATGGTCCCTGTCCACTGGCAGACAGGCTGTCATACCTGTCTCAGGGTTTGTGCAGTGCTGGCAGACAGACCATCCTCAGGTAGAGTTAACAAGAATAAGGAAGAGTAAGGAGACTCAGCTTTCTTAAAAAAAAAAAAAAAAAAAAAAAAAAAAAGTGCTAATCCCAAGCATGTTTATAAAGACACACAACTGCATATAAGATAGAGAACAGAGCCCCAGCCAGTTTGGCTCTGTGGATAGAGCGTCGGCCTGCGGACTGAAGGGTCCCAGGTTTATTCTGGTCAAGGACATGTGCCTTGGTTGCGGGCACATCCCCAGAAGAAGATGTGCAGGAGGCAGCTGATCAATGTTTCTCTCTCATTGGTGTTTCTAACACTCTATCCCTCTCCCTTCCTCTCTGTAAAAAATCAATAAAATATATATTTAAAAATATATATATATTTTTAAAAAATTTAAATCAATGGGAAAATACCCTCAGGTGAGGATTTTTTTAAAATTATATTGAAAAAACAACAGATAAATAATAAAATACTTTTTTAAAAAAAGATAGAGAACAGACTCTGTCAAAATATAATTCTCAAACGTTAATGCTCCTACTCTCGTACAAATAGTGAACACCTGTTAACATTAGCTTTAACTCATGAATGAGGATGACAAAAGCAGTTCAAAGAGATTATAAGAAACTAGGATTTTGTAAGACATTGGGAAAAAAAAGAAGTGAATGCCGAGATAAAATTGCTACATTAAGTGCAAAATCAGTAAACATCCTACCCGGCAATGGAACTGATACCTCTGGGGCTGTCTTCTTTACTAGACAGAAAAGAAAACCATTGCACTTCCTCAGTTTTACAAAGTGGTAAAACAAGTGGATCCTGATCAATTGTGCAAACTAACCTCCCCTAGGAAGGTGAGCTTCTTAGAAAACTCCAGCATGACATTGAAAGGCCATGCAATTCTCTTTTTTGCCTTATTCACAAATTTGAATAATTTTCTTAACAACTTTAGAGAAAACTGGCTTTAAGGTGCTAATGGAAGTCATTTTCACAAATTTCATTCTTATAAATTCCATTCTTTCTGTTCACTCCTAAACACTTTTATTTTCACTCACCTATAGGGCTGCAAGGAGCTGCAAGGTTATACATAACAAACATTAATTCCTGATTAATTTCCCTCCTCTGATCACACCAGCTCTGCCCCCATAGCATTCTTTTTCAAGTCTTGCTTAGAATTACTTGTATTTTTTTTCTTTTTTAAATATATTTTTTTGTTGATTTCAGAGAGAAAGGGAAAAGAGAGAGACAGGAACATCAATGATGAGAGAGAATCATTGATTGGCTGCCTCTTGCACACTTCATTCACCCTGGGGACTGAGCTCGCAAACCAGGCATGTGTCCTGACCGGGAATTGAACCATGACCTCCTGATTTATAGGTTAATGATCAACTACTGAGCAACGCTGGCTGGGCACAATCTGTTTCTTTTTTTAATTTTATTAACTTTATACAGAGAGGAAGGTAGAGGGATAGAGAGTTAGAAACATCCATGAGAGAGAAACATCAATCAGCTGCCTCCTGCACACCCCCTACTGGGGATGTGCCAGCAACCAATAGTGAGCACCTGTTAACATTAGCTTTAGCTAATGACCTTGACCAGAATAGTACCTGGGACCCTTGAGTCCGCAGGCTGAAGCTCTATCCCAGTGTTTCCCAACCTTCTCTCATGATGAGAATCACCTGGTGGAGTTGTTAAAACACAGATTCCTGAATCCCAACTAAGAAGTGCTAAACTAGAATTTTTGAGAACATATAGGTAAAATTGCATACCTAACTTAGTGCTCTGTATATAAAATCTGTCTTAGAGCACTAGTTAGGTATACAATTTTACCTATATGTTCCCAAAAATTCTAGTTTAGCACTTCTTAGTTGGGATTCAGGAATCTGTGTTTTAACAACTCCACCAGGTGATTCTCATCATGAGAGAAGGTTGGGAAACACTGCTCTATCCATTGAGGCAAACTGGTTAGGACACAATCTGTTTCTTAAGAGCAAAACTTTTTAACCTTTCAGTGTTTTAAACCTGTATGAACCTACAAAATTTTAAAAAGACACTGGGTTTTCTCCAGGTCAAAATATACCTTTGTGCCAGACACAGAAGTATTAACCAAAAAGGTACAGGAAAGAGGTGCAGATCCCTGGTGCTTCTTTCTGCAACCCACACAGGGTGAATGAGTAATCACCATTTTGCAAATGTGGGCATGCCTCCAAATCCTGATTCCTGCTCCGGGACATCCCATACCAGCCTCTGTAGCTCCCAGCACCCTGCGGCAGCCTTGTAATCTCCACTTTAAATCATTTCAGCATCTTGAAGAGTGGGATTTGGATCACATCCTTCAGAGTCTAACTGGACAAGAGGACGACCGGGGAGATGGAGCATCTAGAGGAGTGTGGTGGGCAGCTGATCACCTCCAGGGCCCAGGTCTGACCTTAAACACCAAGGCCCAAGGGCATCTCCATAAGTAGCTCCTTCCAGGGCTTCTCAGTAAAATAGGTTCATGGGCTGAGTACAGTCACTCTTCTCTGCTATTCTCTGCTGCTCAACCCTCACTGTCTTGAACATTCATGTGCCAGTCTTTGAAAGACTTCATTTTTTTTTACTCACTTATTCATTCACTATATGTGTGACTGCCTGCTATGTGCCAGGCATATACCAGGCCCTAGGGATACAAGAGGGAGCCCTTCAGAAGTGGTCCCTGCCCTTGACCTTCACCTTTTCCTTCTACATACCTCCTGAAGCCTTCCTCTCTTTCCTTCTGGGTGGAAAGTGTGGAAAGTAATCCTGTCTTTGGTGCTTTTTCAGCCAGCTTCTAAACACAATCCTACTTCTATTGCCTCCCTGGTTACAAAAGAAAGCCAGGATGTTGATTACTGTCAGTGCGCTTGTGACCTTGCTCTGGGCAATCCTATATAATAAGAGCTAATATGCTAATTAGACCAGATGGTGGAAGGACCAGTTTGGGGGGGAGGGCAGCAAGCTTGTGCTGCCAAGCCAGCCATGGCAGTCCTGGCACCCCCACTTCTGCAGAGGTGGCTGCAGGGAAGCGGTCCTACGCTGCAGTTGGACATTCCCCCTAGGGCTCCCAGGCTGCCAGAGGGATGTCTGACTGCCAGCTTAGGTCCAATCTCCAGGGGAGCAAACCTAAAGTGGCAGGTGGACATCCTCTGATGGGCCCTGGACTGCAAGAGGGAACAGGCTGGGCCGAGGGACCCCCAAGTGCACAAATTTTTGTGCACTGGGCCTCTAGTTCTGTAAATAAAATAAAAGCTCCCTATTCCCTCCAGGCCTGGCCTGTAAAGGTAAGTGGGGGCAGGTCTGAGATAAAGAAGCCAGGACATTCAGTTAGGCCTCCAGTTCAGAGCAAAGGCTCTGGGGCTGATAAACCTGTGCTGTTTTTAACAAGGTTTTGTTTGTAATTTAACCCCTGTTAACAGGCTCTGGAAAAACCCTATAAGGTGGGGTGAGAGTGGGGGCTGTAATTAGTATCCCTTTTTTTGAGGATAATGTGGCAGAACGTTTTCTATTTAAAAGGCATATAAGCCTTTGATCAAGCTATTCCACTTCTTAAGTCTATCCTAACACGTACTCTTATAGGTGGGTAAAGATGTGTATTTAAGGATGTTCATCTCAGTTGCAGTTTATTTACAATTGTGAAAAATTGAAAGCAACCCATATTTAGTATCAGTATTCAATAAGAGTCTAGCTAAGTTTGTTAAACCACAGAACAATCTGCAGTGTTAGTCTGTACACATTAACTTGGAAAGATGTAATATATTCAGTAAAAATCTACAGAGGATAATCCAATTGCTATTTTTAAAAAAGTGAACACAAGTGGAACTAGAGAGTGGGATAAAGTATTAAGAAGTCACCCCTAAGAGTTGTCTCCCTGCTCCTGAAGATACCACTTCCCCAGCCCTGCTGCACGGAGGTGGGACACCAAAGGGTGGGGCAGGGCCTCCCAGGCCCCCTCACTTCTCCATGCACAAGCTGGAGGTCCATCCACATGAGGGGTCAGGCCTCTGTAAGTCATTAACCAAGTCTTCATTAGTCAGCCTCCCTTACTCTCTGTCAGGTCACGCCGAGCCCAGTGCCCAGGATAGGCTCATGGAACAGCTCACCCTCCTGTGTGCTACGCAATTCAGAGCCGCTTCCCCTGCCAGGAAGATGCCTGCTGACATGCCACCGGACAATGAGCAGCTGGAGGTCAGAAGCAGGTGGGACTTTAGAACTGGCCCCAGGTCTAAACTCCCACTGCCTCATCCTTGTAGGAGCCTTGCAGCCTATTGTGGATGGGGCACTTGATATATATTTCTCATTTCATCTAAAAAAATCTGGCCAAGTAGGTGCTACTATTATCTCCATTTCATAGATGGGGAAACTGAGGCTTAGAGATGTTGGCTTGCCCAGGTCATATGTGGCAAAGCTGGGACTCAGCCCCAAAACACCTCTCTTTCTCCCACACCATGGAAACCCTCCCTTCACCATCCACATGGTCTTCCAGAGGCATAGGGCCCTGGTCTTCTGGCCACTGTTAATTGGGCCAGTCCTGAACAGCTGAGCCCAACCAGGCCACTGATAGCCTTTCCTTGGGAATTTTTACCCTGGTACCTGGGTAGAGGTGAGAGGGAGGAGAAAGGCAATGTCAACAGCAATGTCGACCTGCACTGTTCAATTGTAGCCACTGGCCACATGTGGTTACTGAACCCTTAAAACATGGCCTATGCAACTGAGGAACTGAATTTTTAATTTTATTGTATTAATTTAATTTTAGTTAGCCTAATGCAACAAGTGGCTACCATGATGGAAAACAGAGATATAGGACATCTCAATCATCACAAAAAGTTCTATTGGATGGCACTGGCCTAAATCTTAAGGGTTGTTCTGAAGAGTAAAATAATTCATTGATAGGCCCTCCTCAGTGCCCCCCCCACAGTTGGTGCTCAGTCAGTGGCAGCCAGTAGCCCAGCAACAGATCCCCTGTAATCACTGAGGAGTGACTCAGCACCTCTGCTCTTCTCATCTCAGATGTGCTTTGAAGGAGCTGGGCTTCCAGGCCAAGCTGAGGCAGCATGGGCTAAGGAACCCAGCGGAGCCTCCCACCACCTTCATCGACCTGAGGCCCACCGAGCCATCAAACCAGGGGTCCTTGGAAAGGTACAGAGAGCAATGACAGCCCTGCAGCAAACCGCTGCTCTGTGGATGACACATTGGCCTAGAGGGGAACAGGGACTTCGAGGGATGGGAAGACTTGGGCACGGGCAAGTCCTGGGAGCACCGCTCAGTTGAGAAGTGCTCTTAGCCAGGAACCAACAGTCCCACTTGGTCCTCAGGAGGTTCTCCCAGAAGAGAGGGAGGAAGCAGAGGCAGACACAATCTTTCTAGATCTAAGCAAACAGTACATCGCCCTGGGTGCTTCCCTCTACCACCTGGCGGGAAGCCCAGTGGCCCTTTGGTTTCGTTAGCTGGGCTTTGGCTGGCCTGCCCCCTCCTGCCTTGGGTTACCAGGGAGGCCTGGGCACCCAAGTCCTTGTAGGAGCCTGGCCTGGCCAGAGTGGATTGGGGCACATCTAGCGAACCCTTGTTTCCTCTGTTCCAGCCCCAGCCCCAGCCCCAGCTCCAGCTCCAGCTCCTCTGACAGTGAGGATGCAGGGGAAGAAGAGGCAGCTGCTCAGAGAGATTGGCAAGGCCCAGCAAGGCTACGGTAACCACTATGGGCTCCTGCTGCCTGGGGCTGTTCCCTGTTGCTTTCCACACAAGCCCTTGGCCTGGCACACTTAACGTTTGTGCTTTCAGCTCTATGTATTGCATCCAAGCCAGCACTTAAGAGCCTGGGGAGGTGGGGAAGGTAGTCTTGGGAGCCCACTGGGACCCAGTATCATCTCAACCTGATCGTTGCTCCCAGTCAATACCAGGGATGCCTTAGCCTGCTCTGAAAAACAGCTCCCCAAATTGATTTCACCCCCAATTGGTGATGACGGTGGCAATAAAGAGAAAGTACGGAGATGGAGTAAAGTGATGAAAGGCTTGGGTGAATTAAGATGTAAAATGTCAAAATTTAGAGAAGGTGCAAGTCTCCTTCAGGCAGGGTTGGGCGTGAGTCTCCTTGTTGGGGGGTGGGGTGGGGAGGGTGCGGTGACACTGTGGTCATTGGCACGTTACAATCATGCTATAGCAGTGTCCATTTTTGGAATTGGAAAGCTTGTTGATCCTAACCTTTGAGAATATCAGTCTAATGCAACTCTTCCCATACTCTGGTCCATGATCAAGCATTATAAGGGGAAAAAAGGAAGAAAAATTTGGGTAAAGAAAAGACACATGGGCTTCATCCCAGACATGTTTAACATGACATGAGTTGTGACTCAGTAAGGGCGGGAAGCTGCAATCCTTTATGTACATCCTGAGAACTGGGGGAAATGCTTCTGGAAGCACTGGCTTTTGTGTGTGCCCTGTTTCAGTGGCAAAGCATTGGGAGGTTTGGCCTCCACTTGCATTGACTGAGATGGTTCTCTTGTGTTACAGGGACTGTACCGGGAAAAGTCAGCTTCTCCAGCAGCTCAGGGCTTTTCGGAAGGCTCAGCCCCAGTGGCCTGCCAACAAGGTTCCTAGCAACCAGAAGGCCCCTGAAAATACAGCTGGATCTGAGACTGGGAGGAAGCAGCACGTAACTCTCTGAGTAAGGCATAATGCCCTGGCCAGACACTCAGGAGGAAGTCCTGGGACCATGGGAGACGGTTTGGGCCAGGGATAGCCAGAGAGGTCCTGATATCTCCTCTGGGCCAACAGTAAATGCCTCTGGGACTGGATCTTAGGAGGTTATTGGAATGGGTTGACTCCGTCAGCATACCCAGGCCTGATGGTCCTTCTCTCTCGTTTCCATTAGCAGGTGTTTTTGCAGTGCAGGACCTCTCAGACTGGATCTAGGCCTCTGTTAGAATTTGGACAGAACATTTTTATGCATTTACAGCAGAGATCCCAGCACAAACTTATACACTGTACAGCGTGAAGACAACACAGGTGATCCTAATCCTCTGAGAGGGCGTGGAAGGAAAGCTCAATGAGACAATGGTTTTGTTCTGATCGTGGAACTGCGAGCCTTTACATCTTTGTCCATTTCTTCATTTTTTCCATTAATGTACATCTGTTATTTTCATCATACAAGGTCTTTTTAAAAACTGTAAAACATACTTAGAGACTTTCAGGGTGGAAAGTCTTGAAAGAGAATTTAGCGTGATTTTCTGGGTCCCTGGATACTCGCTAGTTTGTGCACTTGCCATACCATACACACATTAATCGAGCTCTTAAGATTTCTCTTTTTTCTTTAACTAAGACACAAAGGCACATACAGGTTCTAAGGTTATTCCAAACTAAAGGTGAAGTTGGCCTTTAAATACAGAGAATATTGGATGCTCTAACACCCGAAACTATCCTCATTTCACAAGGTATCCTTGTGAATAGCCAGCCAGCAAGAGCTGAGGGAGGCACTCCCATCTCTCTCACAATTTCTTTGCAAGCATTATCCACTCCACCTCATTTCCATAGTCCCTTCATAACAGGCTGAGGCCCTGTTACGTGGCACCTGTGTTCCCTCCCCAACTTGTTTCCAAGATTTTGCTTGTCAGTCTCTCACTCCCCCAACCCCCACTACCTGCCCCATGGGTAGAGCAGAAAAATCATCTGGGGTTCTTCCCATGCTGTGGACTGGGGTGGTCCAGCAGGGTCCTTGGCATTTGGGTGCATGCACTCAGCTAGGGTCACAGTTGGCTGCCATCTGCTGAGGGAGGGCAAGGGTCTCTTCCCATTCTGCTGTGCACCAGACAAGACAGGCCCTGCAGGGCCTCAGCCAACCACAGGAAGTCAAGATCAGGGCCACGGACATTACTGATCTGGCCACAGGGTTTTCACAACCAGCCCCACTCACAACAATGAAGGGCATTTTCATTAGAAGCCAGATGCAACAGGGGCTTCCGCAGGGCCATAGGGAGCCCCAGGAAGACATTCCTGCAGAGAACGGGCACGCTGCTGTCGCTTGAGGTCCCCAGGCCCTGTCCCCCCTGTGGAGGCTCCGCACCCTCAGTTCTGGGGCACACACAGGACAGGCAGCCTCAGTGTTGCACACCTCCACCTGTGCTGCCAGCTAGCCATCAAGAGCAAAGGCCATGTCTTCCCTTTAACCCCATTTCCCCCATCTCTACCCCTTTTAATGCCAGTAAGTTCATTCAGGATGTTTTGCAGCAATAGAAAAGAAACTCTGTTCCAAGTTCAACTATGAAGAATTCTCTGTCAAAGTAAACTGGGAGGATGAGGCAGTGGGAGTTTAGACCTGGATTGAAAGCCTGTTCTGCCAATTGGCTCAAGTTCTTAGAGCTCTTGTGGCTTCAGTTTCCCCATCTATAAAAGGAGACTAATGAAAAGTCCTACATCATAGCACTGCATGAGAGCATATTATGGAAAGGCATTTGATGGGCCCAGATATTGGACCAGGAAGAGGACAACCTCCTCCAGCACCAGGCGGGACCTGAGAAGTGAGCTGGGGCGCTTGGCTGTGTGTACGTGGGGTGCGGGTTGTTGACAGTGTTGGCCCAGCCAGATCTGAATGGTATACTTGTCCTACGAGAGCTCTGGAAGCTGGCCTAGAAGGTGAAAACCATCTTTAAACTAGGCGGCCTCATTCTCCAGTGAATACGCAGGGCAGAGCACAATGGGGCTGGGAGGAGGACCCACATAATGTATTAAGGGAGAACCGGTCACATGCCCTGGAACCTGAGTTGTGTAGAAAAGTGAAAATATATACATCAATTGAGTGACAAAACAGTAGAGCGTCAAGAACTGGCATGAAGGCCAACGCCACCCAGCAATAAGGAACAGTCACACTTCTGGATAAAATATTCTAGAAACCAGTTATTTCAGCAGCTGCCCCATGACTCCAGATGACTAAACTGGACACGGACTTTATATTCTTTATATCCACTCAGATATAAAGAAGCATGTCTACCTCAAAGTAGGGCAACCAAGACTGGCCTGATCCTGGAACATGGCCACTTGGGGCTGGCACAGAGGCAGCCCTGGATCCTTACCTGGGAGGATGAAAAGGCCAGTCAAATCCCAGGCTTCCTCATGGGTTGGGGAGGTCTGGAGATGGAGTCAGGCACCCATCCTACAAAACTGGATCTTCAAAGGTAACACCCAGCGCACCCCATTGCCTTTTTTAAAATTTATTTTTATTGATTTCAGAAAGGGAGAGGGAGAGAGAAACATAAATGATGAAAATCTTTGATTGGCTGCCTCTTGCACAACCCCTACTCGGGGATCTAACCCAGACCTGGGCATGTGCCCTGACTGGGAATTGAATTGAGGCCTCCCAGTTCATAGGTCAACGCTCAACCACTTAGCCACACCAGTCAGGCACCCCATTTCCTTGTTGACACCACTGGAATGCAGGAAAAGCCCCCATCACCTACATTTAGAAATTGTAGCAAGGTTGGAGGGGAAGGCTGGGGTAGGTAATGCCATAAGCCACTGCAGCCATTGCAGCTTCCCCTGCAGTGGTTAAAAAATGTCCCTCAAATTCTAGTCCAACCAGACCTCAGAATGTGACCTTATTTGGAAATAGGGACATTGCACTAGTAGATGTAATTAAGATGAGATCATTCTTGCCACAACCGGTGGATAGAGTGTCGGTCTGTGGACTGAAAAGTCCCAGGTTCGATTCCGGTCAAGGGCATGTACCTTGGTTGTGGGCACATCTCCAGTGGGGGGTGTGCAGGAGGCAGCTGATCGATGTTTCTCATCGATGTTTCTAGCTCTCTATTCCTCTCCCTTCCTCTCTGTAAAAAATCAATAAAATATATTTAAAAAAAAGAAAAAAAAAAAAAAAAGACGACGAGGTCATTCAGGAGGGCCAGTAATATAATCACTATATCCTTAGGAGAAGAGGGGACAGACACAGAGAAGGCCACAGGGTCTGTGGGCCACATCGGAAGTGGAAGAGGCACAGGAGTTCTCTACCAGAGCCTCCAGAAGACACTAGTGCTGTAGACACCTGGACTGACAGGATTAATTTCTGTTGTAAGACGGCCAATGTGTGGTCATTTATACAGCAGCCTTAGAACTGAAGACACCTGGCCCTGTGCCCAGCATTCCACCTGAAATGTCCCCTGCTGTGTCCTTACACCAGGCCCAGAGAGCAGAGTCCATGTGAAGATGCCTTAAGGTCAGCGTTTCTGGATCTAGCAGCTTCATGAACTGTGCATGGTAGTCAGGCTTTGGCCCCTGGGAATCCTGGACCCTCGAGGGTCTGGGTAGTGCTACATACCATTGGTGTAGCTATGTGGTTATTTCTCCCCATTGTGGGTCCTCTGGTGTTTGTGGAGGTCGGTGCCCCGGCGGAAGCCCTGGCCACAGGCTGGGCATGTGTAGGGCTTCTCGCCTGTGTGTGTCCTGCGGTGCGCGCTGAAGTGTGAGCTGTTGCTGAAGCGTTTCCCACACTCGGCACACACATAAGGCCGCTCCCCGGTGTGTATCCGGCGGTGGATGACCAGGCTGGAGCTCTGGCTGAAGCGCTTCCCACACTCAGCACACTGGTAGGGCTTCTCACCCGTGTGGACCCGCTGGTGGGTGCTGAAGTTGGAGCGGTCGCTGAAGCCCTTGCCACACACGGGACACTGGTACGGTCTCTCCCCGGTGTGTGTGCGCTGGTGCTTGGTCAAGTGGGACGTCTTGCTAAAGCCTTTGCCGCATTCGGGGCACATGTATGGCTTTGCCACCTTGCAGGGCCCCCCTCTTTCTAGAAGTTGGTCAGATTTGGTCAATCCCTTGACAGGGGCCGGCTTGTGACCTGGGAATGGGGAGCTGGGACCCCTGCACCGAGCCGACAGCACTCGGTCCCATTCTGTTCTCATCTGTGCGTCCTCTCCATCCTTCAATTGCATTCTAAGGCCTGAGACAGAGAAAGCAGAGTTCCTGAGGAGGAGGGAAGCTTCTGATAAGAAGGCAAAGGCTGAGTGGACAGCCCTTCTGAGGAAAATGGAGAGCAATGTTCTTCAAATCCCCCTCAAAACACAAGCATGTCAGCCAGACCCTGATGTGAGGAGCTAACGCCACGGCCAGAGGCTGTTATAAACACACAGCAACTTGTTTAATCCTTGTAATGCCCATGTGGTAGGTGCTGTTACTGTCCCATTTTATGGACAAGGAAACTGAGGCACAGGGAAGGTAGGGAACTTACCAGAGTCACTTAGCTGGTAAGTTAAGAGGCCCAGTAGTCTGTCTCTGGAGTTTGGTCTCATAAACTCTAGGCCAGGGGCAATGGTGACCTCAGAGAACACTTGACAATGTCTGGAGACATTGTGGTGGTTATGTCTAGGGTCTGGAGTGTTGCACCTGGCATCTAGTGGGTGGAGGCCAAGGATGCTGATGTATAGTCTCTGGTACACAGATGGCCCCACAACAGAAAACGATCCGGCCCTCATGTCAATAGTGTGCAGGGAGAGAGACCCTGCTCTAGGTCATTCTGTTTAAAGCAGGACCAGAAGGCCTGGTGACCCAGACCCTCAGCCTCCAGCTCATGTACTTGGGGGCAGCCCCTGAACCCTCTGTAGAACCAAGTTCAAGAGTGACCACAAGAGTGACACAAGCACAGAGTAAAAGGATCCTGGAACGGACCTTGGCTCTATCCCTCCAGTTTGTGTGACTTTGGTCAAGTGCTCTATTCTGCTTCCTTGTCTAAGACATAAGGCAAACTCTACCTGGGGACCTTGAGCATGAGGCATGCTGGGGCACTGGGCTGGGGGGTTGGAGAGCTGGGGAGCAGATGGCTTCAAGCAGAACCCCCTGAAAAGCTCACAGTGGGGGCACATTGACCTGACAAGGAGGAACAGAACCTTCTGTCATCCTGAGATATGTCCGCTCTAAGACCCAGAAGCCAAACATGGGCTTCGGTTCACATTTACTGAGCCTCAATCCTCACAGGTGTACAATTAAGATGTAACCACCTCACTGGTCTGTTGTGAGGTTGTTTTTTTTGTTTGTTTGTTTTGTTAATCCTCACCTGAGGATATTTTCCCCACTGATTTTTAGGGAAAATGGGAGAGAGAGGAAAAGACATAGAGAACACATTGATTGGTTGCCTCCTACACGAGCCCTGACCAGGGCCCAGGCCAGGGAGGAGCCTGCAATGAGATATGTGCCCTTGACCAGAATCGAACCCAGGACCCTTTGGTCCACAGGCCAACACTTTATCCACTGAGCCAAACTGGGTAGAGCTGTTGTGAGAATTTTTACAAAGAAACTGAAACTGGCAGTTCTTCAAAAGGTTACATAGTCACATGACCCAGCAATTCAGGTGTAGGTTCAAGAGAGTAAGTGCTGACAGGTGACGCTCGGAGACTCTGATCCAGCTCACGCTTGGCCTGACTCTTGGCCCTCCTTTCTCCCTTGGGAACTAGTTTCACTTTTGCTCCCGCGGGCAGTATATGGTCCCAGACTGATCTCCATCTCCACTGAGGATTTCTGCTGGAGCCCAAAACCTTTCTCATGGTCACTATCTTCTCTTGCTTTTCCCTTGGGCAGGAGTCAGCACACTTGGACCCATAGGCTGCGCCTATCTCTATAAATAGTTTTCTGTACTTTTGTGGCTGCTTTCATGCCAAGATGGCAGAGACTGTATGGCCCACAAACCTGAACAATTTATTATTTGTCCCTTTAGAGAAAAGGTCTGCTGACTCCTCCTCTAAGTCCTTGGCTTGAACTACACAAATCACCATGGTTTAAACCCCAGGAGAGGACAGAAGCTAACCTGGGACTTCTGTTTCCTTCTTGCTGACCCCACCCCATTGCCACCTGAGCTGGCACCACCAGAGACATCCCTAGGTCGCAAGGCAGCAAAAGCTGGGTCCCGCAGGCCTTCTCCTCACCCCTGCCGGGCAGTCAGGGAGTGGGGAGTCCTGCTTACAGGAAGAGAGAGGGGAGGATGTGAGTGTGGGCTGTATTAGAACCATGGGACTGCAAATCCTTTCCTCGTGAGGGCAAAGGGGCATCAGAAAAATCTACAGAAAAGTGAGATGCTCTGAAAGACAGGTTTTGCTTCTGTGGGGGAGGAAGTGAGGAAACAAGGCTCAAGGCTTTCCCTGGCTCTGGGAGGGGAAACCCTGACACCCTGGAGGAGTCTGGAGCTTCATCACAACAGAGACTAAGTGGCCAAGGATTACAACTAAGTGTGAGACAGATATGGACTAGAGAGCATGGAGCAATGGTCCAGCAACAGTGTGCACAGAAAACTGGTGTTGTTCTTCTATGAGGCAGTAGAAAGGTTCATTTTCATTCATTTCACAGATTCTTAGTTTGAAAAAAATGAGCATATAAAGGAAAGTATGTAACGATTATGGCTATGTTTTTGGTTTAAATGCCTATGTAGATACCACTGAGAGAGATGTTATAGGTGTGATTAACATTTACAAATCAACTGACTTAAGGAAAGCAGACCACCCTCCGCAGTGGAGGTGGGCCTCATCTAACCAGGTGAAGGCCTCAAGGGCAAATCCTGAGGTTTTCCAGAGAAGGAATTCTGCCTTTTAAGACTGAGGCATAGAAATCTTGCCTGAATTTCCAGCCTGCTGCCTTGCCATACAGATTTTGGACTTGCCAGCCTCCACAATCATGTGAGCCAATTCCTTAAAATAAATCTCTTTAAATATACACATCCTGTTAGCTCTGTTTCTCTGCAGAACTTCAACTGATACAAAGCAGCATCTCAACTCCTTTAGAAAACATTTTAGGGAATAAGTGGCAAGACAAGACAAGCAGAAAGAGAAGAGACAGTGTTGAGTGGGGAGCCGGGGCGCTGGTAAGGAGAGGCCATTGATGGCCAAGCCCTTGCCAGGAATAGCTCTGCCCTTGGGGGCTGAGGGCAGCACAGAGGCTGAAGGGAAACTGACCAATTGTATGGGTGCAAGAGTGAAAGAAGAAGGAACTCAGGTTCCATCTGCCAGGGATGTGGGTGAGCCACCACTCTGTCCCCACTGCAGCTGGGCCACTGACAAGACACCAGCAAACGTGGCTTTGCAGGCTGTATGCAGCTAGATACCAAGCAAAACTGCTTACTAAACCAACCCCTGGGCATGGGGCCGGTGAATTCCTATTTCTAACATGCTTCTCATGATTCCTCAGGCCACTACAGCTTGAGAACTGCTAGACTGGCTCCTGTAGGCAGTAGGGAGCCAGAGAAGGTGTGAGCGGAGAGGTGGCCTGGGTCTTGGGTTCTGAAGGCAACACACCTGAGGGATGCCAGGCCAGCTACCTCCAACATGAGATGAGGCAAAGAGCCTCCACCCCCTAGGACTGGCCCACATCATGGTTTCTAATGGGTAGCAGCCAGGGTCTCCCCACGTTACCTTCACTCTCTGGCAGCATGTCCCAACTTTGGTCCTGCTGAGCTGGGTCCAGACACCCCCACTCTTCCTGAGACAGGTACACGGCCATGTCCTCCAAGGTCACTGGTACCTGCAAGGGCACAGCCCACTCAGTCCTACAGGCTGGGCCAGCCTGGTGAGCTGACCCTCCCCTTCCACTCACGGCACAATGGTGGGTCCTGCTTACCTCCCACCACTTTTTCCCTCCCCACGCTTTCCCTCTCCACATGCTGTCATACACCTTTCCTCCCAACCTCAGCTCAGACATGGCAGGATCCTGCTCTTTGGGACAACACTATTGCCATCATGCTCTGTCCTGTTGCTGCAGGGCAGTACAGAGTGGACAGATTCACTGTGGAGCAGCAGGATCCACTGTGTGTTCAGGCCACTGAGGCCCATACTCCTTGGCGACACGGATTAGCATGCCCTCCCTCAACTCAAGCCAACCCTGGGACCCAAACAGGGAGACTTGAGGATTTCAGGATGGCTCTAAGCCAGGGGTTCCCAAATCTAGCATCTGACTGACCTGGGGAACATGATTAAAACTCAAGCAAAAGTAAATAAATAACATAAATAAAACCCAAGCTTACAAGGTCCAGAAGAGACAAATCCAGAAACAGAAAGAGGCTCAATGGTTGCTGGGGGCTGAGGGAGGAGCGATGGGAAGTGACCACTAAAAGGTGTGGGGAATTTGGGGCAGGTGGTGAAAATGTTCTAAAATTGATTTTGGTGATTGCATAGCCCTGTAAATATATTAAACATTGTATATTTTAAACAGATGAAATGTATGTATATGAATATTTCAATAAACTTTTATTACAAGCATAAGACTATTCCAGGCCATGGCTGGGAGAGGAATCTTTATTTTTACCTAGAGTCCCAAGAGATTCTAACACCCAGTTGAGTTTGAGTGATCGCCCAAGCTCACCATTGGATCCCAGACTCCTACAAACACACCGAATACTCAGGTGGCATCTGAGAAAGAGCAAGATACCTCCTATTGTAGTAGGCACAGGTCATTTCAGGGAGGAGTGCCTCAGAAACCCACAGTGTTGGCCATGGAGAGAAGTGTCTCCATTGGGATGCTGCAGACCAGGAATGCCCACTCACCTGGGACCAGGCTGCAAGGAAGGATGTGGCTGGTGCTGCCATCTCCTGGTGCTGGGAGGTGCCTGGGCCTGGGGAAAGAGCAGTCACCAGTGAAGCCCACATAGCCCACCTGTGGGCACAGCAATGAAGGCCAGGACAGGTCCAGCAGCTCCCCACCTGTGCTCAGCTCCTCACGAGGAGCCACATGCACACAGGCTTCAGCCTCCTGCAACACTCTTTTGCCCTTTGCCTCCCTCTCCTGTAGGGCTGCTTCCTTGAGGGCGGCTACTCACCCCTCTTTGGCCAGAGTTCAGAGTTTCTTTTTTGTCTGCGGCTTAGCTGGGCTGGGGGCTGCTGGCTGGAGTCCCGAACTCCTTCCTCCAGGGACAACTCCTTTGGCTGGACCTCTGCCTGACATTTTGAAGACTGTTCCCCCATCTGGTGGGGCACTGCATGGTCAGAGAGTACCTCTGGGCCCTGCGAACAGACGGAGAGCGCCAACCAGCTCCCAGGTCAGGGGGAGTCCCACAAGGTCTCCAAACCCTTGTTGGGCAACCCTGGCCACCCTCACCACCAAGGTGGCCTCATCATTGCGCTCTTGGCCCTCCACATGCCACACACAGCCCTACCTCCAGCAACACCCAGGGAGAGAGAATGTGAGCTGGGAAGAGATCAGGTTCCTGGCTTGGACACAAGGAGGCCTGGTCTGCTTCTGAATGAGACTCCAGTCTCTCCCTGTCACACTGCATCGGTGTCACTGTCACACTCCCCCCCTTATTTCTTGGTGCTCTCAACAAACCGTGGGCCAGAAGGGCCCTGTTTCAAATCTCATTTTGACAGTTGGCATTACTGCATTTGCAACCTTTTTTGAAATCATTTATAGGTGCTCTGGGATAACCTAATTCCTTATTCCAGAGAAGGTGAATTGAACAAACCTGAGTAGCAGTTTACTGAGCTCTGTAATAGCACTTGAGATAAGAAACATTCCCCAGGAAACTGCTAAGACAGCTGGGGAGCCCATCTCGGGCTCCCGTTCATCCAACACCTCTGACGGGAGACAGTCCTAGAGATTCCAGGATACACAGTGACAGAGGGAAGCCATGCAAGAACCCCCAGAACCAGGCTGGAGGGGTTGGAAGGGCACCCTGAGTTCTTATTAGTTACCATGACTGCAGGATTTGCTTATTGCACTCAACTCACATTGTGGTCGGGTTTGGGGGGAATGTGTCTGTCCTACTGGATGCCAGGGAACAGCAGTGTGTGGGCAATGGCACTGCCACAGGAAGAAAGGGACCTGTCTGCATTTGCCAAACATCTAATCTGGGCATGGCACTGAAAAAAGAGTTTTAAAAGACTAAGTGGAGTTTAGTGACTAAAAGCAGGAGAAATTTGTGAGAGACTTCCCATTCTCCAAATCTGGTTAGGAGGAGGTGGAATGTGCTCTAGAGTTACGCTGTCTACAGAACTTCCCACGATGATGGAAGTGCCCTGAAGCCATACTGTCCAGTACGGCAGTCACTAGCCACGTGTGACGACTGGGCACGTGAAATGTGGCTGGTGTGACTTAGGAATTACATTTTTATTTATTTTTTATTATTTTTTATTTATTTATGTATTTATTTATTTTTAATATATTTTATTAATTTTTTACAGAGAGGAAGGGAGAGAGATAGAGAGCTAGAAACGTCGATGAGAGAGAAACATCGACCAGTTGCTTCCTGCACACCCCCTACCGGGGATGTGCCTGCAACCAAGGTACATGCCCTTGACTGGAATCGAACCCGGGACCTTTCAGTCCGCAGACCGACGCTCTACCACTGAGCCAAACCGGTTTCGGCTAGGAATTACATTTTTTATTTCACTTAATTTTAAAAGTCATATGGGGCTGTTGGACAACGCAGCTCTAGAGAGATGTTTATCAGGGCACCCATCAGCCATGAGTACCTCCCTCTATTGGGATCCCTTCAACTCCCAAGGCCACACTAGCTTAGGAAGGGCTAGCGGTGCTACATGTGGTTAAATCAACCCCTGGGCCAAGGATGAGGAACTTTATAGCTGTCTTCTTCCATTCAAAATGTTTGGTTTTGCTGAAACCGGTTTGGCTCAGTGGATAGAGTATCCGCCTGTGGACCAAAAGGTCCCGGGTTCGATTCCCGTCAGGGGATGTACCTTGGTTGCGGACACATCCCCAGTAGGGGGTGTGCAGGAGGCAGCTGATCAATGTTTCTCTCTCATCGATGTTTCTAACTATCCCTCTCCCTTCCTTTCTGTAAAAAATCAATAAAATATATTAAAACAAACAAACAAACAAAAACAAACAAAAAAAACACGTTTGGTTCTCCCAATGACCCCAGCTGGCCACAGCTCCAGAACCCGAGGAATCTCCAAATGCAGACCCTGAGGACATAGAGCCCCTTTCCTCACCTCAGGGCCAGAATGCCCCCCACCTCACCCTCTGTTTCCTGGGCTCCCGCTGAAGCCCTTCCACGAGGACCACGGCCTCCTCACCGCTCTCCGGCTGCTGCTCCCGCACCCGGGCCTGGATCTCCCCGGGCAGCACCGTCAGGAACTGCTCCAGCACCAGCAGCTCCAGGATCTGCTCCTTGGTGCGCAGCTCCGGCCGCAGCCAGCGGCAGCAGAGCTCCCAGAGGCGGCTCAGGGCCTCCCGGGGGCCGGCCACCTCCTGGTAGCAGAAGAGCCGGAAGAGCTGGCGGAAGGTCTCGGGGCTGGGGTCTTCCATCTTCGGGGAGGGCTCCTCTTCCCAGTGGAAGTCCTCCTCCACCTTCACAATCAGGATCTCATCCTCGTCCAGGGGTGGTGTGGGCTGGAGGCCCCGGGCAGTCGCCATGTTCCCAGGGGGCCTTGCTCCTTCTCAGGCCTCACGGATCAAATCTGTCTCTCCCTATAGGCCTGGCCAGCCACTGGGTAGATGTGGCTTTTTGTTTTTGTTTTTGTTTTTTCAGGAATCTGTGGACAGAAGATAACATCATTGGGGGTGCACTGGGGCTGGATAAGCGTCTGCACCCATAAGCCCCTGCCTTGGGTCCAGACCTAACTCACTCTCTTTGGCAAAAAAAGCAAGGACTGAAATAGATCAACTTATCTCTGCTACTAACTCCCTGCTAGTTCCAAGATAAACTGCTTAACCTCTCTGGGCCTGAGTCTCCTCGTTTTTAAAGAAAAGAAGGTGAAATCACCCGCACACAGGTTGCGGAGGGAACTGCACGGGATGTTTGGGAAGTTTAGCGCAGCGCCTGGAACCGCTCGGAGGTCCAGAGACGCTGAGTTTTCATCACATCACAGTTGGCCCTTGTTGGATGGGGTCCCTTTGGAAATATGGTGGGAACCAGAGCCCCCGCTGCCCAGGAGAATGCAGACTCTGTCCCAACCTGACTCGGGATGCGGGCGCGGTGAGAAAGTCCCTCCACCGCGGGGGACCCCGCGTGGAAGTCACTGCGAACGGTCCCTCCGGCTGCAGGGCCCAGGGAGGGCGGGTGGGACTCCGGGCGGAGTGCCCAAATCTCGGAAAGGGAGCGGTGGCCGAGGCCGGAGCACAGACCGGGGTCCTGGAGCGGGCTGCGGGACGGCGGTTAGAGTCGGGACCCCGCGCCCTCGAACTCACCCGCTGCGCTGTGGCCCCTGGAAGGTTTGGTGCGCGGGACGGGAGCGGGGACGCGGGCGCGGGTGGGGCTCGACAGACAGGCCGGCTGGCTTGGGTCGCGGGTGGGGAGGCAGAGGACCCCCAACGGCAGAACGCAGCAGGCCGGCGCAGGCCATTGGCTGAACGAGCTGTCCATCTTGGGAATGAGGCAGTGTGGGCAGGCCCACGGGAAGCTTTGGGCGGGGCGTAACGTAGTCCTCGAGCGATTGGTCGAGCTGGCTGTCAAGAATAGGATAGGCGGGTCTTGGGAGGCGTTGTGGGTTAAGTAGTCCTGGCACCGTTTGTCCAGAGACTGTCAGGCGTTGGCTGGAGGCCACGTAGGCGGGCCCGCAAGATGCATTTTGGGTAATGTAGTTCTGGAACCCGCGCGAACCGTTAAGAATGTAAGGAGGAGGCGTAAGTGAGCCCGCGGTAAGCATTGTGGGTAATTAGTCCCCCCACTCCCACCCCCGCACCTTCAGTGAGTACACGCTGGTGCTCCGAGGCTCCGCATCTGGGCCATTTCCCCGTTTCCCTTCCATACCTACCCTCCCACTGTGGAAAGGACCTTGAAAAGTAACTTTTTTTACTTGGTATATAGTACTTTGTATGTACCAGGCTCTATTCTAAGGACTTGCCTATTATTAACCCGACTAGATACCTGGTGCACGAAATTCATGCACCAGGTAGGGTCCCTAGGTCTGGCCCCGTGATCAGGACTGGTCAGGACTGGTCAGGGCCTTCCTACTGCCTGCTGGGGCTTTCCTTTGTTTCGCACCACCCCCTGGTGGTCAGTGCACATCATAGCGAGTGATCGAACTCCCGAGGGGACACTGCATATTAGCCTTTTATATAGAGAGATTCCTCTTTGTTTTTTTTTTTTTTGTTTTTTTTAAAATATATTTTATTGATTTTATACAGAGAGGAATTGAGAGGGACAGAGAGTTAGAAACGTCGATGAGAGAGAAACATCGACCAGCTGCCTCTTGCACACCCCCCACTGGGGATGTGTCCGCAACCAAGGTACATGCCCTTGACTGGAATCGAACCCAGGACCTTTCAGTCCGCAGGCCGACGCTCTATCCACTGAGCCAAACCGGTCCCGGCTAGAGAGATTCCTCTTTGAAACAACCCTAGGAGGTAGGTAGTGTTACCCTGTTTCATAAATGAGAAATCAGAGGCACAGAGAAGTTCAGTGAGGCTGGAAGCCAGACATCTATCCTAATTCAACCCCTTAATTTTTTAAAATCCTCGAGAGAGGGAGAAAGAAACTGAAGCATGGTAGCAACTGCTGTATCATTTTTACCCCTGCTGCTCTGGCTTCTGTAATTGTTTGCTTGCTAAAATAATAGAGAAATGGCTCTAACCAGTTTGGCTCAGTGGATAGAGTGTCAGCCTGTGGACTAAAGGGTCCCAGGTTTGATTCAGGTCAGGGGCATGAACCTTGGTTGCAGGCACATCCCCAGTAGGTATGCAAGAGGCAGCTGACTGATGTTTCTTTCTCATCAGTGTTTCTAGCTCACTATCCCTCTCCTTTCCTCTCTGTAAAAAATAATAATAAATAAATAATAATAAAATTCAATAACATATATTAAAAAAATAATAATAGAGAAGTTATTTTGATTTTCTGAACTTCTATAAATCACCCTATTCAATTGTATATCCCATTGATTGTGGTTTTGCTGGATTTTCAAAATCCATTCCCCTGCACCTGGAGACCAGGACAGCACAATTGCTTTAATTGCTACAGTGGCCTCAGGAAATGTGTCGACTCAGTGACTCCAAGACCTAAAACTATAATTAATCTTTGTAGATAACTAACTTGCTCAATTTAGCGTCTGTAACTGCTTTTTGCAAACCAGTTTCCTCATTCCAAACCTAAAGATGTAATTGATACTTTTGTGATATTTGCCTATATAACCCTGATGTTACCACCATTTGTGGCTGTGAGATTTGGAGTGTGATTGCCCCCTCATAGCCACTGGTTTACGAAATAAATGTGTCTCTTTAATTCAACTTCTTGAGGCATCCTTGTGTGATTCATGGGGTACATTACAACAAAACATCAATCAGTTACCTCCCATAGGCGCCCTCACCAGGGATGGAACCCACAACCTGGGTATGTTTGGTGCGTGGGAGGACACTCTAACCACATCAGCCAGGGCGTCAATCCCCTTAATTTTAGAGACTCTCCATTCTCATGTTTTATTCCCTGTCCCCCTACATCCGATACCCAGTTTTTATTGTGAGGGCACCATGCAGAACAAGGCACTGGGTTGCCCGTGACTGATTTCTGTAGACCACCACCTCCCTGAGGGGGAGGCATCTGTAAGGGCAGATGTATGCCCTAAGCCCTGACAGCCTTGTGGGACCTGGAGAAAGCAGGCCCATATGTGCCTCAGTTTCTCCTTATAACACCAGGCCGCTTGTCAGGAAAGTTGGGATCTTAGAATGAACTACCTCTGGTTATGGGTGTGTTGCTGGAACTACCAAGGCATGCAGCTGTGTCAGGAACTGGTGCCCAAGTCCAACCAGGAGGCCTGCCATTCTGTCTGCTGAAGGAGGGTATGGAAACTAATAATTTGAGCCTTAACTATTTGGCTCAGTGGGTAGAGCATCGGTCTGTGAACTGAAGGGTCCCAGGTTCGATTCTGGTCAAGGAAATGTATCTTGGTTGCATCCTCAATAGGGAGTGTGCAGGAGGCAACTGTTTGATGTTTCTCTCTCATCGATGTTTCTAACTCTCTATCCCTCTCTCTCTCCTTCTCCTTTCAATTATATATATGAAAGGGATAATTTGAATAAGTCACATCAATGTTTCTCTCTCTCTCTCTTCAATCAATAAGAACATATTTAAAAAATAAAACAGCCGAAACTGGTTTGGCTCAGTGGATAGAGCGTTGGCCTGGGGACTGAAAGGTCCCAGGTTTGATTCCGGTCAAGAGCATGTACCTTGGTTGTGGGCACATCCCCAGTAGGGGGTGTGCAAGAGGCAGCTGATCGATGTCTCTCTCTCATCGATGTTTCTAATTCTCTATCCCTCTCTCTTCCTCCCTGTAAAAAATCAATAAAATATTAAAAAATAAATAAATAAAACAAACAAGCAATCAAGCAAACAAACAAACAAACAAAAAACACCCCACAGCAGTGCCAGCATGATGACAGATGGCTGCTGACATAGGCCTCTGTGTCAGGGACACAGGAAGCAGTGGGGGGTGTAGACTCCATGCTGCCAGCCAATCAGATTGTTCCCCAGAAGCCAGATATCTCCATGTTTAGTTGAAAACTCCTAATTCTGAATGTAGACTTAAAATGGTTTTAAATCCTGTTTCAAATAAACAAAACACAACAACACATTTCTGGCTGTGTCTGGCACACACAGACATATAAAATGATGCAGGCAGGATGCAGTGGATAGACCGTGAAGAAAATGCTCTGAAGAAAAACAGTGCACCGTGAGAGGAGAGAGTGGTCCAGTTGCTCTTTTAGAGAATATTTCAACAAAAGGACTATTCACTCACCTGGGTTCTACTCAAGGAGGGAAGCCAGCATCTCCTTAGCTTCAATAGTTCCTTCAAAGGCTTGTTTAGACATGACAGGAGGTTAGAGCTAAGGGAAGATAAATAGTCAGAGGTAAAATGTCCAGAGTGTTGGCCTGTGGACTCAAGGGTCACAGGTTCGATTCCAGTCAAGGGCATGAACCTTGGTTGCAGGCACATTCCCAGTAGGGGTTGTGCAGGAGGCAGCTGGTCGATGTTTCTCTCATCATTGATGTTTCTAGCTCTCTATTCCTCTCCCTTCCTCTCTGTAAAAAAAAATCAATAAAAAATATATATTTTTAAAAATGTTGTCGACATTGCCATGTTGCCTCAGACTAATATTAACTTTGGGAATGTGCACAGTATCTATGTAGCAACACACCGACTCTCAGATGATGGTGTGGGTCCCCTCAAACCTTGAGTCAACTGCTTTGTGAATCTGACAGATAAATAGTTATGGGGCAGTGTGCTGCACCAGCATAGCCAAGAGTTCAGGGAGCCTGAAGGTGGGCTGGCAAAGGATGAAGAAAGGCAAAGAGAATAAGCTGGGTCTAGATGGATCTTCTGTGCCTGGCTGAGGCCACAGAACAGATCCAGACTGCACTGATGCTTTATTTTATTGTCAGAGGTAAACAAGGTAGTGGTCACCATAGTTACAATGTTCTTATGAGTTTCACTTGTTTTGGCAGCACTTGCGGCACCTCCCACTGCCCATTAGCTACTCAGGAAAGTATCTAGGGAGTATCATAAGGTCAAGCTTAATTATGCTAAGAGGGCTGTGCCCTCTAGGCTGGGACTTGTTTTCGGCTTTGCCAGCAGGTCAGTCTGAGGCTTAACCTTATAACCACTCCCTACAGGGTAGGTACTGAAGGGTTCATTTATTTAATAGCTGGATCTTGAGCACCTGTCAGGTACAGAATGAAGCTGATGTATCCCTGCCCTCACAGTGCTCCCAGTCTAACGGGGGAGGTTGACCAGAAAACAAACCCTGTGATATATGCAGGGAGTGGGCAGCGAGTATGTTGACCTGGGAAGTCAAGGAGGGGTTCATGGAGAAGGTAACTTTTAGCTGGTGTCACTTGAAACCTATATAATTTTATTAACCAATGTCACCCCAGTAAATTCAATAAAAACAAAAACAAAACTTTTAGGTGGTGTGATGGTTAATTTTGTGTTAACTTGCCTGGGCTAAAGGATGCCCAGATGGCTGGTAAATATTATTTCTAGGTGTGTCCGTGAGGGTATTTCTGGAAGAGATTAGCATTTGATTCAGTTGACTGAGTCTAGAAATTTCAGGCGTCTTCAAACTACGGCCCGCGGGCCACATGCGGCCCGCAGAGTCTGATCCGGCCCGCCAGGTTTTTTGGGCAGTGAGTGCAGCCGAGGTGTTACAGTAGGAATTAGTAGTTCATATAGTCCAGCCCTCCAGCTCTCTGAGGGACCGTGATCTGGCCCCCACTTTAAAAAGTTTGAGGACCCCTGGTAGATGATCGCTCTCCCAATGCAGGTGAGCATCATCCAGTTAGTTCGTTGAGAGCTTGAACAGAACAAAAAGGTGAAGGGAGAGGGAATTTGCTCTCTCTGCTAGAGCTGAGACATCCATCCTCTGCCCTTGGACATCAGAAAGCCTGGGTCTCGGGTGTTTGCGTTCCAGCCGGCACTTACGCCACTGGTTCCTGATTCTTAGGCTTTCCAACTCCAACGGAATTACACCACTGGCTTCTTCGGTCTCCTGCTTCAGATGGCAGATCATTAAGACTCCTTTCCTCCATTGTAAGCCAATTCCCATCATGTCTGTCTCCATGTATTTGATATATATCTTATTGGATCTGTTTTCTGAAGGACCCAATATACCCATGGTCTCTTACTAGATGCTCACCACATGCTCTCTCCCTCCAGAACCTTGGGTTTTGGATTATAGGAGTCACTTACTCTTTGTTAACCAAACTAACTGAGCTTCAGGCCCCAACCAGGTAGGCTTCTATGCAGTACTTTTATTTCATATATATATATATATATATATATATATATATATATATATATATATATATATATATAGATTTTGTACAGAGAGGAAGGGAGAGAGATAGAGAGCTAGAAACATCGATGAGAGAGAGTCATGGATCAGCTGCCTCTTGCATACCCCCTACTGGGGATATGCCCGCAACCAAGGTACATGCCCTTGACTGGAATCGAACCCGGGACCTTTCAGTCCCCAAGCCGACGCTCTATCCATTGAGCCAAACCGGTTTTGGCAGACCTTTTATTTTTTCTTTATTTTATTTTTAATATATTTTATTGATTTTTTACAGAGAGGAAGGGAGAGGGATAGAGAGTAAGAAACATCGATGGGAGAGAAACATTGATCAGCTGCCTCCTGCACACCTCCTACTGGGGATGTGCCCTCAACCAAGGTACATGCCCTTGACCGGGGTTGAACCTGGGACCCTTTAGTCTGCAGGGCAATGCTCCATCCATTGAGCCAAACTGGTTAGACCTTATTTTCTTTTCTTTTTAAAAAAATATATTTTGTTGATTTTTCACAGAGAGGAAGGGAGAGGGATAGAGAGTTAGAAACATCAATGAGAGAGAATCATTGATCAGCTGCCTCTTGCACACACCCTGCTGGGGATGTGCCCACAACCAAGGTACATGCCCTTGACCGGAATCGAACCTGGGACCTTTCAGTCTGCAGGCCAGCGCTCTATCCACTGAGCCAAACCGGTTTTGGCTTATTTTCTTTTTTAAAACATTTTTTTTTTTTTATTGATTTCAGAGAGGAAGGGAGAGGGAGAGGGAGAGAGATAGAAACATCAATGAGAGAGAGAATCATTGATCAGCTGCCTCCTGCATGCTCCACAATGGAGACTGAGCTGGAAATCTGGGTATGTGCTCTGACAAGGAATCAAGCTGTGACCTCCTGGTTGGTTCATAGGTTAATGCTCAACCACTGAGCCAAGCCCAGCTGGCTAAAGTCCCTTTATTTTCCAGGTTTCTGGAAAGTCCTGGGAAGTGCTCACACATTCTGCAGGCACATCCTCCACCCCAACCAAGCTCTCTCCTGTTCCCCTCACCTCTGTCTGAGAGCCTTCTGCAGGCCTTGGCAGGCACATTGCACAAATTACTCATTTTTGTTCGCACAACAGCACTATGGGAGCGATGCTACCGTCCGTCTTATATGTGAAGAAACTGAGGCCCAGGAAGAGCAAGTGACTTGCTGAAGATCACGTGGCACAGGGATTTCCATCAGCTTTGCCAGACTCCAAAGCTGGAGCTGTTTCTTACTGTGCTAGTCGGCCAGGGTCGGGTAGGAAGGCAGGGTCATGGCCACAGTGATGGGGGAAGATGGTCAAAGATGGGAGTGTTATGACACCATGGGCCTGGCCCTGGGCTGGAGGGAGGGTCAGGGTGGAGGGCAGAGTCTGATTTGGACCTTGACTCTAGTTCTCGGGCAGGAGGAGGTCCATCATCAAGGCACACCCCACCAGAGCTTCATGACGGCCCAGGGCCTGGGTTTCATGCTGTTACTTAAAAAAGAGCCAATCTATTTTCCAGGATAGCTCAAAAGAAGTTGTTTACAAAACTCCTTTTGTTTTCAAAGCACAGCTTGTCTTAAAAAGCAATGTCGACCTTTAATACATGTCCTAGTACACAGGTGTGTGCTGGGGGCTGCTGGGCCCGGGGGGGAACCCAAGTGGCCAGGGGGTGCCTGTGTTCAGTACTCCTCTGAGGGAGTGTCCTGGGCCCATCGGCACACCTTTGAGGGCCCAGGGAGGGCCGGGGAATTGGCAGGGGCCGGGTCCAGGGTCACCCAGCCGGGCCCCCGGGGCAGCATGTGGCTTTCGTTGAGTCTGCCGACACGGTAGTTCTCATAGTGGACATTGTGGGTGATGTCCTTCAGGTCTTGGAGGTGGGAGCTGGGAGAGAGATGGCAGGTCAGCCTGAGCTGGCCACTGCAACCCCCTGCCCGCCCCCACCCAGGGCTCCCTGCACCCTCACCGGATGAGCAGGTCTCTCAGGAGGGGAAACTCACAGTGCTTCATGTTCTCCACTGCAAGATAGGATACTTAGCACCAAGTAAGCGCCTACTGAATGCTGCACAGCACTGGGACCCACCACCATCTTTTCCCCACGTTTCTTACTGTCTTAACCCACCTCCCATCCTTTTTTTGTTGTTAATCCTCACCGGAGGATATTTTTTCCCACTGATTTTCAGAGAGTGGAAGGAAGGGAGGGAGGGAGACAGAGGAAGAGAGAGAAAGGAGGAAACATCGATGTTTGAGACATACATCGATGGGTTGCCTCCTGTGTTCACTCTGACCAGGGCAGGGATCAAACCAGCAATCCAGGTACATGCTCTTGACCGGAAATCAAACCCAAGAACCTTCAGTTCATGGGCCGACGCACTAACCACTGAGATACACTGGCCCACCTCCCATTCTTGATTGATTTATTCATTGGTTCCTTCCTTCATTTATTTATTCATTGTTGTAACCCCAGTGGATCTTACAACTAGTTGTTAAATCAGTCAATCTACTGGTCACTTATTATCTTATATGTTATATTGTATATATAATACAATATATACACATTGTATATATTGTTTAACATATTGTATGTGATATATATGAATATACATTTAATATAATGTATGTAAATTATGTTGCATATAGTATAATATACATAAGATAATATAGTATATACATAAGAATAGATACTATATTCTTTATATATATATATAATTGATTTTTTACAGAGTGGAAAAGCGAGGGATAGAGGGTTAGAAACATCGATGAGAGAGAAACATCAATCAGCTGGCTCCTGCACACCCCCTACTGGGGATGTGCCTGCAACCAAGGTACATGCCCTTGACTAGAATCAAACTCGGGTCTTTCAGTCCATAGGCCGACGCTCTTTCCACTGAGCCAAACTGGTTTCGGCTAGATACTATACTCTACTTTTAATAATTATATTGCTAAATCAGGGCTCAGGCTCCGTCTGCTGCTCCTTTACCTGATAGTCTTATCCTTATCCTTCTCTGCTCCCCGAGGTAGCCCTCCTCTCCCACCCCACGTATTGCCTTCATCATGCTTCTCCCACCTGTAGTCATCTTGCCAGCTCTATGGGGACAGGAACCCTGTTGGTCCTATTTTCCCTGTCTTCCCCTTAAGAATAGCACATAGTATGCCTGGCACATAGTAGGCCTGCAGTAAATTCTGGGTGCCAGGCACTGTCCAAAGTGGTGGCTCTGCCTCCTTCCAACTACCCTATGAGATTGATGTTACTACCCTGTTTCCCTGAAAATAAGACAGTGTCTTATATTAATTTTTGCTCCAAAAGATGCGCTAGGTCTTATTTTCAGGGGATGTCTTATTTTTCCATGCGCTAGGTCTTATTTTCGGAGGATGTTTTATTTTCGGGGAAACACGGTATCATGCTCATTTTGTTGTGAAGAAACTGAGATCCAGCCCTAGTCTGTTTGGCTCAGTGGATAGAGGGTTGTTCTCTGGACTGAAAGCTTACAGCTTTGATTCTGGTCAAGGGCATGTACCCTGGTTGCAGGCTCGATCCCTGGCCGTGCTCGAGGCCTGTATGGGAGGCAACCCATCATGTATCACTCTCACATCGATGTTTTCTCTCTCTGTCTCTTCCCTCCCTTCCACTTTCTCTAAAAATCAATGGAAAAATAAATAAGGATTAAAAAAAGAAAAAGAAACTGAAGTCCAGAGTGTCAGTAATTTGCCTGAGGCCTCCCAGCTATAAAGGGGCTTGATCCCAGGTCTGTCTCTTCCCTGGTTGTGGGCTTAATCACTGGGGCCCTGTGATAGGTGCTAAGGGTCCCAAAGGCAAGAAGGTGTGTCCTGGTTTCCAACCCATTCTCACGGTGTCCTCCCCACACGCCTGCACTGACCTTCAACGATGCCCCACTTTGTCTTCCGGCCCAGCACACACCTCCCGTTCACCACGTGCTCTCGGTCAGCCCCGACCACAGCAAAGGGGATCCGCTCCTTTGGGGAGGGGACAAGAGCAGAAGGTTGGCCTTGCCAGGCATGTGGAGAGTAAAGGTCCCGAGGTGGGGGGTGGGGCTGTCTTTTGTGCGGAGAGTGGTAGAAGGAGCACGAGATATCTAATGAGAAGATGTAAAGTCGAATCAGTGCCTCAGTTTCCATATCTGCAAAGTGAGAGTCTTAATAGTACTGACATAGAGCTTTGTGAATGTTTGGGAAGTGCTTAGCATTCTTTTTTTTTAAAATATATTTTATTGATTTTTTACAGAGAGGAAGGGAGAGAGATAGAGAGCTAGAAACATCGATGAGAGAGAATCATCGACCAGCTGCCTCTTGCACACCCCCTACAGGGGATGTGCCCGCAACCAATGTACATGCCCCTGACCGGAATCGAACCTGGGACCTTTCAGTCTGCAGACCGACGCTCTACCACTGAGCCAAACCGGTTTCGGCGTGCTTAGCATTCTTTTTTTTTTCTTTTTTTTAAATCAATCTTTATTGTTCATATTATTACAAAGGTTCCTCATTTCTTCCCCCCTCCACCAGGTGCTTAGCATTCTTAAGGGTTAGCAGAGCCCTAGCCGGTTTGGCTCAGTGGATAGAGCATCGGCCTGTGAACTGAAAGGTCCCAGGTTCCATTCTGGTCAAGGGCACATGCCTGGATTGTGGGCTTGATCTCCAGTGAGGGACTTACAGGAGGCTGCTGATCCATCATGATTCTCTCTTATCATGGATGTTTCTATCTCTCTCTGCCTCTTCCTTCCTCTCTAAAATCAATTAAAAAAATATATTTTTTAAAAAAAGGGCTAGCCAAAATCAGTTTGGCTCAGTGATAGAGCGTCGGTCTGCGGACTGAAAGGTCCCGGGTTCGATTCCGGTCAGGGGCATGTACATTGGTTGCGGGCACATCCCCTGTAGGGGGTGTGCAAGAGGCAGCTGGTCGATGTTTCTCTCTCATCGATGTTTCTAGCTCTCTGTCTCTCTTCCTTCCTCTCTGTAAAAATCAATAAACTATATTTTAAAAAAAAAGGGTTAGCAGAGTAACCCTTGGAAACTGTGTGGTTACTAATAGCCACGTGACCAAGATCTTGCTGATGTCAGTTTCTTACCTTACCTATGAAACAGGAACAGTAATCACATTCCACATTATAACTTTGTAAACCAGGGTTGGCCCCGTCTGGCTCACAGCAACCCGGCCCACCTCCTTTTCCCTCTGTGAAGTTTAACACGGCCCTGTCCATTCAGTTACTCCTATTTCCCTCCGTGAAGTTTGACACGGCCCTGTCCGTTCAGTTACTAGTCTATGTGGCCTTCCCGCTGCCACAGCAGAGCTGAGTCATGGCGAGAGCTGGCGTGGCCCACACAGTATAAAATCCGTATTTACCATCATCTGGCCTGTCACAAAAATGTTTGCTGAACCCTGTGCTCAATTCTAGCTGTTGACTTGCTTCTGACTGGAAGTGGAGATTCAAACTTGTGGACTCCAAAGTACTGTAATATGGGTTTGTCTCTATTGCTCGAATTGGTCATTTGATGCTAATAACAGTAGCCATTTGTTGTACACTTCTTATGCGCCTCCCAGCCGGTAGCAACTAAACCCTAGATCAGTGTTCTGTTGGCTGGTGCACTGAGACATTACTTTGAGAAGGTGCTCCCTGTGCTCCGTCTAGCTCTGTTCGGGCTGTGGCCAAGCTGTCGTCTTTGCCTGCCTCAGGACTGAATGCAGAGCTGGTGAAGGTCAGGTGCTTTGAATCTTTTTTTTTTATTTTTTATTTTTTTATTTTAACAATAAGTGTTTAATAAATAGCTTCTTTGTCTGTAAACCTGTGTATGGTGTGGTGAAGGTGTTGAAAGAGTCCAAGACATGGCCCCAGCTTCAAAAATTACAATAGAAGAAAAACCTAGCCTTGATGCAATGGAAGAGTTACCAGTATGACTCTGATGGAAAGCTCTGACGGAGTTCCCAGTAGGGAAGGGAAGCACTAATCAGAAGGCCATAAGTTGAGAATCAAAGTTATATGGGGAAGGCTTTGTGGGGCAGTTGGCCCTTGATCTGGACTATTTATTTATTTATTTATTTATTTATTTTATCTTTCAAGCTTTTATTTAAGGGCACGGATTCGGGATGGATTTTAGATCTTGTTGAAAGCAGCCACGTCCATGGACTGTACATAGTCCTCAAAAGCAGTGATCTGCTCCTCCAGCATGTCTGTTCCAACTTTATCGTCTTCCACTACACACTGTATTTGAAGCTTTTTAATTCCATACCCCACCGGAACCAGTTTAGAGGAGCCCCAGACCAAGCCATCTGCTTGAATGCTTCTGACACATTCCTCTAATGTTGCCATATCTGTCTCATCATCCCAAGGCTTCACATCTAACAAGATGGAAGACTTCGCAACAAGTGCAGGTTTTTTGGCTTTCTTTGATTCATACTGTGCAAGGCGTTCTTCTCTTAGCCTCTTTGCTTCTTCGCTTTCCTCCTCGTTGTCAGACCCAAAGAGGTCAATGTCATCATCGTCGTCTTTGCTGTCGGCAGCCCCGCTTCCGGTGGTGTCTTCCACATCAGCAGGGCCATACTTGCCCAAAGCTTTCTTCACTCCGGGCAGGCTGGCCTTCTCCTTCTCATAGGACTTGATGTGGTTGTACCAGCGAAGGGCATGGAACAGGTGGGTGGGTGGTGGGCCGGAGACTGCCTCGAACACTGCCACATCTGCTTGGGATGGCACGTACCTACAGGCTTCCATCTACTGAGCAAAGACGCGGGAAAGGCTGGAGGACAGCCAGTAAGTGCTTTTAAAAAGCAGCTTTGGGACCCTTCTTCCCCCAGAGCCCCTCCCTGACCGAGGAGTCCCCCGCAGCTGGGAGGTCGCGCCACGTGGCCCCAGCGTCCCGGCCGCCCGGCCCGCGCCCACCCCTCAATGTCCCTTGATCTGGACTTTAAAGGAAAGGCTGGACTTGGATCAAGGGAGACAGAACGGTGAGCAGAGGCCTGGGGAGGGGAATGAGCACGTTGTGTTCAAGGGCATGGGTGGACCAACTGGGCGGGAACTGAAGAATCAAAGCCCATGAGCATAGAAAACACCGAGTTAGTGCCCGGACACGCGGAACAAGCCAGGAGAGCTGTGGATTGGGTGCCAAGCTCTGACTCCTTTTGCGGCTGATGTGGAGGGACTATGGGGCCTACGTGGAAAGCAGGTTTGGAGCCGCTGAAGTCATAGAGGTGGAGCCCAGACTCAAGGTCTTAAGAGCAGGAGATAATGTCAGGTTTGCAGAGGAAAAGATACATCCTTTGGGCATTTAGGGCTGGCTCTAGACCAGCGTTTTTCAACCGCTGTTCCGCGGCACACTAGTGTGCCGCGAGATGTTGCCTGGTGTGCCGTAGGTGCAGACAAGACAAGAATTTTATAATTTTTCACTATTTTGTTTACTTAATATTTCATAATAAAGTAATTATAAAATACTTTCTTTGTGTTTATTTGATTCCTATTCAAGAGAATTACTTTATATATAGTCAATATAGGCACAGAGTTAAATTTTTTAACATTTTCTAATGGTGGTGTGCCTCGTGATTTTTTTCATGAAACAAGTGTGCCTTTGCCCAAAAAAGGTTGAAAAACACTGCTCTAGACAAATCAGTGAAATGTGGTCATTTTTTGCACGTCTCCTTTATCATTTCCTGCAGGGGGGCTGATGTGGCGGGGATCTCCCTTCTTTGCGTCCCGTACGGAAAGAGAGATGAACGAACCGGTTCTAAGTGGAGGCGGCCAGAGATTGAGAAATAAATAGAGATAAAGAGAGAAGGCCCAGAGATGCTTTGAATCTTTGACGGGGCATCCTGTTCCTTGCTCCAGTGGGGAGGGAGAGAGGGGATGTGTAGAGAAATTGAGTGCCAGGTGGGAAGGGCCTCCATGTACGGATGTGCAGGGCTGAAATCAGGATAGGCCTGCAACTGGGAAGGCAGCTGTTGCCTTTTCCTAGTCCAAGCGGAAACACTGTGTGGGCTGGCAGGGCCCCTGGGGAGGGAGTTGAGGTCTGGCATCTACGGATGATGCAAGTTCCAGGGGCCTGACACTGAGTTCACCGTATGGATAGCAGGATGGAGCTTGGAGTGTTGGAATTCAGTTAATTCAGAGAAAATGAAGATGTGAGCTATTTCCCTCTTACTTTGTTGTAACAGCTTTACTGAGATATAAGTCACACACCACACAGCTCACCCTTTTGAAGGTGCAGCTCAGTTGTTTGTAGTATGTTCACTAGATTGTGCAACTAGGAGCACAATCTAATTTCAGAGAACTCCCGTCACCCCTGAAAGAAACCTGTTAGCCCCTAGCTGTCTCTCTAGATCTGCCTGTTCTGGACATTTCCTACAATGCAATCATGCAGCACGTGGCCTTTGTGTCTGGCTTCTTTCACTGACTGAGCATCATGTTTTCAGGGTCTATCCAGGTAGTAGCACCTTTCAGGACTTCATTCTTTTCTACGGCCGTAAGATTCCATTGTGTGGATAGACCACATTCGTTTATCCATTCGCAAGTTAACGGACATTGGGTTGTTTCCACTTTTTGGCTATTACGATCAATTCTACTATAAACACGTGTACATAAGTTTCTTACATGGACATAGGTTTTAATTTCCTTTGGGAGAGAAATTACTGGGTCACAGGGTACTTAGTATTTAACCTTTTTATTTATGTTTTTAAGATTCTATTTTTAAAAAATATTTTTTTATAAAAGTTTTTTAAAAATATATTTTATTAATTTTTTTTACAGAAAGAAAGAGAGAGGGATAGAGAGTTAGAAACATTGATGAGAGAGAAACTGCCTCTTTCACACCCCCTACTGGGGATGTGCCCGCAACCAAGGTACATGCCCTTGACCGGAATTGAATATGGGACCTTTGAGTCCTCAGTCCGACACTCTACCACTGAGCCAAACCGGTTTCGGCTATTTTTTATTTTATTTTTTTACAAAATAAAAAATATTTTTATTGATTTCAGAGAGGAAGGGAGAGGGAAAGAGAGAGAAACATCAATGATGAGAGAGAATCATTGATTGGCTGCTTCCTCACAACTCACACTGGGGATTGAGCCCACAATGTGGGCATGTGCTCTGACCAAGAATTGAACAGTGACCTCTGGTTCATAGGTAGACGCTCAAACCTCTTAGCTAAGCCAGCTGGGCAGTGTTTAACCTTTTTATTTAAGTCTTTTTATTGATTTTAAAGAGAGATTTTAGAGAGAGGGAGATAGAGAGAAACATCAGTCAGCTGCTTCCTGCATACCCCTTACTGGGAATCAAGCCCACAACCTATGCATATACCCTGACCAGGTATGGAACCAGCGACCTCTCTGTGCATGGTATAGTGCTCAGCCAATCGAGCCACACCATAGAGGCAGTGTTTAACCTTTTGAAGAATTGTCCAACTGTTTTCCAAAGCTACAGTACCTATTTGATATTCCTACCGGCAGTGAGTGAAAGTTTCAATTTTCCACATCCTCACTAACACTTGTTATATCTGCCACTTTGATAATACCCATCCTAGTGGGTGTGAAGTGATTTGCATTTCCCTAATGACTGACCATGTTGACCATCTTTTTATATGCTCATTGGCCATTCCTATAAACTATTTGGGGAAATGTCTAACTCAAGATCCTTTGCCCATTCTTAAATTGGGCTGTCCTTTATTGATGATTTGTAATAAATCTTTTTAGAATCAGGATACAAGTCCCTTATCAGATACAGCATTTGTAAGCATTTTCTCTTATTCTGTGGGTTGTTGATATGACTTATTTCTTGCTCACCTTAGAGATTCGCATCTGCTAGAACTATGTGAAATCTCTCCCAGTATAATCTTCAGACGGGAAGAACAAGTGGGAAGAAAATAACTCTGCCTTTGTCCCCCTAGCCTCCCTGCCCCCACGGCCTCCTACCCGGATCTTGCAGTTGAGGATCTTATCATTGATGTCCTCATCGAAGCATTCCTGTGGGTACACATCGATGCTGTGAGTCCTCAGGTTGTGCTGGATCTGGGGACCAGGGAACCTCAGGTCAAGCTATGCACTTTGCTCCTCCCCACCCCCACCATCCCCATCCTCGCCTCAGGCGCCCAGATCACCCTGCGCCTGAAGTCCTCTCGCTCCTCCATGGTCAGGCTGTCCGCCCGAGCGATCACGGGCACCACGTTCACAGTCCGGCAGAGCCGCTGCAGGAACTCAATGTCCAGGGGCCGCAGGCTGCTCAGGCAGGACGGTGGTGGTGGCGGCAGTGGCAGCAGCAAATGTGTGAGTGAGGGGATGCCAGCCCACAGCCCATGCCGGGAACCCCTCCTCCTCCTCTCTGCCCTGGTCTGCCCAGCCACCTCACCTGTGCCCCGTGGGCGCCACGAAGTACACACAGCAGTGCACCCGGGTGTCGGGGATGTGGCGCTGGCGGGTGATGAGGATCTCCTCCTGCAGGTACTGCTCGTACTGCCCATTGATGTAGCCCAGGATGGGGTCCCAGCTGGGGTGGGGGATGGAGCCGACCTCAGGGCTGTGCCCGGGAGCCCCACCTGTCTCCCTGGGTCCTTTGGGGAGTGGCCCCTGCAGATGACCAATTAACCCATTTGCCCAGGACACAGGGACCTTTGGTCTCGCACAACTTGAGGTGCTTGGGCTCCTGAGTATACTCCTCATCTTTACTCCCTGCATCGTCAGAGAGGCCCTCTGCCATTCTCGAGCTGAAGCCTCATCTTTCCTGTCTATACAATGGGGACAATAAGAATACTTTGGGGTGGGGAGGGTGAGCATTAAACAAGAGAAATTGCTGCTGGTCTGGTTCAAACCATGGTGGACTTCTGCCTGACTCCTCTCCCTGGGCCCCTTCTCTCTGTGGGCAGTTGTCAATGGCAGCCAAGAAGATCCTTCCAAAAGCAGGAACTAGTTCATGTCCCTTTCCTGCTCAGCCTCTAGGGTAGGGGTGTCAAACTCAATCAGAGAAGGGGCCAAAATCTAAAATCCAGCCTAAATCGTGGGCCGAATGGTTTACTGAACAGTCATAAACTGTCATTGTGATGGAAACGCAGCGGAGTGCAGTGATGACAGCGCGGTGCGGGCCACATTGCAAGACCTGGTGGGACGGATTTGGCCCGCGGGCCTTGTGTTTGACACATGTGCTCTAGGGACTGAACAAAAGCCAGTCCTTACATTGCCCTACAGGGCCCTATACTACCCTACCACTGCTTCCTGCCTGCCCTCTCCTCCTCTCCCTATTCCTCCTGCCCTGCCAGCCACACCAGCTTGCCTACCTCAGGGCCTTTGCACATGCCACCCTCAGCCTCGGACACTCCTTTCCCCATGCCCACGTGGCTCATTCTCTCATCTCCTGGAAGTCTGTGCACAAATGTCACCGTTCTGGGAGGTCTTTCTTGAGCACTCTGCTTAAAATTGCAACCCCTCTACAGCTCTGTACCCCTGCTGCTCTCAGAAATGTCCTGTTTGGATGATAGAGTTCAGGCTCTCCCTCGGATTAACCGATTATGTTGTTCATTGTCTGTCCCTCACCCCTGTGACAATGTAAATTCCATGTAAGCAAGGATGTTCGCCTGTTTAGTTTATTGCTCTAGAACAGAGCTTGCAGGTGGCAAATGCTCAACAAAGCCTCTGGCGCAGGGCCGGCTGCAGTGGAGTGAATGGAGCCCAGGGATCTGTACTGAGAAGGGCCCCGGCTTGGTTAGCTGTTCTGTGTTTGTATTCTTATAATTCTTGATCATTTTTGAACAAGGGACCCCACATTTTCATCTCACTGGGTTCCACAGATGATGCAGCCAGTCCTGATTTTGCGTGTGTGTCTCATTTAGAGCCTTAAACAGCTCTGTACAGTCATCATTCCCAAGTCACAGAGAAAACCGGGGCTCAGAGAGCTTCTTCCGTGATAGTCCCTGGTTGGGCCGCTAGAAAGTGGTCTAATCCGGGTCCCAAGTGTGGGCTTCTAACTCCTGCCTATGCCTTTGCTGAGTGTTTACTGTGTGCCAGGCAGCGGCTACAACCTTACACGCTAACTCCCTTCAGTCTTGGCGGGAGAGTTGTGTACACTCATCGTGTAGACCAGTGTTTCCCAAAGTGTGGTATGCGTACCCCCAGGAGTACGGGAAGAGTTTGGTGGGGTACACGTTGCACCGGAGTTTGGTGGGGATACGCACTGCACCGTGCTTAGCTGCGCCTGATTCTACGTTCTCATGAGTACGAGGGGTACTCAGCGTTACGGAAATTATAGAAGGGGCACACAGATGTCAAAAGTTTGGGAAACACTGATTGTAGACGAATAAATTGAGGCTCTCAGATACCACAGTCAGGTCGTTCCAGGGCTGGGAATGTTCCCGGGGGGCAGGGGCAGGGCAACCCGGGCTCCACCTCACTCCAGAGAACCCACCACTTGTCATTGTTGATTTGGTCCCCAAAGCCAGGCGTGTCGGTCACGGTCAGCTTGAGCTTCACACCTTTCTCCTCGATGACTGTGGAGGAGAGCAGGGGGAGGAAGGAATTGGACTGGGTGGACAGGGTGGACAGGGGTAAGGGTGAGGGGAAGGGTGAGGGCAGGGTTTCACTCACCATGGGTCACTGAGTGCAGCTGCAGTGTCTGGGGAATGGGCCCCAGCGCCAGACCCGAGGGGGTGGACTTCCATATTTTGGACTTGAACAGTGTGTTCACCATCGTGGATTTGCCCAGCCCACTCTGCCCTGGGAGTAACCAGATGACAGCAGTGATGGAGGACATTTTAGGTGTTTCTCAAACTTGTAAATCTTTTTTAGAAAGTAAACAGTTTTCTAAGTATAACATAAATTAAAAAAAAAAATGCATACTATCCTAAGTGTTCACCTCAGTGCTTACCCCATTTCTTATTGAGGCAAAATTCATATAATAAAAGAATTAACCAGTAGCCCTTTATTTTTTATTTTATTGTTTTTAAAAAAATGTCTTTACGGATTTCAGAGATGAAGGGGGAGAGAGATAGAAACATCAATGATGAGAGAGAATCATTGATTGGCTGCCTCCCGCTGGCCCCATGTTGGGGATCAAGCCCACAACCTGGGCATGTGCCCTGATCAGAATCAAACCATGACCTTTTGGGTACAGGTTGATGGGCAACCACAGATCCACATCGGCTGGGCAACCAGTAACCATTTAAAGCGAACAATTCAGAAGCATTTGGTACATTAGTAATGTTGTGCAACCACCACCTCTATCTAGCACCAAACCGTTTTCATCGCCTCCCCAAAAGAAACTGTTCATTAAAGCAGCCACTTCCCTGCCCGCCTCCAGGAACACCGATCTACATCCTGTCTCTATGGATTTACTACTCTGGATATTTCATTATAAATGGATTCATGCAATATTTGTCTTTTTTGTATTTGGCTTCTTTCACTCAGATTAATGTTTTCAAAGTCCATCCATTTTGCAGTATATATCACCACTTCATTCTTTTAAAAGAAAATCCTTACCCAAGGATATATTTTTATTTATTTTATTTATTTATTTATTTAAATATATTTTATTGATTTTTTACAGAGAGGAAGAGAGAGGGATAGAGAGTTAGAAACATCGATGAAAGAGAATCATCGATCAGCTGCCTCCTGCACCCCCCCTACCGGGGATGTGCCCGCAACCAAGGTACATGCCCCTGACCGGAATCGAACCTGGGACCTTTCACTCTGCAGGCCGACACTCTATCCACTGAGCCAAACCGGTTTCGCTATTTTTATTGATTTTAGAAAGAGAAAGGAAAAAAGAGAAATATCTATGTGAGAGAGAAACATTAATTGGTTGCCTCCCTATGTGCCCCAAACAGGGATTGAACCAGAAATCTAGGTATGTGCCCTGATCAGAAATCGAATCCACTACCTTTTTTTTTTTTTTGACCCTTCATAATTTATTACATTGTATCCTCTGAAGATTGTAATTTCTTTTTAATTTGAGACAATAAACGTTCAGACTGTTGTCAGATTTCAACTTAAAATATTTTACTATCATTTAGATGTTTCCCCAAAAGAAAAATATTTATAGCATAAAAATTCAGGTATCGGAAAGACTCAAAAGGCTGTTTTTCACTTTGTTCAAGTTTTGTTTCCAGGCATTAAGTGTGTCATACAGTTGCTGCCATTATTGTTTTCCAAATGTCCGATGTGTGCTATGACTGACAACTACTTTTCGCTGGGTCTGATCAATTTTGCAGTAGACCATTTTTGTTTTCACGGCATCAATAACAAATGCTTCAACATCATCGGCTCCAATCTGAAGTTCCTGTTGCATTGTATCAAAAGAAATTTCTTTATTTTCCACTGCCATTCCCATAAAACTAAGTAGTCTCATTTTTGCCATATTTTGTTCATGTAGTAGTCCAAGTGAATCTATGAAGTCTTTATTATTCTGGTAAAACTTGACATATGATGCCAATTTAGCATTCACAAAAATGGTTAAAAGATCATGAATAAGCTCGCCTTCCAAAAATTTGACTGGTTTTAAAGTAAGAAGTTGGTCAAAAAGAAATGCATTTGGACCTTTCAATGCTCGGACAATACACCTGTGGGCATCAACTTGAGCCTGGGAAGCATTGTCTTCCGTGTAACTTCCTAGCAATTCTATCATGACTTTTGAAGCGGCATCACTTTTCTTACAATCCACAAGTGCCTCATAAAGTAGCCTTAGAAGGGTGTGTTTTTTCTCGGTGGTAAGATTCCAGTCAGAAATCCATTTTCTAACCTGATCCAGCTCAGTTGGAATATATTGGATGGCCTCACAAGATGCTGCCACTTTAATGAGGCTACAATATACTGTATATCTTACAGGAGTATTCTTATCCATCCCATGGAAAAGGTTGCTTAGCAACTGCAGTCTCAGAGATGGACGTTCACCTTCCCGAAATTTGACCAGCTTTTCACAGAGGTTTTCGATCAGAGCTTCTTGCTTTTCTGGCTCCAAGATCAACAGGAGGGAGATACCACGCTGTTCATCACACTTTCAACATCTTTATCATCTTCCTTCAGACATACATCACAAGCTTCAATAATTTGAAGTCCACCTTCTGAGTTCTCTTCTGAAATTTCAGTTCCTTTAGCTTTCAGGTAAGCTCGAAGCTCAGCAGCCTGGTCCTCCTCGCTGATGTCGATGAAGGCCGGGACGCTCATGGTGAAGGCCCCGGGCGCTGCGGCCGCTGCACTCGCAAACCACGCTAACCGCCACTACCTTTTTTTTTTTTTTTTTTTTTTTTTTTTTTTTTTTTTTAGAAATTATAATTTAAATTGGCAATATGCTTGTCCACATGACAGTGTTTTTTTTTTGTTTGTTTTGGGGGTTTTATTTTTATTTATTTATTTATTTATTTATTTATTTATTTTTGTCTATGTAAACTTTTTATTTTATTTTATTTTATTTTATTTTATTTTATTTTAAATTTATTTATTTATTTTACATATTTTAATGATTTTTTTTGCCCCCCTCCCTCCCTCCCCCATATCCCCTCCCTCCCCATAGTTTTATGTCCATTGGTTGTATTGGGTCGGCAACTAAGTAATTGCGTGTTTCACACATATATAGCTTCAGTTGAATTTTTAGGTTTGCAGACGTAGTACAAATGTAAAACACATTTTGTTATTTGATAGTTGGCTATTCAGCTGTTAATCAGTAAAAAAAGTTTTTTGATCTGTTTTGTAGTTTTCGTTTGGCGTTCGTTGAAAAATGGAAAATCAAAAGGAACATTTTCGTCATATTTTGCTTTTTTATTTCCGCAAAGGGAAAAACGCATCGCAAGCTCATAAAAAGTTATGTGCTGTTTATGGTGACGAAGCCTTAAAAGAACGGCAGTGTCAAAATTGGTTTGCCAAATTTCGGTCTGGTGATTTTTCACTCAAAGTTGAAAAACGCTCTGGTCGTCCAGTTGAAGTTGATGACGCCCTAATCAAAGCAATAATCAATTCGGACTGTCACAGTACAACACGTGAGATTGCAGAGAAGCTTCATGTATCACATACATGCATTGAAAATCACTTAAAGCAACTTGGCTATGTTCAAAAACTCGATACATGGGTTCCTCACGAACTGAAAGAATCACAGTTAACGCAATGCATTAGCAGCTGCGATTTGCTAAAGAAACGTAATGAAAATGATCCATTTTTAAAACGACTGATAACTGGCGATGAAAAATGGGTTGTTTACAACAATATCAAGCGGAAAAGATTGTGGAGCAGGCCAGGTGAACCAACTCAAACAACATCAAAAGCTGATATTCATCAAAAGAAGGTTTTGTTATCAGTTTGGTGGGATTACAAAGGAATTGTCTACTTTGAACTCTTACCACCCAACCGAACGATCAATTCTGATGTCTACATTGAACAACTAACGAAATTAAACAATGCAGTTGAAGAAAAGCGGCCCGAATTGACAAATCGAAAAGGTGTTGTATTCCATCATGACAATGCAAGGCCACACACATCTTTGGTCACTCGGCAAAAATTAATGGAGCTTGGTTGGGATGTTTTGCCACATCCACCATATAGTCCTGACCTTGCACCATCTGATTACTTTTTGTTTCGATCTTTACAAAACTCCTTGAATGGTAAAAATTTCAATAATGATGATGATGTCAAATCGTACCTGATTAAGTTTTTTGCTAATAAAAACCAGAAGTTTTTTGAACATGGGATTATGATGCTGCCTGAAAGATGGCAAAAGGTCATTGATCAAAATGGGCAATACATTACAGAATAAAGTTATTTAGTTCCATGAAAAAATTGTCTTTGATTTTCTTTAAAAAATCCGCAATTACTTAGCTGCCGACCCAATTGGTTGTACTTTTATGCATGTATACAAGTCCTTCTAACCGCCACTACCTTTTTGTGTATGGGACGACGCTCCAACCAACTGAGGCGCCTGGCCAGGGCACTATTTCATTCTTTTTCACAGCTGAGTAATATTCCATGGGATGGACAGACGACATTGTGTTTATCCATTTATGTGTTGATGGGCAGTTCAAGTTTTTACAAATGAAGCACCTGTGTACGAAGCACCAGATCACAAAACACACAGCTCCCCACATCCCACTCGTGCCCCATCTCAGTGACTATTAACCCCGCCCCCCTGGGACTGCCACTCTCCTAACTTATATCAGTGGGGCAGTTCTTTCCTCCCTTGACCTAGGGCAGTGGTCAGTTTGCCGCTCTGTTGACTAATGAGTTTGCCGGCCACGGGCTTCTTTTGCTACCTGGAGAGGGCCTTGCATCCTGCCTGTGGGTTGTGAGGTACTTCTCCAACAATGTGGACCACATCTCCCAGTAGGAAACACCTACTGTACAACCCGGGACACACCTTTGTGTATCTAACCAAATGGTCCTTGGGGCTGTTCTGTCCAACACTGGAGCCAGACCTGGTTATTGCACCTGGCAATATGGCAGATCCGAATTGAGATGTGCCCTCAATCCTATCTAATAAAAGGGTAATATGCAAATTAACCATCACTCCGTCACAAAGATGGCAGCACCCATAGGCATAAGATGGCGGCGTCCAGTCCTCTCAGTCCTGCTGGAGTCCCCCAGGCTCGGGGGCGGGGGGATGGGTGGCCACTGAGAGCGGGCAGGGTGAGCAGCCTGGCGGAATGCCTGCTTTGTCGTTGCGCCTGGCTCAGACTGGGCCCCCCGGAGCACGGACAGGGATGGGGGGCCAGCCCACAGCCTCTGTGGCCGAGCACAGGCCCCAGAGAGGAGACGGTGGGCCTGCCTCTGGAGGAATCCACATGGGTCCTTCCCAGCTCCCGTGGAAGCCGCACGGCTCCCGCAGAAGTGGCAAGTGGCCTTTGTGCATGATATTGCCCAATGGGCTACTAGTGGAAAATACAAACCAGGTTTTATAGACGTGGTAAGACAAGAAGAACGTAAAAGATATCACGAATTTTTATATGGATTACATGTTGAGATAATAGCATTTTGGGACATATTGGGTTAAATAAAATAGATGATTAAAATTTATTTCTTCTGTCTTAGCCAATTTGGCTCATTGGATAGGGCACTGGCCCTCAGACTGAAGGGTCCTGGGTTTGATTCTGGTCAAGGACAGGTACTTCGGTTACAAGCTCAATCCCCTCTGCCTGGTCAGGACACATGAAGGAGGCAATCAATCAATGTGTCTCTCTCACATCAATGTTTCTCTCTCTCTGCTCCTTCCTCTCCCTTCCACTTTCTCTAAGAACCAGTGGAAAAATATCCTCAGATGAAAATTAACAACAACAAAATTTTATCTTATTTTACTTTTTTAAAGTGGCTACTAGAAAATTTAAAAATTACATATGTGGCTCATGTTACATTTTTATTATACAGTGCTGCCTTAGAATAATGTCCTTAATTGGAGATACACACTCCAATATTTTGTGTCCTGTTGTATCTAGTTTGTTTTGTTAAAAGTGTAGTAGTGTCTTGGCTGGGTAGCCAGTTGGTTAGAGTGTCATCCCAATGCACCAAGGTTTTGGGTTCCATTTCCGGTTTGGGTACATATAAAAATCAACTCATAGCCAAAACCAGTTTGGCTCAGTGGATAGAGTGTTGATCAGTGGACTAAAAGGTCCCGGGTTTGATTTCGGTCAAGGGCATGTACATTGGTTGCAGGCACATCCCCGGTGAGGGGTGTGCGGAGGCAGCTGGTCGATGTTTCTCTCTCATCAATATTTCTAGTTCTCTATCCCTCTCCCTTCCTCTCTAAAAAATCAATAAAATATACTTTTAAAAAAGAGAATCAACTCATGAATGCATATATTAGTAGAACAACAAATTAATGTTCTTTCTTTCCCTACCTTCCTTCCTCTCTAAAATCAATCAATAGCCGAGACCAGTTTGGCTCAATGGATAGAGCGTCAGCTTGGGGACTGAAGGGTCCCGGGTTCTATTCTGGTCAAGGGCATGTACCTTGGTTGCGGGCATATCCCCAGTAGGGGGTGTGCAAGAGGCAGCTGATCGATGACTCTCATCGATGTTTCTAACTCTCATCTCTCTCCCTTCCTCTCTGTACAAAATAAATAAATAAATAAATAAATAAATAAATAAATAAATAAAATCAATAAATTAAAAAAAATTAAAAGTATAGTATTGACCTACAAAATCCATTGTGAATATATAAGAAAGCAATTCCAGGGCAGGTGTGGGGTAGGGGGAGTCAGGGGGGTAGGGGTGGGAGGAAAGGGGCCATCTCTAATACTTCCAACAATAAATTAATAATAAAAAAGCAATTCTTTGGTCTGACCGTAGAGAACTTACTAAACGCCAGGCACTGTGTTAAGCCAGTTGAGGGAACTGAGGCGAAGAGAGGTCAGAGGCTATGCCCAAGATCCCTTCCTGCTGGGGTGGTGGGCTTAGGGCTGGGACGGGATCTGAGTGGGATGTTCACCACTTCCTGCCTCGGCCTATAGTTTATGTTCTGTTTGGGTTGAGTTGGGGCTTTATGGGAGATGTTATGTCTTTTAACTCAGTGTTTCCCAGATTTTCAACTCCAAGGCCCCCAGAGGTGAGGCGACATGCCCTGGCCCATTGGTGCTCCTGTGAGCCCCGCCTCTCACTCACCCACCACCATGATGTTGAACTCAAAACCCATCTTCATGGCCTTGATCTTCATTTGGTCCAGCACGGCCTCGATGCCCACATAACCAAGCGTCTCGCAGGACGGGGTCCTGGGGCTGATGGGCCTTGATGAGCTGGGGGAGGGGCATTGCCTTGGGGGGTCCATGGGGCCAAGGGCACGGCGATGCCTGTTATCTGGGTGAGGAGGGGAGAAGAGGGTTGCTGGGGCTCCAGAGGAGGAACATCTGAGTTCTCATGTCGAACCCTGACCCCTTGGTTCTGCTGCCAGACACTCCCGCACATTGTGCCCCTGATCCGTCTGTCCTCCAGGTGCCCAAGGGGTTTGGTGAGCGGTGCCCAGGGGAGCTGCCTCGGGGGGTGGGGGGGGGAGGCTGAACTCCATCCGACGTGCACCTTCCCAGGGATCTGTTTCTCCTGTACCCCAGCTCCCACCCCAGACCCAACCGTGCCCAGGCAGACCCTCTGCTCAGACACTACCCAGCAAAGCCCAGCGGCCAACCTGTCGGAGACAGAGAGAGAAGCAGCCTCGTGTGGCCCTGGAGGCTTTCGGGGCTGCCCTGTCATGGAAGATCCTGGCGTTTGTGGTGAGGGGGAGGGGGAAGGGTGACAGTTAACTGAAGAATCGAAGCCCCACTGCTTCCTGTGACACCACCTGGGGGCTCCTCTGCAGCAGGGAGCCGAGGGCAGGGGCAGGTAAGCTGCTCCTCCAGGCCTGTTGGAGACACTACCCTGCAATCCTCACACTGACCTTGGCCCAGGACTATAGACAGGAACCCGGATGCCCAGGGCAGCTCCCTTGCCCAAGGTCACCTGGATGGTATGAGTGGCAGATCTGGGCTTCCAAGTTCATGTCCCTTAACCACTCTGCCAGGGGATGCAAACTTATGACCTACGGGCTGGAAAGCACAACGTCCATGTACTTTCTTTGGTCTATCCATTGCTGGTACCATAGTGTTTTAAATTGGCAGCATTGAAAATCAAAGCATCAATTTAGCAAATATTAATTACATGGCATTGTTCTAGGGGCCATAGACAGAGTACTTGTTTAATAATCATCACAGCCTATGAAACAAGTGCTGTTACTATGCCGTTTATAGATAACCCAGTTTATACATAAGAGTCAAGGGGATTGTTCAAGATCACACAATGAGGAAATGGCAGAGATGAAATCTGAGGCCATGGGTTCATCTTTCCCGGTTTCTTTTCTTATTGACACAAAGATCTAGATCAATGTTTTTCAACCTTTTTTGGGCAAAGGCACACTTGTTTCATGAAAAAAATCACGAGGCACACCACCATTAGAAAATGTTAAAAAATTTAACTCTGTGCCTATATTGACTATATAAAGTAATTCTCTTGAATAGGAATCAAATAAACACAAAGAAAGTATTTTATAATTACTTTATTATGAAATATTAAGTAAACAAAATAGTGAAAAATTATAAAATTCTTGTCTTGTCTGCACCTACGGCACACCAGGCAACATATGCTTTTTTTTTTTTTTTTTTTTTAAATATATTTTATTGATTTTTCCACAGAGAGGAAGGGAGAGGGATAGAGAGCTAGAAACGTTGATGAAGAGAAACATCGACCAGCTGCCTCCTGCACACCCCCTACTGGGAATGTGCCTGCAATCAATGTACATGCCCTTGACCGGAATCGAACCCAGGACCTTTCAGTCCACAGACCGATGCTCTATCCACTGAGCCAAACCGGTTTCGGCATGGGCCATATGCTCTTTAATTTGCTTACAGTCCTCAGCCTTCCCTAATGTTATAGTGTGTGTGTGTATATATATAATATAATAATATATATTATTGTTTTCAGAGAGGAAGGGAGAGGGAGAGATAAAAACATCAATGATAAGAGAGAATTCTTGACTGGCTACCTCTTGCATACTCCCTACTGGGAATTGAGCTTGCAATCTGGGCATGTGCCCTGACTGGGGAATCAAAACTCAACGGTCAATCACTGAGCCACACCAGCCAGGCACCCTGATGTTTCTTATACCAAATTCATCTCCCTTTTTTCTCACCTATTTTCTGGCACCTGAGATTGCAAGCCCTAAGCGATCCTCGGTCTCAGATAAAGTATACACTGTCTGAGAACTATCAGATTTCAGATTTTGCAGATCATACGATCTCTGTTGCAACTACTCTTCAGCTATGAAAGCAGAAAAGGACAGAGAAGGGCGTGACTGTGCCAGTAAAACTATTGGGGTTGTTCTGTCCATCGACTCAACTCTGCCCCAACACACTTCTTACTGTCCTGTGCTCCAACCAGCCTGTCCCTCTCTGCCCACACTCTTCTACTCCCCACTGTCTACAAATCTGACTGACAAAAGGCTTAACCTTCATTGTCAAGGCTTGGAGGCTGTAAGTGGGGCTGGGCAGGGCCCAGGGCAGGACTGGGACAAGAGTCTGCCCTGAACGTGGTTCTGTTCCCAGCAGAAAAATCTCTCAAGTTACACCACCAGGTCTCTAGAGGGATTCAGCAAGGCTGGCCTCATCAAAGCAAATGAGAACCTTAGGTGCAGACGACCAAAGACTGCCAGTGACCTGTGATATGACCTTGGACGGGAGCACATTCTGTTTCTGGGCATGTCCCCTACGGAAATAAGCCTCTCTGCAGAGAAAGCACTTTCTCCAGGAAAACCATCACATGTGAGTGGTACGGAATTCTGAGAAATGTTGGGAAGGAAGTCTCAGCGATTGTGAGCTGGAGAGTCAGAAAGCATTAGTCATTTGCAAGACACTCTTGGCTTTGTTGTTTGGGGGACATGGAAGGGAGGCTAACGCAGTCTGAGCAGTGTGAGGATGGCAACTGAGCCCAAATGGATACCAAGAACTAAGAGCTAGAGGGGATCACAGCCACAAAGTGAGTGAGAGCAACACATGGCCGGCCACGTAGTGCCTGCTTTCTGTTGTACCTCACTGTGCCAGAGACTCCTCTATGTCAATTATCTCAGTCAATCCTCACAACTACCTGGAGAAGGGCCATTGTTCTCACACACAGATGAGGAAATCGAGGCAGAGAGGGGTCAGGGACCGTGTTTCAGGTCACACACACACACACTGGTGGGACCAGGATCCGAATCTGGGGTCTGACTTGCCTGAGCCCCTCCCCACCCACCCATCACTGCTGTTTGGGTCTGGGGCCTCTTTGTGGTTTTGTCTTTGAACACCTTGGGAGTTTCCCAGATTTTAATGAGAAGGTTTTTAATTTCATAATGGGAATCACAAACAAGAAATGAGGCACCTAAGGGCCTGGACTGTAAGACTGAGGGCCAGTGGGGAGGGGAGGGGAGCATGGGCCTTTTCACCACTCAGCCAGGCCAATGTGGGGTGGGGCGGGGGGTGGGGGAGAGAAAGAGAGGTGAGGAACTGAAGTTATTGGCCTCCTTCCCCACTTTTTTCCCAACTGAGATAAAGCCCACAAACCATAAAATTAATCATCAGCCATTTTAAAGGGAACAGATCAGTGGCATTTACTATTACATTCACAAGGTTGCAAAACCACCCTCTACCTAGTTCTAAGGCATGTTCATCACCCCCAAGGAAACCTTATAACCACTTAGCACTCAGTCGCCCATCCTCCATTCCTGGCAACCACTACTTTCTCTCTCTATGGATTTGCCTGTTCTGGACATTACATATAAATGGGATCATACACTCTGTGGCCTTTTGTGGCTAGCCTCTTATACTTGGCATGATGTTTTTGAGGTTCATTCATATTGTAGCATGTCAGTGCTTCATTCCCTTTATGAATAATATTCCACTGTATGGATAGACCACGTTTTATCCATTCATCAGTTGATGGACACTGGGTTGTTTCCACCTTTTGACTATTGTGGTTAGTGCTGCTGTGAACAGTTGTGCTCAGGCCTTTGAGTACTTGCTTCCAATTCTCTTGGGTGTATACCTAGGAGTGGAATTGTTAGGTCAGATGATAACACTGTATGTAATTTTTTGAGGAATTGCCAGACTGTTTTTCCATAGTGGCTGCACCCCACTCCTTCCCCATTTTTACACAAGAACATTCTAGTAGGTTTAAAAATATCATCCCTCCCTCTGCAACAAGAATCTGAGATTTCAGAACAGGATGGAGGGTGTAAGACGGGGATCCCAGCAAAGGAAACCCCATAACATGATGTCAAGGGCTCTGGGATCTGAATGCCTGAGTCCCAATTCTGGCTTCTCTGCTCACTGGCCATGGTTGGCTTAGATATCTCCCTCCTAATCCCTGGAACCTGTGAATATGTCACCTTAAGTGGCAAAAGGGTTCTTTGCAGATGTGTTTATGACCTAGAGAAACTGGAAAGGCAAGGAATGGTTACTCCCTTACAGCCTCCAGAAGGAATACAGCCCTGCCAACCCATTTAGATGCCAACCTCCAGAGCTGTGAGGTAATACATTTGTATTGTCTTAAGCCACTATGTTTGTGGTTGTATGTTACAACAGCAACAGGAAATTGATCCCTTAGATGTGTGACTCCGAGAGCTAGTTGCTGAGCTTCTCAAGGCCTGTTTTCATATCTGTAAGATGGGAATAGCAGTCATACCCACTGTATGACTGCCAGGAGGAATGTTAGGTAATGGACATACAGCCTAACGTTAGCTGATGTGTTCTTCCGTACTAGATCATAAGCACTCTGAGAACAAAACATTGTGTCTACCGGTTTTATAGCCAACCTCAGGTGCTGAGTCATGTCTGGCCTCGAGTGGGCCTGGAGACGTCTGTGCTCCGCAGGAAGGCAGGAGAGAGAGCTGCCTCACTGACGTGGTCAGGGACCCCAAGCCCCAACTTCTGGGCAAAGAGCTCTTTTGAGAGATAACCATAGGGTTATTGTGAGGAATAGAACAGAGAAAATAAGGATCTAAGACTTCTAATATGGTGCCAGGTATACCCCAGCAGTCAAGAAGGGTGGTGGAAAAGATACTTCTTCCTCTCTCCCTTCCCCTCCTTTCTCCTTAAAATTATTTTTTAAATTTAATCTTGATCTGAGGATATGTTGTTGTTGTTGTTCTTCTTCTTCTTCTTCTTCTTCTTTTTTTTAAAGAGAGGAAGGGAGAGAGAAACATCAATCGACTACCTCTTCTACACATCCTGACCAGGAGTGAACCCGTGATGCTTTGGTTTAAGAGCCGATGCTCCAACCACTGAGCAGCACTGGCGAGGGCAAATCCACAACCTTTTGGTATATGGTATGATGCTTCAACCAACTGATCCACCCAGCCAGGGCTCCTTTCTCCTTAAAAAAAAAAAAAAAAAAAAAAATATATATATATATATATATATATATATATATATATATATATATACACACACACACACACACACACACACACACACACACACACACACACATATATATATATATATATATATATATATATATTTATTTGACTTTTTACAGAGAGGAAGGGAGAGGGATAGAGAGCTAGAAACATCAATGAGAGAGAACATCAATTGGCTGCCTCCTGCACATCTCCTATTGGGGATGTGCCCGCAACCAAGGTACATGCCCCTGACCAGAATCAAACCTAAGACCCTTCAGTCTGTAGGCCCACGTTCTATCCACTGAGCCAAACCCGTTAGGGCTCCTTTCTCCTTTCTAACCGTCCTCCCTTCCTCCCTCCCTCCTTCCTTTTTCTTTGTCTTTCCTTTACTCATGGTCAGCAGCAGCTGAGTGCCTACAGTCCCAGGCTGCTTGTATGGTCTACTGAGAAAAAGTGAAAAAGCCCTGGAAAGAGGAGACTGACGGGCCTGTGACCTCCTGAGACCAGCAGGAGCAGCTGCTGTTGGGAAGCAGGAAGCACACCTGCTGGGACACAGGCCCCTGGCTGGCCCTGGGGAGAGAGGGGCTGGTTGCTAAGGCCTCAGGTGGAGTGGATCCGGAAGCAGGAAGCCATGCTCCCAGGAGTTAGGGCCTGCCTGGCTGGGAGAGCTTGGAGGCAGGTCAGGTCTCGATGTGGAGTTGCTGGGGGAAGTGGGAAGAGAGGGGGCTGGCTAGGTCAGGTTCAGGACCAAGGGAAGGGCCAGCGAGGAGAGGAGTGGAAGAGAAGTTGGTGCAGGAACTGGGGCCTAGAGGGACCGAGTGAAAGGGGCAGGGGCTGGATGGTGGGAGGCCTGTATGTGGCCTGGCCCCAGAGGAGCCCGAGCCCTAAGCGCTTCCCTCTGGGGGGTTGGGGCAGGTGGCATTCAGGACCCTCTAGCTGGGATGACCAACCTAAATGATCTGGAGACCATGGCAGAGGAAATGCTGCAGAAACTGAAGAACCAACTGCTCCTGTCCAAGTGGGGAGACACTTACTTCATTTTCCTCCTCATTGTCCTGGGTATGGTCTCTGCGTGGGGCCCATCAGCCTCTCATGCCAGGCCCTAGGTGGAGGGCATGTCTGGACACCTGTCCCACCCTCAGGCATTCTGTTGCTCCTGCTGCTGATTTCCATCAAGTGCTGTTGCTACTGCTGCTGCTGCTGCCGCCGCCGCCCCACCCACCCCTCCAGATCCCAGACAACAAGTGCCAATCAGGTGAGCCCCACAGGCCCTGCAAGGCCAGGGATTGCACTGGGATGGAGGAGAGGCTGCTGGGGCTCCTCAAGATGGGGGGTTAGCAGGGACCTGAGGCCTAAAGCCCACTGGGCTCCCTCTGTTCCTCTCTGACAGAACTCCACGGGACTGAGTAGCATGGCTCTGGAACCATGAGTCCTCCAGCCCCTCTCTCACATGCTGGGCAACAGTAACAAGGCCTTGTCTGTCCAGATCCTGAGTCTGAAGTGTGTTCCAACCTCCCACCAAGGGGTGGGCAATGCAAGTACTCACTGCTCCATCTAGACTCCATCTAGGTGCCGGCATGACTGCCACCAGGAAACCTTAAGTGACTTGCTGGGAGTCATGCAGCAATTATCCATGGGAGGGCAAGCTGGGCTTAAACTCAGGGCCCAAACCCTGGGCAGACCCCCTTGTCACCATTCCACTCAGCCCCTCAGCAGCCAGAGGACCCTCTCAAAGGAGGCATGAGGAAGCCAGGGGCTCAGTCACTGGGTGCTCCACTTGGCTCCTACAATCAGGGACCCCCAGGCTTGGTCCCTACTCAGACAAACAGACGGATAGACAGAGGGGTCCAGGCAAAGTTGGATGATCTTTATTTCTTGGAGGCCCTGGTAGGATTGCTAAGTAAACAGTCAAGAAACCCCAGATCATGGTAGGTGGCTTCGGTCTGCCCGGTCCTCCTTCCCTCCTTCCCTCCCAACTCACAGCTTAGGGTCACCACCCACTCCTCACCTTCCAGCGGGAGGAGGAGTGAGGCTGCCCCTCACCTGGGGGCAGCTCAGCAGGGAGGAAGGAGAGCCTGGGGCTGGGCTCCACCTTCAGTCCAAAGGGCAGGGATGCAATGTGGGCCGACTCCTGACCCTAGCTCCTTGACCCGCCCCCATCCGAAACAGAAAGCAAGTCAGCCTCCCTTCATTCCAGAAGTTCCAGTGTTCAACTCCCATCTGTGCAAATGTGACGGCAGTATGGGCAGGGAGGGAAGCAAATCCCGTGCAGTGCTGGCTCTGGCTTGGGCCGCACTCCAGGGCGTGTATGGTAGGGGAGGGACACCCTGGGTAGGGCCACTTCTCAGGGGGACAGGTTCTTGGGTGCTCTGCTTAGAAAGGCCTGTAGCTCCAGTAGCTGGAGAACACCGAGATCTAGGAAGGGAGGAAGGCGGGGGGGGGGGGGGGGGGGCATGGTGAGTGGTGGTGCTGGGGGGCCTGGCCCCAGTTGCACCCTGTGACTCCGGTGACATTTCAAGGTTATCCAAGGGCAATGTGTCAGGGAGAGCGTACTGTTGCCTAGCAGCACAATGGCCCATCAGCCTGGTGCGTGCGGCGGGCACAAAAGCCCTTAAGTTTTGGGGGTGCTTTGATCCTGAGACAAGAGCCCCAGGAATACCCCCAAAATGAAGGGGCTATTGCCTAGCTGGCCTCATCTGTTTGAGACTGTGGCACATCCCAGACCCTACCTTATCCTTGAGCTGCTGGCAGAGCTGCAGGGAGACGGTAAAGAAGACCAGGGCATCATTTAGCCACGGGATCACCGACTCCACTTTGTGCACATGGCTCACCTCCAGGCGCTGGGAGCCCCACTCACTGTGGGCAGAGGGTGGGGTCCCTGAGTCCCCCAGCACCTGAGGTGTAGAGGGCCCTCCAGGGCACCCCACCCAACAGGGTACTTACAACATGGCTCCAGGGCTGTGGAGCACGGAGCCTCCGGCAGGGCGGAAGTTCTGGGCAGAAGAGCAGCAGACCCAGTCTCAGGCCTTTGGGGTTGCAGGGCGTGGGTCAGTGGGGGCAGAGGCGAGGGGTTGACAGGGTTCTGCTTACCTTGGTGGAATTTGGCTGCAGGGTGTGCAGCTGGTACACAGTGAGACAGAGCTTGTTGAGGTTGATGTAGACGTTGACCAGCAAGTCGGAGGGCAGGGCAGGGGTGAACATACGCTGGAGGCCGGGGTGCGGGGGTGGAGGGGAAGGCAGGCAAGTGAGATAAGGGCAGGGCAGGGAGAAGCCCCCCAAGAACCACCCGGGGCAATTTCAGTCCTCATCATATGGACTGGGGCATCTAGCCTCTTGCCAGGGGCCTTGGGTAACTTCCTGCTCTGCTGGGTTGGGAACCACTGACTCAATAAGGTGATGTGTCTGGAGGGACACAGGAGGGAAGCTGAGCACCCTGTCTCAGAAAACTGCATAGACATAGACACAGAACCCCTACTGATGACAATTTGGAGCTTCTGACCCCTTGGCACCCCTGTGTCCCTTTCCAGGGACCCGCTGTCTTGGCCCGAGGCACTGACCGTGAGGCCGCTGGCGGCAATCTCAGGCAGAGTGAGGGTGGCCGGGGTGGTCAGCCGGTTGCGAGCTCTGGTCAGTTGCAGCATCACGGCATCCATCAGCTGGAGGGAGGGGTTAGTCACAGCTGCTGCAAGGGCTAATCCATCCCTCCCATTCCCACCCCAGCATCAGGGGCGACAAAGTTATGGTGGCTCCAGTTCCTGTGCTGGTGGTCCTGGTCTCAGGGCCCAAACCCCCCTAAAATGGGGGCTTGTAAAAAATGCAGGTAATTGGGATCTTGGGGTGGAGTGCGGGGAGGAGGATAGGATGTCTGTACTATGCCCCACTCATCCAGGAGGTTCTAGTGGATGGGATCCTGTGGACTGGTCCACAGGGGAAGGAGATGACAGGAGTTAGTCTCCGGGGCATGAGGGCTTGGTGGATGGGGGAACAGGCACTGAAGGAGCTCACAAGGGGCCCAAATCTGGCTAGGGTGCAAGGGGCAAGGGAGGGCTTCCTGAAGGAAGCAATGGGACAGCTGAGTTGATGCCTTCAGTCAGACATCAACCCCATTTCACAGGTGAAGAAACAGAGGCTCTGAAGAGGTAAAGTCATATAGCTCGTGAAGTGTGGAACCATCTGAAAACTGATCCCTTTCCTTTACCACAGAGCAGTGCCCTTGCTTGGACTCCTCAGAGCCCCAGCTTCCACTGTTTCCAGCTGTTGCTGTAGGAGCTAGGCTGACCTGGCTTCCAGGAAAGGCAAAACTAACGGGAGGAGGCATGGGCTGCAGCTTCTATGCCCCTCTCCCCGGAGCAGTCAGAGAGTTCTGGGAGGGACCTTAGTCCACCCAGTTCCAAGTTTCATATGAAGCATCAGAGGTCCAGAGGGGGTAGGTGAACCACCTGAGGACTGGTCCAGGCATCCAGACTCAGTTCTCCCCTCCATGCTTTGTGAATTGACTTTGTTCATTGTCAGGGTTTGTTCTTATTGCTGGTACTACTATTAGCAGCTACTATTTACTGAGCACTTAACTTACCGGGGGCCACTTTACCTGCATCCTAACAATTGGTGATCACTCTATCTTATCCCCCTTTTGCAGGGAAAGATACAGAGGCACAGAGTGGCTAAGCAAGTGACTTGAAGTTGTATAGCTCCTAGTGGAGGCCCTAGATCAGAACCCAGGTCTGATTCTATGGCTTGGGTTATGAGCTATTTGACTAAGGCTGGATGGACATGTGTACACTGAGAGGTGAAGGGTTAACAGTCAGCTGTACTTGAGGACATGGGGGCAGAATTCTCTAGGAACCTGGTCAGGGGTCAGGGTGGGTGTGGGAAACCTGACTCCCCTGTCCCTGCAGGCAACTCACCTTAAGGACCTCTGCTCCTGTCCTGAACTGGTAGCTCTCATCCCGGTTGTTGAGGAGGTAAATGGCTTGGCTCACGTGGTTCCTGGCATCCTGGATCTGAAGACAGTGCCCATGGAGTGGTTAGGGTGCTGGCTCCAGGCAATGAGCCCCCGCTCTTGAGAGGCTGTCATCCTTGGAGGGCTGGGTGGGTGCTGCTTGCCTGGCTCCACCCCCACAGCTGTTGGCTTCCAGCCCTGGCTGGGTGCTTGCACATGGCACAGACTGAGGCAGGCTTGGTCCCTGGCCCCATGGAGCTTACTTTCTAAAGGAGGACAGATGCTAACAGAGTAAAGGCACAAGAAGCAGACTGCATGGCTCACACAAGGAAATAAACAGGGTGACGGAGGGGGTTAGGGGAGCCTCTATAAATGGGGATCTGAGGAGGCCACAGGGAGCTGATTCTTGAGCTGACACTCATCACTCTTGGGATGAGAAAGCCTGTGGAGAGGACTCCAGGTAGAGAGACAAGCAAGAGCAAAGGCCCAAAGATGGGGTCTGCTGGTGGCCAGTTGTGTGAGGCGGGGAGCAAAAGCTGAGGCGCAGCCACAGAGGAGTTGATAGGGAGCATGGACTTTGTCCATGGAGCCAAGAGCAACCAAAGGCTATATGTGCACAGTCCATGGACACAGACCACAATGTGGTGAAGCCCTAGTGGGGGGTGGGGGGTAAGGTGGAGGCAAAGGGGGACATTGATAATAGAGGGGAAAAACAGAGCTTTACTCAGGTGGCTCAGTGATTGAGCTTCTACCTATGAACCAGGAGGTCACGGTCAATTTCTAGTTGGGGCACAAGCCGGGGTTGTGATCCCCAGTAGGGGGTGTGCAGGAGGCAGCCTATCAATGATTCTCATCAGTGATGTTTCTCTCTCTCTCTCTCTCTCTCTCTGCAGCCTATCAATGATTCTCATCAGTGATGTCTCTCTCTCTCTCTCTCTCTCTCTCTGCAGCCTATCAATGATTCTCATCAGTGATGTCTCTCTCTCTCTCTCTCTCTCTCTCTGCAGCCTATCAATGATTCTCATCAGTGATGTCTCTCTCTCTCTCTCTCTCTCTCTCTCTCTCTCTCTCTCTCTCCCTCCCTCCCTCCCTCTCGTCATCTTCCTTCCTCTCGGAAATCAATAGATAATTTTTTTTTTTTTAAGAGCCATGAGAATCCTCCGGAAGCTTTGGGCAGGGACTGACTTGTTCAAGAGGGATCCCTGTGGCTCTGGCTAAGGCCTGGGGACAGGCAGACGGGTGCTCCACCTCCCACAAGGCTAGGCTCTGGAGCCCAGGCTCCTCCCACCCCAGCTTCCCTGCTAGGAAACACCCTATCAGGCTTGCCAGGCAGAAAGTCCCCAGTGTCCTGCCCCTGGAGGCCTTAGCACCACTGTGCAGGCCTGCCCCTGCCTGCCCCGTGGCCTGAGCCCTGGCTGGGGAAGGGCTTGGTTACCTGCTGCAACTTCCACTGCTTGTCCTCCCGGAAGGCAAAATGCAGCAGCTGGTTGTTCCGGGGCATCTTCAGGTTCACGTCCTGATGGGTGAGAGTGGGGTAAGCTGGGCAGAGGGATGCCCTGCTGCTTTCGGCCATTCTGAGCCTTAGAGCCAAGGGAGGAAACAGTGGTGGCTCAGGTCCCAGCCTCTCCTAGGCAGGGGAGGGAGAGATAGGACTCCCAGTACCATGACCATTCAAGGGGAGAGGTGAGTAGGAAGTCAGGAAACAGGAACTCAGGCCCAAGAGGAACCACAAATAAATGAAAGGGAAAAGAAGCCAAGAAAGAGGAAGGTGGCCTCAGCTGGGAGGAGTCATGTGACGGTGGGCAGACGGAGAACATCTGCACAGGCTAATGGACTGAATACCCACTCAGGAAGGACAGGGACCTTCTCCCTTGGCCCCTGGCACAGGGCCGGGTGCAGATGGAGCTCAGATGATGTTGATTCCACTTTGATCTGGGGCCAATGCCCATGCTTCACCAGGCCCAGACTCTGGGCTGGGCCGTGTGCAAAGCATCCCTCTCCTTCACTCAGTGAAACCTCTCACTAATCTCATGAGGAAGCTGGGGGTTGTCATTTACAAACTAAGAAACTGAGGCCCAGAATGGCCAAGGATTCTGCCTTGCGTCACACAGCCAGTCAGTGGCAGAGCTAAGCAAGAGGCCCTCATGCTCTTCCCCACTGGCTTCTCCAGGAACATAGAAAGGGAAGGGACTCACCGCCTGGCTCAGCGCGTCCCCTTGCAGAGTCAGCACGCCCTTCACCTGGTCTGTGCTGCAACACACGGGGGTCAGAGCAGAACCTGCAGCCGATTCCTCCCACCACCCAGCCTTCTCACTGGGCCCCTTGTGGCTCTGGCTCTGTCACAGGATGTTCCAACCCAGGTGTTCTCACCCCCCTAAGGAGTCCATCCCAGGGGTTTCCACCAAGCCAGGGCTTACCCAGAGCTGCCCAGAATGAAGTTCTCTTGCTTGGCAGGCCCCTCCATGCCTGAGCCTGGCAGAGTGAAGCGAAGAGAGGCTTCCTGGGGGCATAGGGGAGTGGGGCAAAGTTCACCCAATCCAGCCCAGAAGTCCCACTTCCTCTAGGGCCAGGGAAGGTACAAGATGGGCTGGCCTCACCGGAATGTCCTACCCAACCCCCCAGGGCACCTTCCCACTGCTCTGGCTCCTCCCCCAGGGCCCTGGTTTCAGGTCCCACCCAAGCCAATATCAGCTCCTTCCATGTTCCCTGGGGGCCTGTGCCCAACATGGGGATATAAAACAGGACTACTCTCCCAGTTTGGTTAAGGTGCTCGGGTGTGAGGTACAGGGTCAGGGAACCCCGGTAGTCATGGCAACCCGAAATTCTGACCATACCAGGCAATGCCTGATTTGTGAGTTGATTGGCTTATCTGCAGGTCAACCTTGAGGCAGGTACAGTTACTTCCTTTTTGCAAATGACGAAAGGGAGGCCCAGAGAGACCGAGTACTTAGCTAGTGTCACAATTTTGGGGTCCTTGATGTCAGATTAAATGTCACTGCTTCAAAGCAGGCCTACCAGTCCGACCCCGAGGCTCACCCAGCCCCACAGCCCTCACACAGCTGCCGGTGGAATAGGGTGATCATCTGCTGGCGCCCCCACTAGACTCCCAAGTCCACCGATGACAAAGCCCCGCCTGAACCCTGCGCTACGCGTACCCAGGAGGCTCTAGGGAGGCAGTGGCGGCCGCCCCGGGAGGAGCCGCAGTAGGGAAGGCTGCGGAAGGTGGACGCGCGCAAAGGCCCACGGCCGCCCGCGAGACGTTACCTTTAGGATGTCCTGTAGCTGCCTCAGCACGGCGTGCACTTCGTCGTGCAGAAGCCAGCGGAATTCCTCCTCCTGGCGGGACAGGCCGCGGTCAGCCGCCCGGGCCCGCCGCCCCTACCCTGCCCCACCCAACTGCCCGTGGCCTCACCAGCACCGCTCGCTCCACCGACGTCGGTGCCATCGCGGTCGCCATCGCCACAGATCGCTGAGCAGCTACGGTCCCGGCCAGCGGTCCGCGTTCGTCGCTCGGTCGGTACTCAGCGCCCCGGCCCAGCCCCCGCCGCCGATTGGCTAAGTGGGAACCAGCCCGCCCCGAACCACCGCCCCACTCCGCCGATTGGCTGAGAGGACACCTGCCCCGCCCCGGCTCGCGACCCAGCGGAATGACACTAGGCTGGCAGCGGCAGGAACCCGCCCGCTCTGGCTCCACCGAGACGCCGCCGGCGCAAGCCGCGGGCGCCGCATCCAGGCTGCTCTGCGGCGGGAGCGCGCTCGTCCCGCCTCTCCCCGGCCCTGATAGGGTGCCCTTACCCACTTGCGCTCTATTGGCCGGCGGAATGTTCTTTGTCACATTCTGTTGATTGGCCGACGGGGTAGCCAGCTCCAGCTGGGCCTGGCCTTCCACCCCGGTTCACAGGTCCAGGAAAAAGCCCAGGGCTTAGCCGCCGCCCACCTCCCTCCGCGGCTGGGCAGTAGTGTTCAGGCGCAGACAAGGTAATCAGTCCCAGTTGGGTTACCAAGAAACGTTTTATTCTGCTTGCAGTAGCCTTTTGTTAATTGCACAAAATCATTTGTTTTTGCCATTTTAAACATTATCACACAATCCTATTCTGAAAAACATGTTCATGAAAAAAAAAAAAGGCAAAAATAAAAATTCACAACCTTAATTACCAGATTTGTCATTTAAAGAAAAAAAGGAGGGGGCGGAGGAGGGGCTTTCTTACAAGCTTTTCCACAAGTGTCACATTTTTTCCTTAAAAGGGAAGGATTTCAAAACAAAGGTGAAATAGCTTAAACAAATATTCATAAAAAGGAACTTTACAGAATTGTCAACAATATTAAGACAACATTGACTAACAGTTTCATTACAGCATCTTCCCTACTCCCACCCTCCCTCCCCCAGTGTCCAGCTAGGACTATAACAGGCTTTGTGTTCAGAGAGAAAATAATTCAAAATCCCAGTGAAATCAACTGTGTCAAAACCCACAGGCATCTTCCCTGCCCTCTCCTGTCTTCCGAGAGCCCATAACTTGGGTTCTGTGGGAAAGGGCCGAGGTTGTGAGGGGAAGGGACCCACACCGGTGTGGCCACCTCATTTTATATATATAATTATATATTCACTATAAATGCTGACCTTCTGCAAAGTGTGACTTTGAAAAATCCAACCAATGCAGAGGGAGACATTGACAACCTTCAGATGACTTCTCCTTGTTCTTTGTCACATTCTTACACCCTCTGGTCCCCTATCCAAGGAGATATACTAGGTCCTCAAGGATGTCTTGGATCCACCTCTGAGGGTCAGTCTGTTCAGTTTCAGTCAAGCCCATTCTCCTTTTCCCTCCCGACAGACCTCAGGACCCTGGAAGTACCAAAGACCACCAAGTTGCTAGCTGAAAACACTAATTCTGTTCAAGAGCTGAGCCTAAGAAATGGTCATCGTTGGTCAGGCTGGGTCTGGGCTAAAGGGACAGAGACAGGAAGAAATTCTACTTCCATGGGAGGAAAAGGGGAAAGAGAGGAGAATGCAGAGAGTTGGGCATGCAGAGGACTTGTACAGGGGCAGGCTGGAGAAAGTGGGACCACTATGAGGGCACCTGGGTCAGATTGGCTCTTCAGGACCATATGAAGTCTGTGGCATAAAGCCCATCCCCCTCACTCTTCACTGGTGGCCTTCAGGATCCCCTTCCCAAGGGCTGGAATGCAAATCTAAATACTAAAACAGCCTGCTGAGGAGTGAGATTCCCCTACACCAAAGAAAGGAAGTCTGATCCTAGCCCAGGGCTCTGTAGTGATGGCGACTTCTAGGACGGGTGCTGAAGAGCAGTGAGGAGATAGGCTTCCGTGAGACTCAACCTGCAGGCTGACTGCTGCTCTCCTGGAAAGCCAGAGCCTTGTCTTCACTTGACTTTGCCAATCTCTCTTCATTTCACAAAGGCATTTCTGGAGAGTTGGTTGCACGCTGGTACTTAAACATGACAATCCCCATCAGCTGGTCACCTGAGGTTGGTAGAGTCCACAGGATCCTCCTCCTTTTAGTCTGTACTAGTTCATCTTGGCCCAGAGCCTCTCTCTGCAAGGGATCCAGTTGGGAATGTGAATGTGACCACAGCTTCTTCGCTCTGAAGGAAGCAGGAAGGCTTCCAATTCTCATTGCCGATTCTAGTTCCTCGACTGGAAGGGGTATGAGATAAGACAAGCTTGGAAGAAGGAGGAAAAAGCCAGGCAGCAGTTTCCGGGCAGCTTCTATCCTGGAGTAAGAGCCAGTGTGGGTGTATGTGTATGTCTGTGTGTGTGTATGTATGCGTATGTGAACACACAGCCACCTGGTTCAGGGGCCAGTGCCCAGCTCAAGAGCTTTGCTACAGGCCAATCCTGCTGACACCTCCCCGCTTCCCAGGACTTTCAGGGGAGGAGTAGTGCTGTGCTGATGGCAAGTCTCAAAGTCTGTATAAAAGGAGATGGAGACAGGTGGACTGGTCCAGAGTGAAGTCCCAGGACCCCAACTCCATGTGAGGAAGAGGGGGTCAGAGGGAGGGAGTGGGGGCTTAGTGTATGTAGGCCCGGTACACGGCAGACATGTCGTTATCAGACTGGTCCAGTGCCTTGGCTCTTTTGTACACCTGGAAAAAAATGAGATGCGCTCAGTCTCTGACCATATAGCTGACTTAAAGACATGGATTTGCTTCCTGGAGGTGGTTCTAGATGTGGTTAGGTAGGTAGGTTCTGGAGTCCAGGCTGTCTGGGTGTGACCCCCGGCTCCTTTGATGACTGACCTGACCTTGGATAAAGTGCCTCAGCCACTGCTTTCTGATACCATGGAGGAGGTAATAGGGTTACGGAGAGGATTAAATGGAGTGAGGGATGTATAATGTTCAGAGTGTGGGCACAAAGGGAGGGCTCAATGTTGTTAGCAATTATAACCATGTCTCTTTCTGCTGATGACCCTCCAAGGACTTCCCATGTTATTCTCTGGGCTACTGTTCTTGCCCTTTCCTCTGGCTCCTTCCCAGAGGCCTTCCCTGACCACCTCACCTAAAGCAGCAGCTGCACCACTTTACCCTGGTCACTTCTATCCCCTTACTCGGTTCTATTTTATTTATATTTCTGACCATCTGAAATTCTCATTTGTTTAAATATGTATGTGCTTATTTTGTTCCTCTTTCCATTAAAATGTACACCAACCTGTCCCCAGAGCCTAGTATGGTGCGTGGCAATTAACAATTGCCTTGGTGATACAAGATGAATATAAAGAAGTATGAAATAATTAAAAAGCCATTGTTCAACAACAGTGGTATGACATGCAGTTGGACACAAACTTCCATGTAATGGCTAGGTACATTCTTTAAAAATTATTTTTTTACTCGTTTTATCATTTAAAAAATATTTTTATTGGTTTCAGAGAGGAAAAGAGAGGGAGAAAGAGAGAAACATCAACGATTCTCTCCATCATTGATATTTCTATCTCTTTCTCCCTGAAACCAATAAAAATATATTAAAACAAACAAACTCCATTTGGAGTTACCATAATTGTCCATTACAGCTCAGGTGAAGTTGTCAGCTCAGAATGAAGGCTAATGACCTTTTCAGATAAAAGAAAACCACTTGCTGCTAGCAGACCTGCATTACAATAAATGCTAAAGGAAGTTTTCCCAGCTGAAAGAAAATAACTCCAGAGAGAAATTCAATTCTTCAGAAAAGAATGGAGAGCACTGGAAATTGTAATTAGAAAAATTATTATTTTTCTCTTTCTTTCTTTAAAATACATAGGACTAATTAAAACAAAACATTTCAACATTATCTTACGGGTTTAAAACAAAAGCAGATAAAACACATAGGATCTGTTTCCTCTGAGCTCCAGCACTGGGCAGTGGCATGGAGGAATCCACGGACATATGGGGAGGAACTGGATTTATGGCATTGGAGCAAGTACTCAGGGGCGGCTTTCTCCCAGACAGGAGTGCTTGCAGGGGTCATTCTTCCTATGCTGAGACCTCCTCTGTCACAGAGCTGACTGGCAGCCAATGAGAGATTTCATCAGCCAGGCTAACAGTGTTCACTCCACAGTGCTGATTCCCTGAGACCCTGCCCTATCCAATTTGCAGCCCAACACAAGCTGTTGGTAGCAGTTTTTCTATATGACTGTCCTGTCTTGGCTCAGGCTTCAGATTTTCATAAAATCTCTCAAAAAAGCATCAGCTGGCATCAGTATGCTCTATACCTTATCAATAAGAGGTCCAAAGATCTTACTGAGAACTTCAAGGGACTAGCAGTAGCCTGCCTAGCTTCACAGACTGGTGTGGCCTAGGCACTTCCAAGTCCAGCACAAGTAGCTACCATCTGCAGATTGCTCTGAAGCTTCTCCCAGGTTATCCCAGGTGGTGACCGACTTTGCACCTTTCAGGAGACCTCGGAGCCAGTGTACCCAGTGGTCAGCTTCAGACCATACCATATTATAACTCTCCACATCCACAAGTGACATACTCAAGTAGTAGACTCAATAAGCACCAAAGCCCTACTGAAGCAAGTCCTGCTCTATAGGAATGTCTCCTGCACAGCAGCAGCTAGTCCTCACAGCCAATTGGCCTGAAGGCCAATTTCTCCCAGTGACAACAACAACAATCAAGGCTCAATTACAACAAGACTGAACACAGTCTACACTGGGTGCACCTAGAGTGCCCAGCTCAGGTGACTGGGGAGGTGAGCCACTGGGCCTTATAGGACACCTACTACACAAGGCCACTACAAATTCCAGAAGCTCTATCTAATATATAGAAACAAATACAGGAAAGCAGCCAAAATGTGGACACAAAGAAGTTTGTCACAAATGAAAGTACAGAAGAAATCTCCATAACAAGAACTAAATGAAATGGAAGCAAACAAACTATTAGATAGAGAGTTCAAAACAATGGTTATAAGGATGCTCAAGGATCTTACTGAGAACTTCAAGGGACTTAATGAGACTTTCAAGGATCGTAGTGAAAACAAAGACATGAAAAAGGACCAGACAGAAATTAAGCATACACTAACTAAAATAAATAATAATTTATAGGGATTCAGCAGTAGAGTAGAGGATTCCAAGAATCAAA